CTTAAGGCAATATTATATAAAGTTATATAGCCACTGCTTATTAATAGGCTTTATGTAATACATCTTATATAGAAGGTTAGCTATATCTTATACATAATTAATCTAGGGCAGGAATCCTTATAAGTCTAGGTTAAGGATATATTATACAAGCATCTCTTCTTTAGTCAGGGTTAAATTATGTTAGGCATTACGTTCTTTAGCCTTTAGGGTATAGCTTTTTATTTGATCGCAGAGAGTACTTTAAGGGATATTATACGTCTTTGCAGCACGTCAGATTAATATTTCTTAGTGTATATAGATAGCCTAAATAGCAAGAAGAATTCTGGCTTCTTAAGATTAAGAATTTATGATGTTGTTGTATTGTGACTATATATAATAGTCAAAAGGTTATAATAAGGAAGAAAAGTACGTAAAACGCTTATATATATAGGACGCTTATAAACTATATTACTTATATTTAGCTAAAGTATAAAGAAGAACTATAGATATCTAAAGTAGTTATATAATAAGTGCTTATATTAGGCCTACTATTATAGTATTATTTTTATATTATAAAAGTAAAAACTAATTTATCTTATAATTAATCTAACTTTTATAAAGTAATAATAACACTTTAATAATAGTAAAAACAGATATTAAAGTATTAGGATTCTAGATTAATATTTAATTAAAATAAGGCTCTTATATTAAAAAGATACTCTAAAAGATGACTTAATAAATACTTATACTTATAACTCTATCAACTTCTATATAAGACGCTTTTTACTTATATATAAGACGTATTTATAATACTATTATTAAACTAGTAATAAATTATGTATTAGCTATTTAGCATCTTTCTAATAAGTTATAAGGCACAAAATTAAATATTACTAAACTCTTGCTTATCTAGAATAAGTGCTTACACATAATAGCTAGGGCTTATAAGGTCATGCCTATCCTAGTCCTTAAAGTAAAGACTTACTCCTTACCTCTTCTATTATCCTAGTTCTTAAAGCAAAGACTTACTTCTTGCCTTTTTTATTGCTACTTAATAGTATCTAGATAAACTCTTATTATAGACTTATAATTATAAGTATAAGGCAACTTATTTATAAAAGTTATTTCTAAATTATTAAGAAGCTTAACTTATAGCAGAGACGTCTTTATTATACTATTATAATATTAAGTATTAGAAAATATAACTAATATAAATAACGCCTTTTTAAGCTTAATATAGACATAAAGCTAAACTAAGCCTTAAAACACTCTTTACTATAGGAAAAACTCTTATAAAAAGTAGCTATATTACTTATAAAAGTATAATAATAATACTAGTCTTATTACTAAATAGTTAAAGCGTCTTAATTAAAATTTCTAAATTATTAAGAAGTTTAACTTATAATAAGAACGCCCCTATTATATTACTATAATATTAAGAGTTAAAAAGTATAACTAATATAAATAACGCCTTCTTAAGCTTAATATAAAGATAAAGCTAAACTAAGTCTTAAAATACTCTTTATTATAAAAAGAACTTCTATAAGAAGCAACTATATTACTTACAAAAGTATAATAATAATATTAGTCTTATTACTAAATAATTAGAGTATCTTAGTTAAAGAACTAGTAATTATTATAAAGTGCTTACTTAATAATACTTTAGTAAGCCTTAAGGCTTATATAGAATAAGAAAATTAATAAGCAGAGATTAAGAATATATTAAGGCTTAGCTAAGGTATAAAGCTCTCTTATTATATAGCTAAAGACTAATAAAATAAGCTTTATAGACTTCTTCTTTAAATAAAATGTTCTAGGCATCCCCTTATTATTCTGCAAATATAGTTAAAAAAGATAGACTGCCTAATACATGATTATAGACTGCCTGTTACTCTTAGATAAATATAAGATGCTTGTTGCCGCTAACATAATAGATTACTGCCATCTCCTTAATAATCTAAAGGCTCTTAAAATAGTAACGCTTTAGCTAATAAAGACTAGGGCCCTTCCTTAGTTCTTGTTTACAGCTAAACAACTTTGCGCCTAACTATACTATAGCTATAGAGCCTTATACACACTATTAAATCGCCCTAAAGAACTTGTCTACTTACTAGTAGTAAGGTTTTTTCCTTAGAAAGGTTTCCTTACATTTATTCTTATTTATTATTAAGAGTTATAACTACTTTTAATTATATATATTCTTTGCATAAACTAGTTCTAGGCTAGGACTACATTAGTATAAGAATCAAATAATTAATTAAATAATTAATAAATTTTATTAATATCTAAAATTATTATTATAAAGTATATAATAATAGATTAAATACTTACTTTGTTATAAGATTTATACTACTAAATATAATAATTATACTTATTATTTATAAAGTAGACATAATTACTTTATTACTGCTTTATATAATTATATAAATCTTTTAATATAATAAAAGTAAAAAGGCTTTTTAAGTACTAGTATTAATTATAAATACTAAAGTATATAAAGATAATAAGAAAATAAAGCAGAAATATTAGATATATTAAAAGCTTAAATAAAGAATAAATAAAGCTTAATAAAGGTAATGTATAAGTAAATAATAAAGAAATAAAGAAGAAAAGCAATTATATTTTATAAAAAAAGAAATCTTTACTTATACTTATATCTTATACTCTTTATATTAACCCTAGCTTATATATACTATTAATCTATAGAAGCAGCTAATCTACTAGACTACTAATCTAACCCTTAATACTATATATTTATTATTAAATTAGAAGTGTTTTCTAATATTATTTTATTATTAAGTGTTTTCTATAGATTAAGTAAGAAACACTTCCTAATCTTATTAATCTAATAATTATTTCTAATTAAATATATAATACTTTATATCTAATAGCAGACCTAAGGACAGGTCTTTAGGAGAGGAGATATTATTATAATATGCCAAGCCACATCCTATAGCAGCTATATAAGGCAGCTCTACTAAAGGTCACGTCCTGTGAGTATGATACGAACTCTAACACAAGCGTTATAAATATAAAGGCCACATCCTATAGCCCTGCGCTACTACTGCAAGAGCTATAAAGCGTGGAGGCTACATCCTGTTATAACTGTATTAGTATTATAGGGATTAGAAAGGCTTTCTCTTAAATAAAGAGAACGTCTATTTTAATTAAAGAATACAGAAATTAGTTTACTATTATTTATATACCTACTAGTAGTAGTAATTTAAGTCACTATTATTATATTAATATTCTATTAATGCCTATTATCCTGCTAGTTAAAACCTTATAATAAAGATACTAGATATTTATTTATAATACTATTATATATAAAAAGCTAATTAGAGCTATAACTTTATAAAGATAATTAGATTATAAAAGTATAATTACGCTAGTTTATATTACATAAACTCTTAATTAAGTAATTATTTAAGTTTAAGGCTATTACTTAAGATAACAAGATTAAAGTAGTAAAGTAAATCTTGATAGCCTTTATATGACATTTCACTTATTAGCTTTATTATATACCTATAAGAGCTTCTAACTGCTTAAAACTTAGATTCTAACAATTTAAGAAAACTAGTAAAGCAGATCTTAAGGCGGCCTTATTAAGATGTTTTTTTTATTAGCTCTATTATATCCTTAGCTAGACCGGATCTTATATTGCCCCTATCTAAATCTGTCATTAAGGCAGACTCTAATATTTAAGCAGCTTCTAATTAGATATAAAGGCATTCTCAAGTAACATAACACATTACTCATCTCCTACATATCTCATCAGATACGTTCTAGACCTGCTTCGTTGCCACTACGCCGCTTGAGTAACGTGGCCGGCACTGTAGTATTTTTACTATTAGTCCTATCGCAGCGTCGTGTCAGCCGACATGGGATCTCCGAAGGCTGACATATCACGATCGTCAAGGAGAGGAGAGACCGGCGACGCGGGATCCTACTACGGTGATGCCGGTGCCTTAGGCAAGGGAGATGTTGGTTGAGGGGTTGATGAAGAGATGAGATTCCAAGGGCAGGATGCTGATGGGGGCTCCATCGTATGAACCGCTAGCCACTAATTCTGGTAAAGTGAGCTGTGCATCAGATCGCCGTTGACAGCCAGGTCAACAGTTAGATCAACCGGCAGGGGGAGCGTAGAATAAGAGTACGAAGGTGGAAAGGGAAGGCCGGTCAGCGGCCTAGCGCTGTGACGCTGCGACGCTGCGGGCCCGGAGGCGGCGGCGCAGCAAGCCAACAGAGGAGGCCAGCTGGGAGGGAAGCAAGAGAAGAGGATGGAGTAGAAGACAGAAAGGAAGAGACGGCGAGGGAGATCGAGGAGCAACGGGCTTTTTATACCCGGGCCAAGCGGCGAGAGGGCGCGTTGCCCGATCGGGTGGAGCTAAACCGGAAGAGGCAGCGCACTGGCATCTAGACTACGTAATAAGTAATGTGCATAAATTACCATCAATGAGTGCTTAGTTTCGGCCTAATCGTGATATGTTTTAGTTAACGGAGTACATACTATTATGTAGCTAAATATATGAAATCTAACACAGTTATGTTACTTCAGACGTCATTTTCTTGAAATGACGGTCAGATTATGGCTAAATTATGGTCATTTAAGCCTTCTGACACTCCTTAAAATAATAAAACGTCTGCTAAATTACTAAGGACCAATACCGCGTCACTTTCAGAGCCCTTATCCCGCTAAGTATTGGAGGCACCATAATAATCGCCGCGCACAGAAAAACCCTGTGATGTTACAAAAACAATGAAGAACCCAAAGAAATCGTCTCCATCGAAACCAGCATCTGATTTGGTCTTAGTGCAAGCCTCGGCGCAGTGGAGGCACCGTAACATTCATGTGCCGAGATTTATCGTCGGTTGAAGCAATAGGCCCAAATGTCAAAGAATCTGTTGCAGAAAAATCCAAGGAATCGTAAAAGAAAGCATGCCGAAGTCGCCCACATCCAAATCCGGAAGAACCAAATCTTGTGTTGTCTCGAATTTCCCTGGTGAACAGGTTAGAGGGCGATCCCAGTCTTCATTGCCACTTGAATGGAGGGTGGAATTCTTCACGCCGAAAAGGCCAAGGTCTCGACTTACCATGAACTTCAATGCGTCAAAACTGTCATTCATCACGACCAGGCAGAGGACAAAATTACTGAAGATATAGATTGAGACTAGTTTCGTGCGGAAATCTTTGAATTGATCTTCCAGCGTCCTATTGGCGTCTCTGCGTTTTTCTGTGAAAGGTGTGAGTGCACGTTTTACCGTTGCTTCGAATGTGGAGTCGATGTCCGCTTGAGATACGTCAGACATCTCAACCTCGACTGGACTTTGCTGCTTCTGTCCTTTTGTAACCGTTGCGGAAGGAAGTGCTTCGCTGGCATCTACCCTACCCTCACCACCCCAACTAACGTCGTGAGAGTTGCTGAAGGCGTATATATTGATGATATTGGTGTAGGAGGATTGGATAAAGAGGTATTGTGGGTAAGCCAAAAATAAGTACCATGGGTCAAAATTGAGAAACCCTGTCGCAAAGTAGACTCCAAAAACAGATCCGCAAGTGATCCAAATGGTCAATTGCCCAATTTCGCTGTAGAAAGTTGTTATGTACGCGTAACTGTGAGCATTAGAACTGCTTTTTTTGTGGAGCAATGCGACTGCGAGGAGATACACCACATTCATGATGAAGTAAAGCTGAATCACCCCAAAAATAAGGAAGGAAACTATATAGCTCCAGACTTGGCCTTTCGGCCGCGTACCCAGGGCCAATATAAACTGAAAGACGATCGTCAGAAAATAGACAGTTTGAAGAACCGCATTGAATATTGGCGTTGCTGCACCAAATGGCCATGGCCTTATGGTGGAATCGGCTGGGGGAGAACTCGATATGTCGGTGACAATGAATATGGTTAGCAAGAATGTCGCTAGGTTAAACCACGACAAGGTGAACGAAATAATGTTGTACAAAAGTTGGACGTGGAAAAGTGCTAGCCGGAGGATGTTGTGACTCGATTGGTAAAGCTGTCTAAAATGTGTCACCGAGTATGTTACTGCCGCGAGAGCTCCGTTCAGCCATCTTCTTCGTTGAGTAATAAAGTCAATCACATGTTCTGGTATATCCGTCTCGCCTTTGGCTGCTTTCACCGAGGCTGAATGCCATTTAGAGCCGGCTTTGAATGCAAGCTCGAAGCAAAGGATTCTGTCCTCAGCAAGATAAAGGTTTTTTTGGAGAACAGTCTGACGTTTAAACCCAAGGATCCAGGTGGGATCCCCCCGAAAGTATTGCTCAAGTGGTCTCCCTACAATGGCTCGGAAGCTGGTAAATCAGATGAGTGAAAGGGAGAATACGAAGAAATGATCTTACCGATAAGCAGAAAAAGCGCCTGGAAGGACCGTCAGATAGCCAAAAAAGCTTTCCATCGGCTTGTCAAGGCCACTACTGATCTTGTACTCAAATAGCTGAGCTGCGACGAGCGGATTGAACAGTTTTCGCCACCCCGGCCCAAGCCAGGGATAAACCTCGCCGCATGCTCCTCCAAGGTCTTTGTCATTGTAGAACGCCTCCCACAGACACAGGAGACTTCCTGGAAGGATGCGGGTGCCAACGTCGAGTACGACGCATACTTCAGGATTAAGAATTCTTCCAAATCCTGAGAAAAACCAGCGATGTGAGTTGATCTTTTGGCTGTTTTTCTGTTTGAGACACAGAATCATCTGGACCGGACTAAAGCTCGGATGATCGTCGAGAGGGTGAACAAGCTGTTGAGAAGACGTGACCGAGAGTTGCGTTGTATACTCGAACTAGATCAGAGATGGTCAGGTATGATGACATTCGGAGCGGCTACATCGACATTAAGCCTTCACTCTTCAAGCAAATCATGGAAGCGGATATAATGGACTTGATAAAGACAAAGATAAGACTCCTGAGTAGAGGAGAGAAACCAGGAGGCGGTCCAAAGATCTGGGATTGGAGCACTTACGATGTGTGCGACGGTTTCCTTCCCATCGACGTCTTTCTTCATGATGCCATCTTGGTATACTCCAACAGTGGCTAAGACATCAAGTGTCTCCTTATCACAAGGTTCAATTCCATCGAAGAGGAGGCATACGACGATCTTCTGCCATGCTGAGCTGCCCTTATTCCAGAACTCGGACATTTTCAGATTAACAATGTCACGAACATTTTCCATCACACTATGAAGACTGCGAGAAAGCATCCTCCTGTCTTCGCAGAAGTAGGTAATTCCAATAGCTAACTCTGTGTGACGGTTGTACATGGCTGGACGAAGATTGTAACCATTTTTTAGAGTAAAGTCATCAGGGTCGCAGGTAGCCGCTGTATCTAGACACGGTTTCAATTCAAAACACGTGGCACAACGTATCGAAGGTAACCTACACCTCATATGCGTGAACTCTTCCGAGCCACCTTCCAAGTCGTCGCGATACTTTGCCTGAACGGCGTTACGGATTGCTGAGGGTACCAGGTAGTCAACACTGAAAACTAAACATTGACTTGGTTTGAATTTTCTGTGTGCATATCTGGTCCAGGAGTTTTTTCGTTGTTTCCGCGCATTTGTGATAATATCCTTGGATTGAAGGTGTCGGTCTCTCACATGACGGAGGTGCCTAGGAGGCGCACTTCCATTTGTAACTCGGGGGTTCCTGCTCTGATCTTCACTAGACCCACAGACAGAATATGTGTCAGTTGATGCGAGGTTCACTGGGGATCTTAGTCGTTGTGGGCGTAAAGCTGTAGGACTTTGGTCAGGGGAAAAGGGCGGACTCAGGTCAGGTGGAGTGAAATTCTCCGATTGAGGCATCGAGCCTGATTAGCCAGCAACTTGCAGAGGATAATGGCGGTGGACTGCTTGAGTAGATGTAGAGTGCACACAGAATAGATATGACGGGAAGAAGTAAGAGAGAAGACATGATGGAAAGCCTAAGAAAGGTGTCCGGAAGTGGTGGCTACCTTGTAGCCGCAGCTGCGCCTTCAGGCACCAAAGAAAAGTTCTAACTACACAACGTGCGCTGCAGAGGCTCTTTCTTTGAAGGGTAGAGGATTTCCACCCATTTTAAGGGGGTTGAGGATTTGGTTCACTGTTACACACCACTATAGCTGTATTAGTATTCGAACCGACGTCGCACAGCCTACGTTTGTACCTGCAGTGTCTATCATTCTGCCAAGCAAAGCCTTACAGCATCCTGGCGAGTCTCTCGGGCCGGCAACTTACACATTGTCAATGAGTCGCAGGAGACTGCAGTTGCAAGCTGAAGCAAGAACATCTGAAAGGTAGAGACAATGTTGTGATGACAATGTATGCAATGAAAAAATATACACCTTGGTTTCATACAACATTTGTACCAAAGACACATCAATAAAATCGTGCCTTGAACCCCTTTTTCCTCATCATTCACCCCTATACCCATTCCTCAAGCAATCCCATCCGTACTTCCCTCCTCCTTCCCTAACCAAACCTTAGACAACCTCCTCGAAACCGCTTGGCCGAGCACCCTCTCGCTCACCGCCCCATCCCTATTGGCACTCTTTCTAATGTTCTGCAACACCAACGGCCCTTCCTCCCTAAACGCCTTCACCAGTTTTCCCACCGTATCAAACTCATTGGCAATCCCATACGCCATCGAGGGAGTCACCCTCTGCACCTCCTGCAACATCTTGACGTAGGTGTCCATTCGGTCATCGCCAGTCTTTACCTGCCCGACATCCATGCAGAACCCAACCGCGTCATTAGCACTCATGCGGAGGTGGCGGTAGGGGATGGTGGAGATGTGTTCGGTGAAGGATTTGATCCACTCGGCGGAGAGGGAGGCGGAGGCGGACTGGTGGATTAGGATCTTGGCGTGGAGCTGGAGGTGAAGCAGGAGGGTTTCGGTGAGGTCTTCGTTGATGGAGGATAGGTCTATGACGGGAGTGGTGGGTTTTTGGTTATTTTTCTTGCGGCGCGGTTGGCTTGATGCAGGAGGGTGACCATGGTCGTCATCGGTCATCTGAGAGCGAACGGCTGCTGTGTAAGCACGGTTTTTAGCGGTTTTGTTCTTTCGCAAGAAGCTGGAGAGACCTTCGATGAGGTAGATAAGCTTGCATTCTTTGTACTGACTTCTTAAGCTGGCGACATGCGCATCGAGGTTCTTGGTCATGGCCTTCTCTTGCGTGGCTAGCTCCTGGTTCAGAGACAAGCCTAATGCGCAAATTTCAAAAAATTCTCGGGCTGTCACGTGGAGCAGTACATGCTTCTCGATCTCGACTTTTTCCACTGGAATAGGTTCCCAATGTCCAACTGCCTCGTTATACTTAGCTTTCAGTTTTCTCCTCCATCGGACCAGGTTTCCTTTCCGCGTGCCAACTTCGGTCGGTTTAGATAAGTCCAATTGTTCATCAAAGAATGTAGTGTCAACTCCAAGAATCTTCATGTGTTCCAAAATTTGATTTCCAACACTCGTGCCCTCCAATGACCTGGCCATGTCAACGATCATCTCTGGTGTTGAGTTCTTCTTGTCAGTCTTCGACTTGTTCACCTCAGCTATGTCAGCTGCCAATTGCTTTTCCCGAGCCTTCTCTTCTTTCGCCAGGCGCTTCCGCTCTTTCTCGGCCTCTTTCTCCTTCTCCTTTCTTGCTTTTGCAGCAGCTCTGTCAGTTGTGCAGGCGTCTTTGTCCTTTGCTAGCTTCCGCCTTCGCTTTGGAGGACTTGACGTGATGTTGTCTTCAATGGTTGATCTCTTCGTTGCCTTTGAAGTTGCTGTTGGTATGATTTTTGTCTCGGTGCTGGCAGTGTAAGCAGTAGCTTCGTATCTGCCGCCACCTTTCCCAGGTCCTGTGATATTTGCTGGCAAATTGGCAGTCCGCTCCGAGAGCGGCGCTCGCGTAGGCGCTATAGGCTGTGACAGGCTGAACACATCCTCTTCGTTGAGGTCTTCGACCTCAACGTCAATAAAGGCTGCTTTAGTAGCTCGACGGACAGTCCGCGGCTCGGGTGCAGAAGATGGAAAGGTAATTGGATCTGATGACACATCCTCAACGTTTGTAGTTGTTGCAATAATAGTGGTCTTGCTGATGCTAGTATTCTCTGTATTGAGGATATCATTTAAACCATCTGACGAAAGGAAGCTGTATTTACAGGACTCTTTCGACTTGGTTGGCTTTGGTTCTGGTGGGCTTAACCGCCGCTTCTTCTTGGGTTGCGCAGAAAGAAAATCGAGGTCATCTGGAAAGCTCGAAGAACTGAGGACGTCCGAGCTGATGTCGAAGATATTTTCCGAAGGCACTTCGACTCGCGATCGTGGTGCTTTCGTCTGCTTGCTTTTTTGTGGACTGTTGATGGGAGAGGAAAGTAGGTCGATTATTTCCGGCATGACGGCCTTTGCAGCGATTGTCTATTGAGCGTTACAGGTCAATGAGGCCGCAGTAGCGAAAAAGTATATATCGGCGGCATTGAAGCTGTAGGCTCGTGGCTCGTGGTCGAGGAGACCTCAATCATACTGCTTTAGCCATTGGTGGTCCAAGGAACGACCCAATTGGTGCTCTTGGCAAATCGCGTAGTACCGCGTCTCGCATTAACGCGAGGTCACGTGAATAGCTGAGTGTCATTTTGATTGCCGGCAAGGTATGCTAATTGTTGAGCTGTATATGTTTTCTAGGAGGCCTCGACAGATCTGGGATGCTCATAAGTGTAAGGAAGAGCGCAGCCACAAAGATGCCAATCACACTCAATACAAATATCACATCCTTCCGTTCGACAAATGCTTTCCTCCGGCCCCGGATCATTTCCTCGATCTGGTCCTCGAGCATGTGCGACATTTTCGTTCGTGAGAATTCGCCTTGTACTCTTTTTTTGCCTGCTTGACCCATCATTTGTATCTCTACTCCATCTGCATCATTGACCACCTGACTCATCACGTCGGTCCAAGCACCAACGTCCTTTGCATCCCTCAGCCAGCCAGTCTTGCCATCAAGAACAGTCTCCAAGGGTCCCCCGGTATTAGACGCTAGGACAGGCACACCATATTGCATTGCTTCGACAGGAACAATACCGAAGTGTTCGTTTTGAGGCGTGTAGATGAGTAGCTTTGCATTGCGAAGAAGGGTAGATTTGAAAACCCCAGGGACGGAGAGTAGGAAGAGGACGTCGATACTGAATGGGACGGCCAAGGCAGTGGGCACATTCTTCGCTGTGGCATGAGAAAGTCCGAGGTAGTCTGCCAACGCCTCGAGCTCTTTGTGATACAGGACGTTCTCAGATATTCGGGAGTCGTACCCTCCTATATGACGTGTCAGCGGTGTCCCCTCGTACACAGGATACCATTGCATACCAGCAATTACAAGCCGGACATTGGGTCGCTGCTCCAGAGTGAGCCCTGCAAACGCCTTTATAGCCAGCCCGACATCCTTTTTCCTCTCGAATCGATTGATACTTAGCAATATTTTCTTATTTTTCCATAGCGGCTTCTCATCCTGCTCCTCCCTTTGCCCTGATTCGATATTGACACAGGGATAGACTACCCTTAGTTCCCCCAACCTGTCCCGTCCAAACACCTTCTCAACCACACTTCTCGTAAATCTTGAATTGACAACAACCCGATCGCTACCACCCATACTCCAACCTTCGAACCAATCGAAGGGCCACCTATACACCCTCTTCACAATACCCAACCAGCCCTGTTCATCCCTTCTCGCCAGTAACTGGTCTGGAAAATGGCAGTAGAAAAGCACCCTCTCATTCCGGGGCCATAGCCATCGTAGTAAAGGCACACATGCGCTCAATTGATCGATGATGAAGACCTCGGGTTTCAGTTCTGCAAGCTCGTTCGTGAAAAGACATGTTGCAAGAACGAGGTGGATCTGCCGGAATGTCGCGAGAAGAATGTGAAATCTGTTCAGTATGGCAGGAGGGAAGATCGTATGACCACGAATTCTGACATCGAGTGTGCCTATATGCCTAGTCAGTGTGTTAATCGGGCGATGTCAAACTGCACCTGTTGTATATATGTTGTGCTCCACGACACTATTGAGTATTCCGTCTTACCGTCTCTCGCTTCCTCAAAGCAATGTTTCGGATCACAATGTGATGTTAAGATCGTCACCCTATGTCCCAGGTTTTGTAGGCCGACAGCAGCATCAATGATAAGACGTTCGGCGCCGCCTATGCCGAGGTCTGGATGAATGAAGATGATATTTCGTTTCTTGCTTAAGTCAGGTTTGGGGGTGTTTGTGGTGGTCGCAGACATCGTGTGCTCAAATGATACAGGCAGGAAAGAGGAGGACAGCTTAGTTTACAAGAAACATGGCAGGACACTCGATCGGATTTGCATAGGATTCGTCCACCAATATCTTACCCTTTCAAGCCCACAGATCTCAGATTTACTGAACATCTACCAAGAAAGATCAGTATCAGAAAGTGTATGCTTTCCACCACGGACCCTCCTTGTTCTTGAGTCATGCATACAACAATTGGTTTATGAAGGGTCAGGTCAAACTGTCTTTCCAGAAATTATTAGAACATTCGAATGCAGTAAAGTCTGAATTGTGGGCATGGGTCTATCTTCAAACATGATCGGATCAGCTGTCTATCGCACAACTCCAGACCACAGCCCTCCGAAATCGAAAGAGCACCGCCTGAAGAGGCAGAATAATCGATGTTGCCGGTGGGATATTCGCTAAAGTCATGAAAACCTCCAGAAAACGCCAGGTCATGCTATTCTCCAAAGGACACCGGACCAGCTAATGCATCATGAAATCATGCTCTTTCATCGTCAGATACTGACTTCCCCAGCATCCTCTTCAATATCTCCTTCCGGTGGCCCCTGTTTTCCTCCTGCAATTCCAATAGCCATGCCCTCGCCTTCACCCCGCTCAACGTATTCTTCTTGGTTGATATCGCGAAGGATCCGCTGGAAGTACATTCTCAGTGTCCTCAGACCTCTTAGATATCCTCGATCGATATCATTGGGATGCTGTGGTGGACAAACGGCACCTGCTGGTAGCTCATCCTCACCTATCACACAATTGGCGAAGTCAACGATCTTCAATTCGATCGGAGATGGCCATTTCATGCCGGCCTTTTGCTTCTCTCCTTCCTTATCTTCGCCTTTCGATTTCTGTGCTGCTTCGATCGCTTTTTGCGACTTTTCAGGCTCGGCATCATACAGCATCAACAAGCTACTGGCATAGAATCGGTATCCTGGAAGACGACGGACCATGTTTTCTAGTTTCGAGATCTTGTCCAGAATGGTTGGGATATGTCTTGAGACACTAGAATAGCTGATGCCATCGTAGAGGAACCTCGTAAGCGCATCTCTAAACTCTCTTCCAGCTTTTACATCGCGACCAAAGTATTTGTCTTCATATGTGGGCTGCTGCTTTTTAACATTGTAGGTTTGCATCCCGCAAATACGCACCCCAAGCTGTTGCGAAGTTGTCGTCTTGCATTTACGTCGCTGCGATTCCATTTTCTTCTTATTTGCTTCAATGCCGTACTGGCGAGTCCCCATTACCTGCCGTAAGATCTTCGAGAAGTAGGAAATACACAACGCGCTGGTCGGGATTCTGGGTTTGCGCTTCCTTTGGATTAAGGGGCAAGTGTTGCATACCAAAATCGGACAGTCTAACACTTGGCTGCCCCTTGTTTTTCTTCGAAGCCTCTGATGCCTGGTTGCTCAGTCTTTCAGTCGTATTTCGAAACGTTGTGCTGAGATTCAGATCTGGTGGCACCGCAATTGATGGGACAGGCATCGAAAACGAGGCACCTGAGCTGTGAAATTCCATGGGCAACATGTCTCCATTGATGTCGGGCCCATATTCATCACTTTCAAAGTATTCGAGGCCACCGCTAGCGTTCCTACAGCCCGAATTTCTCCGTCTTCGTAGACCCATACCAGAGTGGCGTCGCCGACTTCGACTGTTTGGACTGCCTGCGGAAAGCTGAGAGTCGGTATTTGCTGCGGTCTTTACCTTCTCTAGGCCTCTTGCAAGGTCCTCAAATTCTGAGGCGGAAGTGGAGTATGCGTCAATCACAGGCTCCTCTCCGTTGAGGATCAACAGGTTCTCCTTTACCTCAGCGGGATCATGCGCATCGGTCGGATTAGGCGTCCGCCATTGCTCAGTGAGTATGCTGTTGTTTCTGCGATGGGTGTCATACTGGATTTCTGAGAGGTGGGTCTTTTTATGGCTGGGTGTGCGTAGGCGGGGAAGGGTGGCGTGGACCTTGGCGTGCTTTCTGTGGTGATGGATCAAAGGCGGCCCAAAAACCTCCCTGAGCACTTGTTCTCGAAGCTTACTGTTAACAGTCGTAGTGCCCCAGCTTGTAGACTCGGATAAAGGTGGACGAGTTGGAGAGTGGTTATTGGTACCGGTCCCGAAGACTGTGTCTTTGCTCGTACGTGCATCGGGCGAAATAGGAGATATAGTACCTTTGGTGTGAGCATGATGAGGATCTGCGCTACGCGGCCTCCCGGGAGAACCAAAGAGACTAAAAGGGACGATATGTCGATTCTGGTCCAAGATGACTCGGGGCACTTCACCGATTTGCTGTGACTGACTGACAATTCTCGGTGGTCCGGCCGTCTCTGCTGGCTTCGATTCAGGCAGCGCTTTATCATGCAACGATTTAATGGAACCGTTCGAACGCGTCATGTTCGAAGATACATGAGGTTGGCCGTTCTCAGTTTCCTTGTCCGCGATCGGTATGGTGTGTGTCGGTGGCTTAGGACCCTTGGAGAACGTAACGTTCAGGACGCCAATATATCTAGATTAGTTTATCACTATCAGCACAGTCCAATTGCAAATCCAGGCAATGCCCTCTGGGTGAAATCTTTTAAACAAAAATAAAATACTAGTGACCAACCTTGGAAGAAATCGAAGCATATCTGGATGTTTCTGCTCGATCCGCTCGTAGAACTCATTTTCTCTATTGTTCAACTGCTTGCAAATGGCACGTCGCGAGAATCGAAATAACGTCGAGTGTCCACCAACCTGGTGACTGTAGGGCTCTAACACCACTGCCCCCCTCAGGCCCATAGCACGACTTCGTTGTTGCAAAGGACTTTGGGGGACGGGAGTGGATGTAGGTGTGACTTCACCTTCTTCGGGTTGACTAGTATAACTTGGCTCTTCCCCTGAGCTGATCTCCGGGTCAGAAGCACTAGGAGCAATATCGGTTGCTCTTTTGCCTGTGGGCCCAGGAATTTTGCTTTCCAAAACTTCATCAGTAGGTTCTTCGTTTCGTCGGTAGTCTCCATGAAACACACTTTTCTCATGTTTAGACTTCACAGAGATGTCGATGTGCTCAGGCTGAGCCTGTTCATTGAGACTCCGCTTCAACTCTGCTTTGGAAGTGGGACTGGCTGACCTTAGTGAAGCTGGAAGCCCCTTTCCCTTTTGTTCTTCGTCAGGGGAAGTGAATTGTTCAATGTCTTCGTCCGAGGGTCCAGGATGTGGAAAATAGACCGCAGACGATATGTGCTCTTCGTCCTCATCGTTTTGATGTTCAGCTTCCCCCCCTTGACAGCCTTTTGTGCCTGTTAAATGGTCCGACTCCAGCAGTTCGACTATAGACGGTGGCGAGTGAGAAACAATGGTATCAAAATTGCCCGCTGGTTTGAGACTGCCATGCTTGCGAATATCCTCAAGAAGCTTGGCTGGTAGCATGGGTGTTTTACCACTTCCTGAATGCTTTATTTCGTCGTATTTTCTAAAGTAAGGATCATGCCCTATGTTCGATTGCGATATTGGGGTAGAAGGCGAGCTGTCAGGAGATTCCAAGAAGTTTACTGAGCTGCCTGCTCCGGCATCGATAGACAGATTAGAAAACTGTGCACTGGTTGGTGAATGTGAGATTTTGTTTGTTGTATTGGTGGTGATGGCTGCTAAATCTGTCAAGGTAGAGGTTATGGAAAGTGCAGCTTGTGAACGTGATTGCGGAATGCCTTTGTCGTCCAGGGGCAAGATACCTCTTGACCCTCCTTCGTGCTTAGATTTGGCAGATCCAGATGGGGCATCACGCTTTCTGGCATCAGATGGTGCTGTTTCCTTGAATATGCCCATCAGATGGCTGGACTTTCTGGTACGGACGTTCTTAGCCAAATCACGATTTGGTAGCGTAGCTTCAATGCTCTTTTCCACATGGGACCGGCCACGGCTTGAACTCCTCTCCTTGCTAACTGTTTGTCGGATGGTTTCCTTCATTGCAGACCCATGGTTGGACTGTTTTTGACTGACTTCTGGAATAGAATCAGAGTACTCCTCCGCATTATCACAGATTTTGTCTGTTTGTTCCTTGCGGATGATAGCACTCGTTTCCTCCGTTGAATGTGGGTGAGCCTTGTCTGTGACTCTGAGTTGAAGAATCTGCTTTCCCGACTGGCTCTCAGATGCCATACGGCGCAACTTGTGTATTGTCCCTCCTGACCCTTCTACACCCTTGCTGCTAGGGGTGGACGATTCCGAATGCTTCTTTTGTTCAATATTGTTCATTGTCCATGTTGATCTTGACTTTTTCGGTGACAGTAGGGCTTTGAGAGATGAGGCGGGACGTGGGGGTGAGGTTGGTCGGGCAATCTCCATGACTGGAGTTATATCTTGAGGAAGGTTTGCAACATCATTCGCTCCTTCTGCGGTGGGCAGTCGGGGCGTCTGGTCGTTGCCATCAGAGGGCAGGTAATGTGTAGCAAAGATGCTTTCTCTTTCTGTGAGCTGTGGGCTATACTCACCAAAGCTGGCTGCTCCTTTCACATTTTGAACTGGAGTGGTGGTCTCTGGTCTCTGAATGAAAGCAGACCTCACTCCAGACGTTATCGACTTTGAGCGCGTCTGGGATGATGGCAGAGAAGATTCAGAGTCATGATGGAGATTGAGACATTTTAATGTTGGCGAGGTATTTCTTTTTATAGCGTTAAGGGGATTTGACATGGATAGCACATTGGTCAAATGGTTTGCAGGAATTGAGGGGCGTGGGCGAGGGTTGAGTACGGTTGGTGGAATATCGTCACCGCCGCGGAAGCGGAGGAGGAAGTTAGATACGTAGGCACTTCTTGAGTGTCACAAATGCTTGCAGCTTGCTTGTTCAACATCTACTCATTATTCACATGATCTCGTGCAACTGGTTCCTGGGACTAGAGTGGCCAGCTAATGGCAAAAACCAAATTTGTGATGATCGAATAATCAAATGCAGGGCCTCCTTAACGGAGTATCGGGTAGTACCATGACTATCTTGCTCATCCAAACATTGACTACAGCCCTACTACGTAAAGCCATCCGAAGATACAGCCAAGGCGGGGCATCAGAATGCACCAGCTTACCCGCCTTCCAGGGATAAATCTTATGGGTGAGAATTTAGAGTCGACAACTGGTGGGCGTCACAAAGTCTGCAATCTCTCCTTTGGTGTCACCGGTAACTTTCGGCCACGAGTTCTACCTAAATTACTCGTAATTAAGAAGCACGACATCACACTAATTCGCTCAGGATTCCAGGCGGCTTTACTTGTGACACCCGTAATGCGGAGTACGTAGATGTCACTCGTAGTACGTAGCTACTGAGTAGTTATCCCATGTGCCCGGCTTAGGCAGGGCCCGGGGCAAGCACTCTCTAGACCGATGCCAGAATGTCCATGTCCCTGATCGCGGCTTTCCAAGATGCTGGTCAGAAGGATTGTTGGTTCCCTATCTTACTCGAGCGTGTGCCTGTGTAACTTATTCACCCACTTCTCTTGTTTCCGGCAGGATGTTGCCTCAGTTCTCAGACATGCTTGTGGCTAAGCTGCTTACTAACTCAATGTGCGCCAGCACGTTTGAGGACAAGAATCAAAATTACAGCCTGATTATCACTCCGCCCCACAAAATAAGCTGGCTATACCTATTTAGGCCAGAATTACGTGTATTCTTTAGTAATTTGTAATTTTATGTATAAATCAATATAAATCGCAGCTATTTCGCACAGGATCCTACACAGAATCCTACAGAGAATCTACGGTTATTTTGACGTAGAATTCTACACAGCATCCTACGCATAATCCACAGCTATTCCGCGCAGAATCCTACGCAGGATCTACAGCTATTTCAACGGAGAATTCGCTGCAGAATCCACAGCTATTTCAATGTAAGATACAATACGAAGTTTTACACAAAATTTCATCAAAAATACACCAAAATACACAGATTATACACAGAGCTATTGAGACATAGCAAAGCAACCTAATCAGTTGTCGAAGATCCAGTAATAGAAGAAGAACCACCGACTATTTTCGAGAGCCGCCGATAACTCGATAATCTTACGGACCTCACAAGATTTGTTTGGAATTAGATTTTCTTAATTAAGATGTAAAGATCCTTGTAATATGATTAGAATCAAGAGGATACATTATAATATATTAATAGAGCGTTATCAGATGTCATGATAGATTATCTGAATTAATAAAAAAAGATAATATGATCATTATGATAAATAAAATTATTGATAGATTATTAGTTGCAATACGAATAACACGACTTTAGCAGTGTTTACTCCAAACTGAATGACAATCAGGCCAAAATACAGGTCCTTATCCGACATATGAGACGATGTCTGCTTAGTCAACAACTAGCCCATTTCGAGCATGGCGTGTGTGGCGCAGCCCACTAAGCCCCGTCTGAGAATCCGAGGCAAGGCAGGATGATCTTCACCAGCACAACCTTACTGTGCATTGCGAAAGTGTTGCAATTCCTTGGCATTGTATTGAGAATTGCTGGCGCCGCGTCGTGAAACAGAAATAGCTCTTGAGCGTCATCTATGTACTTGTATAATGTAAAAAGTATATCAAAATGATGATGAGCCTCTTCTGATCCCAATGATATAGATCAATAATAATGTAGACCTTAATTGGTAAAGTTCATTCTTTACATTGTAAATCTTACTTCTTTAAACAGGGTCTCTTATATCTGAAATCTGTACCAATAGAATCAGAAGAAGCTCACCATCATTTTAATATACTATTTATACAATACAAATACATAGATGGCCCTTAAGAGCTGTTTCTGTTTGACGTTCTGTTTGACGACGCGGCGCCAGCAACTCCGCACAACCTCCAAAAATTGCAATACTTTCGCAATGCACAGTACTCACCAGTAGCAGTTTGCAGAAGACACTAAGTTACATTAGGCTAGATGGCCGCAAGGAATAGTTAGGGCATTGTGTATGAGAGCTAGCTTTCTCTCTTCATCCACTTATCTTCAAAGGTCTTCGAAGGCTTATCTCAAGCAGCACATGCATTTCACTCAACAAAAGCCATCGTCCAATGCCGTCGATGGATGTGTAATCAGGTGTGATGGGGGAATATCGTTGAGAAAGTCTTCCAGCCCTCAGCTGCCAATTCCAGAATCTATCTCTCGTTCGACAAAGATAAGCCTGGCTTCTTAGGTGGTATCTTGATGTTGAAGTAGGTTGGATAGATACTGCATGATTCGACCAGGTTCCCTGAAACAACTTGAACGCTCAAGTCTCACTCAATTTCCCTTGACACGTATGTTTTGCGCAAGATTGGCAACAGCTGTAGCGCACCGGCCTCCCATGCATATGGAAGCTAGAAGATAGTGTAATTGTATTTGTTACATATCTGGGCACCTGCGAGCAAGATGCTCACGAACTTGAATGCCTAAGGCATTGCGAAATCCACCGGGTAGCTCCTCCATCCATTTCTACCTTCGAGACTTTGTCTTCGGAATTGGCTCAAACGCGTCCCCATCCTCATCATCCTCAATATCGTCGTTGACACTTTGACTTCTATTGCCCCCTTTCCCAAGCACACTCGCCTGTGAAGCGGAAAAGCTAATCTTCGATTGCTTGGTGCTTGCGGCTGCTGATCTTGGTGGTGCCTTCCTGACTGGAGATGCAGCCTTCTTGCCTCGAGTAGAGGCAGCGGCTGCCTTTCGCCCTCTGGTCGACTTTTCCGTAAAGAACATCGCCTGAGAATCCTCTTCCTCGCCTTCTTCAGCGCGAAACATAGCTGAATCGCCGTCCTCATCTTCGTCCTCATCAACAACTCTCCGTCTGCCTCTACTAGAAGCAGCTGCCTTGGAAGCCGTAGGAGCAGCCTTCCTCGTAGTGGTTGGATTTCCTCCGCGTACCCCCCTCCCTCGGCCTCTCCCTCTACCGCGTGTAGCTGCAGGTTTGGGGGTCGCCTCCTCCTCCTCGTCTTCTTCAGCACCATTGCTTTCATCTACCTCGTCTGGTCGCAGCAATGCGCCGGGCTGATCTTCCCATGCTCCATCAAATTCGCTATCCCAACCATCTGGTCTGGGCTTGAATCTGCTCTTGCCTCCCTTGGACCTCTTTATCTGCCCTTTGGCGAAAATTTCTTCCAGCTGGCTACGGTACCTTTCCATCGCGTCTGCCAGATGTTCCTCCTCGTCTTGCTCTTCGTCATCATCGTCACGATCGAGCTCCAGCAAATGCTTGATCTGGTTTGCAAGCGTTTCGTTGACAAGATCTTCCATAGCATGTTTATCATCTTTATCGATGTACTCACTGACGGCCTTACCAAAGTAATTCTGTGGAAGAATTGTCAAAGACTGAGCGGTGAGGTATTCACGAACCAGTTTATTAACTGCAACAGTGTCAAGCCCCTGCAAGTGCGACATAACTGCCTCGTCCGCAATATCATCTCGAGTTCTTCGCGCTGTGGCGTTCTTCTTCTTACGGTGAAACTGTACAACATCATTGATATTTGCCACTTTACCAACGAAACGATTGGAGAAGCGTTGAGGATTTTCGCAATCAAAGTTCCCTCCATCAAGAGCCGATATCTCGACTCGTAGCCTGATAAGAGGAAGTGGCACCTCGGGGACCTCATCTCCATCCTCGTGACTGCCTTCTTGCGCCTCGAGCCACTCTGCTTTCGCTTGGACTATGAGCCCTTCGACAATTTTAATAAGGAAGCGGGTCAGCTCCGTGCGGTTGTTGTCCTTTTTGGCAAATTTCTGTGCCTCTTTCTCCTCGCTCAGCACGATTTCTTTCATCACGAACGGCCTGACTGTCTTTAAGCGAATGTTCTCGGTGGTAAACTCTCGCCCAGTCACGCTCACCATAGCCACATGCTTAGGCACAGCTTCACCAGGGGCGAGTGAAGTCGCTACAGAAGATCCTGGTTGCATGACCTTAAAGTTCCTCTCCGGATTGGTACGAGGATCAATAGCGCACTCGTGTTCGTGACCCCAAATTACCAGGTCGAGGAAATCTGGAAGGAAATGCTCTGGAAGATGGCTCGTCTCTGTGTATGCGTGATGGTTCTGGTGGACGCTCATGATGTTGAACCAATCATCCTTTTGTGTGTTAGGCTGAAAGAACTTGACTTTGCTATCTCGAAATGTCCGAAATAAGCGCTCATCTCTGACGTTACTTAAGCCATACAAGGCCAATTTCGTATGACCTTTCTGTAGAAGTACTGGCTTGATCTGAATATTGTCGGACTCTGGCGTTCGGCCGTAATAGTTGAGTAGACCAGACATCTGAAGCAGATCCAGTGCTGCCAGGTGACCTTCACCAGATGGATCGTCATGGTTACCATGGATAGAGAATACTGGAATAGCGACATTGATGTCCACGTCTTCATAATTGACGTGGTTGAATGCGCCTTGAAAGATCTCACTAGCATCGCTCAGCATCTCCAATTCACATGGCTTGTCCCCGTAGCAGTTCATTCGTAGGGATCTCATGACCTGGTACATTGATTTCCTCGACGGTTTGTTCTCGTGGAAGAGGTCGCCGGCGAGGAGAACCATGTCAACATCTCGTTCTTTCGCGAGGCACATCACTTCGTGAAAACTCCTCCAACTGTCATCACCTCGCACCGGATCGCGCTCGTTGTAGCCGACATGGTTGTCGGTGGCGACAAGGATGCGAATAGTGTCAGCCGCTGTGAGACCAGGCATGGCTGAACAAGAAGCGGTGTAAACAGGCACGAAGGATCGAGCAGGATGCTAATCAATGAGGTACAGCAGAATGGGATTTCCGCAGAATCAATGGTCATTGTCCGGGGAGGATCGCTTAGAAGAATCAAGCACTTTGTTGCCTATTTGTGGGAATAGGAACGCGTCAAACAACTAAGTTAGTAGTCATCGCCTTCTGGAAGATGGACTCAAGGACGAGATTGCTTGTTGGCCATTGGTGTTATGGTAGTATCGTAGTAATGTGCTTTGTTAGATGCACGGATTGATTTGTGACATGGATCTACATGTAAATATCATCGATTCGTAACACACCACCGTAGCCATTCTACAACAGGAAATTTTCACTCCTCAACAGCAGCTAAATATATCTTCATGTCATCAGTGTCTCTAGTTGTGTAGAGAACCCCAGCAGTGTTGTATCAATACTTTTTCATGAATTAGAACAATTGAATTGATTGTTATTTTCCGTGGATTCTGTATCCTCTGTAAATTCTGTACTCTCCGTAAACTCTCCACTCTCTACGTATTCTGCACTCTCTCCGCCCTCTCCCCTCGCAGTAAATTCTGCACTCTCCCTCTGCGTTTTCTGTAAATTCTGCGTTTTATGAATATCGTGTACTCTCTCTGTGTATTCTGTAAATTTTGTGTCCTCTGGAGCTTAGGAAGGATCAAGTAACCAGTGTGCCACACGGATTTTAAAAGTACGAAAGGAACCCAGATTCTACATGTTACACAGTGGACTGGATGGGCTGTGATGAGCTGTAATACGTAGCAACCAATTACATTGAATTGGGCAGGTAATCTTGTACGTCACAGAGTTACTACTGTAATGCCATTGGGAATTGGGAATTTGGTGTGATGTGATCCCTTTGTCCATACAGCTGCCCGTGTCTAGGCTAACCCGTCATTGGCCATATTTCAGCCAGCAAGACTATGAGTAGTAGATAATCGGTTATACGTCTATACATCTAGCAACGTCAAACTGCTCAAACCTTGGCTCTGGTGTCGTATGGTGATTGCCTCGTCGTAACAAGCGAGCGAGAAAGAGAGATCGCTGCTTCTTTGCTACCGGCACCGCAGAACTGTTTTTTCTTTTATTCGGACCGCCTGCATCAACTATATTTCGCTGCTGCCCTGGCAAGACGTATCCACGCTGATTGCTGATTAACCTGACCGATCCTCGCGTACATGATGTGGTGAAATGGGTATGACCAAAGACAAACCAGTCCACGTCCAAGAGCGGATTTGCTCTCTTTTCCGTCCCAGGAGTCAGAAGTTCCGTTGCGAAGCCGTCAGACCAAGCGTTGTTTTCATTTTCGGGTGCGCTGCTACCCTTTCGCATCGGCGCGTGATGCGTAACCACCACGATCTTCTTCCGGGGATTTCTTTTCCCCTCCTGATTAGTGTGTTCCTGATTTCTGATGCTATTGATTTCGCCTTGAAGCCAATTCAGATCGTCTCTGTGACATTTGTTGTGCTTGTCGACCGTCCATTCTAAAATACGTGAAAAATCCTTCACCTTTGATTGGACGATATCGCGAGAATTTGGTGAGATATGTGAGTGCAGTGTACAACCGAGCAGAGTGACGTTTTCTCCAGGAAAGTCAAACCTGTTGTGTTCCCGCCAGACAAGTCGGCCTTGCAGAACAGGTTCTTGTGTGAGCTTGGCCGCGAGCTGCAGACCTTCCTCTCGGGTGATGCCGTAGAATTCGTGGTTGCCTAGGACGAGGAAGACATGTTGGAAATTTTGACATTGGACCTGGAGGAACTTGAGAAAGGGTTGGTAGTCTTGCAGTCTGCCGATGTCACCCGCAAGGATAAGGGAGCCAGCTTGTACCGGGATTTGGAAGTCTGAGTACTGCTGACCAAGCTCGAGGTGGAGGTCAGAAAGAATTTGTAACCGCATGGCTCGAGTGACTCGGGAGGTGATGTGGGACGATGAGCAACCACTTTATGAAAGATAATATTCCGTGCAGAAGCGAGAGGCCGAGTATAAATATTCTATGTGCATCGGAGGAGTAAAAGGGTCCGGTCCAGGTCCATTTTGAGGCAACGCATTGGATGGGTCATTGAATACTACACCCAGCGGGCGCGCAGGAAGGGACAATAAGTAAACAATCAGCAAATAATTAAACTTGGCTGTATGTACGCTCTTTCGGGATCGCCTCAATCGCCGCCAACTTTCCCTAACCTCTGACAGACTGAAACAATTTGCGAGTCGGTTTTTCTACTCCATCGAAATGTTAGTTGTAGTGAAAGATTAAAAAAGGTGTCTCAGGCATTCATAACCGCCGTGTGTTTCGGGGGTTGGGTAGCGGAAGGCCTCAACCAGCTCACCCACCATTTCAGCCCGGAGGCCGCTTGTTAGAGCCGCTCTGGGCGGCTATAAGTCCAACAGAAAGTGACGCAGTAGGATTGGCCCCCATCCCTGACTTCTGCGAAGGATGTCTAGCTTCGTTCCGCTCATTGTGCTCGGCTGTATTCGCAAATTCACCTTCTATCAAGATCAATTCGATTGGAGGATTGCGTCCTGGGAAAGCCAATATGGAATTAGATTATGTTGTGAAGGTAGTCGAGCAACTCGCTCTAGGTAATATCCCATTCTGCGTGGTGGGAGAGCTTGCTCTGAACTATTACAACGTCCCAAGGGCTGTCCATGTAGGTTCCGAGTGATCTGTCTCTGAGCAAGACCTTAAATTTAACCCCCCCCAGGATATTGAGATCTGTGTCCCGGCAAATCATCTTCCAGAAGCTGTGGACATCCTTCAAACCAACTGTCGCTTGATGAAGATATCAAATGTACCTAAAGAGGACATTTTCACCGATTACAAGAAGAAATTCCCACGATTTGCTTCCCAAGAAGGGCCGAATATCCAGCTGACGCTACTCCTGGATGAAGTATACGGCTTTCAATGCCTGGAAAATACGATCATTCCAGACGACCGCCAACACTCAGACTCCTATTACAGCAAAGAGATCCTTGATGTGCTCTCTCCAGATGCAATTGCATCACTTCCTTTTCCAAGTTTAGGAGCTTTTTTGGGGGGCTTGTGCTCTAGGTACATCAAGTCGAGGGATGTTGTGTACGCCATGGCAGCCGAGCAGTTGGTAGACGGTATGGATATCGACACTGCTTGGTGTCATGTACACCTTGCGCACTTGCCCCCTGTCGAGCAAAAATTTGCAAGTGACCTGGTTGCAGGAAAGCGAGGCCGTATGGATGATTTCTCCGAGAACAAGATCACCTGTTATGTGGTCGACATTCAAGATTCAACCAACATACGCCGAATCCCTGGATCGGGCTTTTCTGAGCTTCCAGAGCACGGGAATGGGCGGCGCTTGATGGAATGCAATGTCTCAACTTTGGCTACACAGGATGTATCAGAAGGCGGCCTTGACCAGACCCGGCCAACTTTGGCCCCAAGACACCCGACTGAAGGCTCTGAACCGAAACAACAGGAGCCACCCGAAGAACTATTTGATGATCAGAACTCCCCAGCATCATCATGGAGCCTTTGATCATCTTTGGAGTTCAGCTTTACACGCCTTCTGCATCTTTAGGTGCTCTTACCTTTACTTGCAGAAACATCTAACAAGAATCTCGGTAGCAATACACCCTACTCGCTGCAATGATCCAGGGGCGGCTCAACGACGCCGCGATTGCACTCTACCAAGTTCTTCAACAAGCAAACGTCAAACACGGTATATTTGGCGGCTATGCTATTGCCTCACTCGGCGGACCTCGCGAGAGTAAGGATGTTGACTGCATTGCTGCTGTGAGCAAGGAACAGATTATACAAGTCCTCAATGGCACCAACGGCTTTGTTTTCATCAATCAGACTCGTCAGGATTATGTCGCGTTCCTCTGGTCAGACAAGCCGGATAGGAGTCATGCCGTCCTGGTGGAGATTTTTGTTGAACAATTCCCAGGTCTGTGCTTCCATCTACTCCGGCCGCATGGACACTAACATCCAATTTCCTAGGTGCGCAATATGACATGCGGAACTTGCAAACTCGCCCAGTGCAAGTACAGGGCCAAGTCAACGGAAATCGACCAATCTCCCTCCTCGACCCAGTCTATGTCTTCAAAGGCAAGCTGCGTGCCGCAGCCCTCCGCGGCAAATTCCACGACTCTGCCGACCTCCGGTGGCTCGAGTCCCATTACGGTAACCAGCTCAGACAGAACAAATCGCAATTCGACCTCCAATATGTCGGGCTGGCTCTCCGCCGCTACCCAGAGCTGTACAACTTGTTCGACCGGCTTGGACTCAATATTCCTGCGGCGGAGGCCGCCACTGCTCAGATCGATCTAGCACACTTGCCGGCACCCAGGCCGGGTGATGTGCACAGAGGATTGCTCAAGGTACCGACCCCGAGAACATCCCCCAGAGGCTCGGCTCCGGGTTCTCGGTCAAGCTCTGCACATAGTCGCTCCTCCAATGGTCGCGGTAGAGGGTAATGCTAGCCTTGCCGCTCGACATCGACTTACTCGTTGGCAAATCTGAGGATTTGGTATAGATTGCATTGTCTATTGGAGTTGATTTGATCGGATCATTGTTTTCCCAATGCTTTTGTCCCTGTTATGTTGTTTGTATGCGACTTTTCTAAGTTGGTCATGCAGCTGCAATAGAATCCATCAACATCCACGACGAGAAGATCAAAAACATATGGTTGTTTCCTCTCAACAATTTCCACTTCATTTAAGAGAGGCGACTGTTCATCCCCGGTTGCGCGGCCACACTCGGAGAGTCGGTCCGTGCGCCCACTATCTCTCTCTTCCACAGGCACCCAAAGCAGCACTTACCTAATAGGGGATACTCCCAATTCCCCACTTACACTGCCCACGAAATCAAGCATCAAGGCAGCGTTGAGTAACCAGGCCAGTTTGAAAGTGAAGCGTAAGCAGATTCTCGCCTATTCCCATTCGCCCAGTCCTGCTCCGCCTGCTGAAGTAGTACTTACCAGTAGACCCATCCCAACACCAGCAGGAACAAATCATGCTACTCATGCACCTACGCTGTTCCTAGAGGATTGGAACAACTGAGTTGTGGCTGAATCGAACTGTCAGATGACCTCCACCATGACGAGATTCTGTCAATCATTAGCTTGCGGCCGAAGCGGAATCAAGGTTCATCAGCCTATTCTGACTATTTCTAAGATCTATATGATGGCCGCCCGCCGAACAAAGCTGTCCATGAGATCTCGTTCCAAGGAACCGCTAGACGTGCAGTGGCTGGGAACCACGAGTGGCAGAACGGCGAGCTCGTTCAGTCTCCTCGACGCTTGTCTCCCGGAATTATGGACAGCATCACTATTAATCTTGGCTTGATTTGTGGGGGTCGGCGTTTACGCAGACGGAAATTGGAGGAACGACCACTTGGGGACACTCTTGAAGAGGAATTTCCGCGGCGTTGGCGTGGTGTCTGAAGGAGATGGCGCCGAGTTGTAGGCCATCTGAAAAGACAGAGTCAAGAGTAAGGGCTACAAGGGTTTCGGAAGACGGACTGGGGTGTTAAAGCTTGTCAGGAGAACCAGGTCAGTATGAGACCATTATGAGCGATCTAGGATCGCCCGCTCATCTTGGAGTTAGACGGGCCTGCGTTGCAGGTGAGAGGAAATTCTGAAGTGAAGAGTGTGTTTGTGTTCTTACTGCTACCACCATCCACACTGTAACACCCTGCAGCCACATTAAGCCCGATCAATTTCATATTCAAATGTCAAATATCTTGGGGCTTTGATACACCGCCCAGTGGTCTATTCCAAGTAGTAGTAGATGATCGTCTCGAATTAGATTGATTGAAGCATGACGTCCGAAATGGACCGGAGAAGAGTGACTTGTTGTCGAAAAACGGGGTGTCGGTTTCATGGGGCTGGTAGAAGATAACGACGTCCATCGCGGTCGGATCGTTTAAGCGTGATAGAAATACGGACAATTCGAAAGCGATGAGGTGAATGTGCGTCCTTGATCTTAAGGATCAAGAGCTGCTGAATCTGAAGGAGGAAGAGACTGGATTTTTATTGATGAGCGGCTCTAGTCCTCTGCGGAACTCGCGGTAGTTGTAACTGTCTGACTTGACTATCGTACTACGTATCACGACAAGGGTTATCGCAATGCCAATTGCAAGCGCTCCCTGCTCAGGTCCCAGAGACCACTCTTTCCCCGCAGATCCCCGTGTTTTGATTGTTCTCTCAGCGAATCATGATTCCACTGTTACTGGTGGCTCCAGCCATTCTCACCCACCCTGGACTGATCTTCCACATAATGTCTATGACGCCTGGCCTCTTCCGAGAGGTTACAGGCAATTTCCTGTCCGTGTGTCAGAAACTTGGGTGTCTTTCCTCTTGAGGAAGCTGAAAGACTGGTAGATAGGCTGACTCGCGGGCAAACTGATGCGATAAATACTCAGCGCGCAGGATGTACTTTCAACTAGTGTAGCCTGAAATTATCGACAACTGGAAGCACAGAGCAGCCGGCTGCGCTTTATGTAGACGCTAAAGATCTTATGGTGAAGCAGCAGAACATGGCCAGTTTCCCTGAATGGTACTCGCACTCTGGCGTCTTGATTCTCTTGTGACCGTCTCGAGGCAGCTGGCCAGACAAAGACACGCGGACACGGACATCCTCCTGTCATGCCGCCGCATATGACATGTCGGATGGGATTATAAACCTGGAAGACGGAAGTGTGACTATGACAGATTGCCCTGCCTAAACTACCGATCAATTTGCCACCCAGGTTTGAGACTGCTACTCAGGAAAACGAGGCGGGAGCAGTGAGATACGTCTCAACGCAGCTTCCGTCAGAGATTTCGCCTACTGGCTCTGTCATGCGTCTCAACGGATCCCCCACCGCTTGATGTTTGAATTCCGACGATAGGAGTTAACAAGCAGGGCAGATCTCTAGGGGGTCTCGTTTAAGTATTTCCTGCATTGGCGCTTGTTTCATTCTTAGCTGGACAGGATCTTAAATAGCCCCTTCCAAAGGACACAACCGAGACAGGCTCTAATACTTAAACAGCTTCTGATTAGATACAGGAGCAGTCTTGGGTGATTTGACACGCTAACCGTCTTCTACATGACTTTAGGTGTGTTTCGAGCTTGCTCTTAACTGCTGCTGTAGTAGCGGTCAAGTACCATGTCCGGCAATCGATATTTTATTATTGGTCTGGTCGTAGCGCCATGTCAGCTGTTGGGGTGTCTTGAGGGTCGTAATGTTATGATCTTCGGAGTAAAGTTAAAGGGGCCGGCGGTTCGGTACTCAACGATGTTATTATCAAGGCCCCAGGCAGGCGGAACGTTGGTTGAAGGGTTGATGAATAGGTGAAGAAAGAGTGTGTGATATCGATTAGGCGTCATCGCACGAATAGCTAGCCACCGGCTTTAGTAAAGCGGACCCTGCATTAAAGTTGCCGTCCACGGCCAGGCCAACCATTGGATCGAGCGGTTGAAGGGAGAGTTGAAGGAGAGCACGAGACAGCCCTTTGGGTAAAGGACATCGTCAGCGCTCGACGCTACGCGGCTGGTTCACCAGCTCAGCCTGCAGAAAGGGCCATCTGCAAGGGAAAAGAAAAGGGGAAGAAACAGAAGAAAAGATAGCAGACGAAGGAGGAGAATCTGGAGCAGCAGGCTCTTTACTACGTATATCGAGACAATGGGTGAGAGTCCGGAGTACGTGTTGCCCAATCGGGTAAGGCTAAGCTCACTTAGCAACGCACCAAGTCCTGTCACGTGTGTGTAGGTTTGGCACATGGGTCTATGCCAAGCCTATTAAGTAGTAGCCCAGACCTCTCAGTGCTCTCGAAATTTCGTGCTACCTTGCTTTACACTTCGAGTGATCTCCCAATAATGCATAAATCAGCAGCGAACAAATTAAGCAGTTCTGGCCAGCGTTAATACTCATTGTCTTGAAGGTAGGACCTGAAACTGTGCCATGTTCGAGTTGTCAGTCTGACAATACTTGCCCGCCGACACTAACTGACCAGGAGCAGGGTTTATCTCCCGTTTGGCGACTTCTTGGTCGAGGCTGGCAGTTATCGCTGGATGGTATCCTCGGAGAAACTGTGTTGTTCTTCACCATTCTTTCAGTAGCTTGCCAACGTGACCAATTCAGGGTAAGTCCGGTCCGAACCAGCTTCGAGATTCTATTGATTTCCGATGCAGGAAGGGCAAGAACAGAGAATTGAAATCAAAGACGCGAAGCCATGGATGGTGGCTAGAGTCATTCAATGGATTTATATCGGGACGTTCGATCGTGTCTGCAGCGAGCATATATTTCCTCGGCTTTTTCTGCCTGATTTCCAGCAGCTGGTAGGGAATGCTTCACCCACAGAGTACGCGCATGAATCAGAAGAGGACGCTTTGATATCAGTCTAAAATGTGTCGGCTGAAGTGTACGAGCTCGGTCAGAGGTTCATGATGCGAGATCTCTGTGACTTTATCTCTAGTGGGATGTTGGAACGATATCGCCAATAACACTATACTTCATGGCCATCTCCGGTTTTTGATACGCTTCAAAAGGCTTCAGAGGAATTTGACAGTGTTCGTGCAAAGTTCAGCACAGTCATTGCAGCGCAAACGTTCTCCACTGCATCTGATCATTCCATTCCGCGCAGATTGCAAAGTATGATTGCGGCTGATCACCGCTTTGCGTGTGAAGTTTTATATCGAATAAAACACTTCGGAGAGAGATATCAGACTGTCATGGAGTCTATGTTGCCTCGTAATTGGCAGTCTAGTTCTGCGATTACGGCACTCAAGATGCAACTATCAGGACAAGACCAAGCATTAACGGACATCAGATTCAACGAACTTGCTAGACGAGAGATGGACGATTCTGGATACATTGAGAGACACAATCCAGAGCGGTACTTTCCTTCTGGTGACCATGAAAGTGGCATAAAGGCTGATCTTTCTTGCCTCAACAATGTTCTGTTCGCAGGAAGCCTCTTAAATACTATTGATGGCTGATTAGGTTTTGAAGTGATTTTTAGTGTCTTGGCTGGTGGAGGTACTATGTATTCGGAATGCGTTCGGAGCTGTACGTTCAGAGCAGTACTATTATATTCGGCGACGGTATATTCGGCGTTTAGGTCTTATTGTGACTCCGCAGTAGTTATTTATATGTAGCGTTCCTGAGTTTTCCTAACACTTCAATAATCCAAATCCTATTGTAAGTTTCAGCTTGCTGTTGTCAGAATCCCTGCGCATACGATACGTATCTGTTACGTATTAGCAGGATGATACAGGGGTCCCCGCATGCGAAACGCACGAAACGCTCTTGTAACTTTTACGCCCTGTTATTTATGGCAGTGAGCATTGCTATACGAATTGAACGCCAAATGCTGTTTCTGAGCTGTTGCAGTAATGCGCCTCTATAGCTATTAGTGTGAGCCAAATGCTCCTCTTGATAGGAGTAACTCAATCAATTCAATTGGTATCTCCGTACGCTATTTGCTACATCCTCTAACAGCTGTTGCTTCTTAATATGTGGCCCTACCAATATTGTTATTAACAGTCCCCATACAGATACCCCTGTGGCCCTTTTACGAATGTCCACGTACCCCTGTTCCCCCCTTGTTTTTGGGCATTCAACACGTTTATCGTGTTCTGCTTGGAGTGCTGTACCAATAGCCTATCTCCTAGAGCTGCTCGAACCGATGCCAGCAAGATGCCAGGCAGTCATTAATGCTAATGGGATGCACACTCAACACTGAACAGAATAGACTAGTCCTAATCAAGCGATTTTGTGGCGTTCTATCTTAGCGTTACAAGCTATCACGAGAAGCTGTCACTAAAGCGCGCTTACATTATTTATGCCTCCTACCGTAGTAGTGTTAGATACGTAGATACGCGTAAGTAGAGATGAAAAACGCGTTATCACTTGTTCAAGTGGTATCAATTGCCACCCAAGCAGCAGTCTCGTATTACAGTATTGATCGTCCGGCGCCCCCTTGACACCGGCCGCCTCCCTACCTGTCACTGAAAGCTGTAACGAATCCTCAAGTTCAAATAAAGGTCATACATGTCTCTCAGCATAAGCAGTGCTTTCGGCAAGTGACGCCGTGCAACAGATTAGGACCCTAATAGTGTTGGCCCTGGGGTGAAATATTCAAGTGAGTAGATATAAGACGAGTCGATCTAGCATCTTGTGCTTTCTACTCTGGATATCCTCATCGTAAATCTCATGATCATATAAGACTCGCTTCAAATATGGTTGAGTCTGAAATCACGGGAACTCGACATCTACCTACAATGGCTACAGCTACGCACCAGTTTCCACCTCTCCACATCGTTCCGCCCAAGGCCGGTCATGCCCACACCCATACAGCAATCATGCTTCATGGCCGATCAAGCGATGGTGAAGAATTCGCCGAGGAACTGTTCTCAATGAAACTGTCAGACCAGGAAGGCGACGATCTGCATTCCCTCTTCCCAAGCTGGCGTTGGGTTTTCCCTTCCTCGCAGTCAATTTGGAGCTCAGTGTTTCAGGAGGATATCACCCAGTGGTTCGACATACATTCTCTGACCGATGTCGACGCCAAACAGGAGCTCCAGATGGAGGGGATTCGTCAATCGACAAAGTATGTGCTCGCATTAATGGAAGAGGAAGTTCAGCGACTTCATAATGCGCGGGAAAAGCTATTCGTCTGCGGCATCAGTATGGGAGGAGCCATCGGACTTTGGACACTGCTTTGTCAGAAGGCAATTGGGCATAATATTGGAGGTTTCGTCGGGCTGAGTTGCTGGCTTCCATTCACAGAGGTGATTAAGAGGCACCTATGGACCGTGAAGGATTCTCTCAATAGCCCTGGAGCCTCGCCTGACGAGGTTGAGGCAAGAAGTTTTATTGCTAAGATCATGGATAGCAAGGCAGCGTCTGCTGGGCTCTTGTCAAGCACACCGGTCTTTCTAGGGCATGGAGTCGATGATGCTTACGTCGATATCTCGCTGGGAAGGAAGGTGAAAGAGGCACTGAAGTCGATTGGGTTTACTCCTGAATGGAGGGAATATGCAGGTGCCGAACAAGAAGGACATTGGATCAAAGAACCCGAGGAGTTGGCTGATATCGCTGCATTTCTAATCACTCAAGCTGAGAAATCTGCCCTTTGAGATAGGAGACACTGCAACATATATGACAAGGGAAAAGCTCATACGTTGCGCTTCATTCACCTAGCCAACGACTAATTTGCGAATCAAGGGCATATTCTACCATCCATACTCCTATTGATGGCGGCAGATATTCAATCCAGTCAGACATAGGATCTCTTCGTCCAATCGTGTTGAGAGCTTTGACGAACTCCCAGTATTGAGGATACCACCCACTGAACTCCCAATCGAGTAAGGAGGTGATTTGGATTCGTATTTCGGCGTTTGGCACATGTGACTGGGGACCTGATGCTGTACACCCATCCCAAGTAACCATGATGTTCTTAGGGTGTAAGTCACCGTGCGTCATGACAATCCGATGATCATCCCGCATGGAGTTTCTTATGAGCTTAATCCATCGCGACCGGGCTCGCTGCGGGTGTGAGCAAAGGAAGTCGTTGAAATCGGCCTCGCTACTAATGGTGACCGAGGAGGTGCGCTCGCTCCTCCGCATATCAGTGCATCGAGAAGAAAGACTGCCGAGTGGAGAGTGCTGAGGGTGTGAGAATAATCGTAAACGTTCAAAAATCCTATTCAATTGAGACCTGATGCTTGTTTTCTGAAGAACAGACAGATCTTGCCACACCTTTTCCAGAGGCACACCCTCTGCTAGTGTCATAAAAAGATATGTCCGGTCAGTCGTTTCAAGCGCGCCGAGGGCATCAGGGACAGGAAAGCGACTGTCTTGGGCTTTGATCCATTGGAGTACTTTGATCTGGTCAGTACTGAGGGAGCGACCAAATTTGACCACAATCGATGATCCAAGGTTGACGACAGGAGTACCACCTGCGCTACCTAATGGAGTACCATTCCTGATTGCCTTGTTAAGGATGGCGATGCTCTCTTTGCTGAAGTTCTGAGTCGGGTGGAGCCATGCGCCAGCCTCAATAGGTAGTTTCAGACGTTGAGAAAGCAGGGGGTGGATGGGATGTATAATTTGAGGAGTCCCAGAAGCTTCCAGTTGATATGCTGACTGAGGCTGTGGAGCAGGGGGGGCAGCTCTTTCGCCTGCCCCTTGTGTCTGCTCTTGCCCCGCAAGGGATCGGCGCAATTTCGGGTATGAACTTGTTTGCTGTGCTAGGATATCACTGAGGTCGACTGAAGGGTTTGCCTTGATACGTGAGGTGAGCTGAAGGAGAAGAAGCTCATTGGCTCTTGCATGACCTGCTTGTTGAGCCTTCTGATCCCCCATGACTCCCCGACATGTAGTCCCGTGGAAGAACCAGTATTTACGCCGCACAGGCTGAGATCATGACTTGAACGCAGACAAACCTTCCGGAATCACACCACTGAGACCTGAGGCGTATTGAGGACATAAGAGCGCAACTTCGGGCTGGGAAAGGAATTACCACGAGACTTTGGGAGCCTCAAAACAACCAGCGAGACCGCATAAGAGTGAGACAATTTCTCTTCAGTTTCCCACGAAGGATCACGTGTCGTCTCGACAGGTGCTGTGGTGTTTTCAAATAACAAGAGCATACTCCTTCATGATTGAAAGAGTCGATAAACATGCCAAGAGCTCGAGACGCTCTTTTGGGCGGCCGAGGGGGCTAACACGACAGGAAGCATCTTCCTCCTTCCTCAAACTATGTCCTACTATAGGATTCTTTTTTAGATGAGTCAATCACTGCCTCTGAGACGTACACCGTGACGCTCTCCGATCAATGTAGGTTTGCCACAGGACAAGCTATGAACAGATAGTTGGATTGTTACAATACATACCATGCTATTCCTCCCCCCCATTATTGAATTCCTTCTTTGATTCGAGGGCGGCATCCTATCAAAATATGATTGACTCGTTTCGCCATGCGTCCAGAAATCTTTCTCTTTTGGTGGTAGGAATTCTTGCTTAAACGCTGCGACGTCATCTTTGATTGTGATACATTGTAATTGGACATGTTCGTGCCCGAACTAATGTCACATCCATTGCAGTGGGTCTCGGGTTGCTGGTGACGAAATGGATGCTACTCTCAAGCTGAGCCAAAAGCTGGTGGTAGAGCCCTGTAAAAAGGCTTCTGAAGAGCTGGAATCTGTTTTGGCCCTTGATCCGCGATGGGCGAACTCGGCCGTGGCATTGACTGGGAGCAAGAAACGTCGACCTTCTTGAGACTTCCTGATCTCAAGCAGAGGCCTGCGCTCCGGCATTCCATTTCGATGGCGATCTGGTGGGTGACATTGTCCTGTACTGGCCAAATGGAACAACGGTGATGACATTTTCTGATACCAGCCAGACAGAAGGACGAATCCTCAACACTGACATAGACAGATGTCAACGAGACCGGTTGCAGGTAAGTTCGAGAATCCAAAGGATTGTCTCATGCCCTATTGTGCAAAAAAATTACACCACGGTAGCCGGTATGAACGTATAAATACAGAGCAGTTCTCCCAATCAATAGTCACACCTGGTTGTGATGTGTGAGACTGAACAATTAAGGTGTTCATGCACAGCACAGATTACTTCCACCATCTTGTTAGAGCTCTACGTCACAAAAAGGCGGAAGCTGGTCAAGAAGGAGGGAGTATAGATGACGGAAACATCAGTGATGAACGAGATAGCATAATGAATATGATGGTAAACGATGCAGCTTGTGAAGTAGAGTAATATTATTGGAATGCAATGGCTTCTCACAAGCATCAGAAAGTGCCTCACACCGCCGTCTACTATAACGAAGCTGGCTTTTATTAACGTATGGAGGCTGAAACAGTACCTAATTAGGCACCTCAATTGAGTGAGGTTCAGATAAATGAACCCTAAAAAGCAGAGCCAAGTGCCCCCTGGCCGGGGCTTGCCATCAACTCAGAGGGTCACCCTAAGCCACTACTAGTTAGTTCACTTGGTGGCATTTACTCGGTTCGGAGGTTATCTACTCTTTACCAGCGAAAGCGTTCCCCAGAGCAAACCTTCTCATCAAGAGTTGCAAGATATAGAAGCCGCAAAGCTCAGTACTATCCGACTGATCCGTTGAAAGGCTCAGTCCATCTTCCTACCTCTACTTGTGCTCCCAGCTTTATATGCAATCACAGCCTATCGATACTCAACCAAACGAAACAGACAATCTCACTCTCCAATCTGTCCCTTCCGTACAACATGGACTCTGGAATGATTTCGAGCCGTCCTCAAGCCCTCTTCCCACAGGGAGAGCGGACGAGGATGCTACCCAGCAATATAAAGATGCGGATGCGTGGTCTCTCTCCTCTGGCGGATCTAGTCGCGGTCGGAAGCCTAATGTCAGGCGGTTGAAGAGCTATGACAGATCCTATCATGGGTCTTCGCCGGTAAACCGCATTGAAGAATATGAAAGATCTCATCTCCCATCTAATAAGGACGATGGTATATCCTTTCAAGTCATACCCTCTGTCCCAGGTGTCAAGCGCCACATCTCTGTTGAGCAGTTTCCTAATGGTAAGTAATTCATAGTACAGTGGGGCACTTTCTTACATTACTTAGAGGTCATCACTCATATCCTATCGCATTTGCCGCCATCAACATTGTCTGCAATGAGCTTGGTATCGAGACGCTTCCACAACATGGTAACAACACCCCATGCTTGGAGGATAGCATTCTCTCGTTATTTTCCAGGACAAGACGTAATTGGAGACGCTAGCACCGACTTGAGGCATCATGTTAGTGGTCAGCAGATCCTGCGTTCAGAGAGACGCTTGTTCTCGCGCTTGAGTGCTTTAGCATCATGGAGGAGCGAGTACATCCTGCGGACTCGCCTTCTGCGGTCGCTTGCTCGCGGGAAACCGGGTTTGTTCCACACTATCAGTCGATCTGGCGCATCGCGTTACAACGGTGGAGGGCAAGCTGCAGCTGTCGTTACCTACAGCTCCAACCTCGTGTATCCTGTTAGCCACATCCACGCAACATTTGGATCTGGACTGAACAAGAAGATCCCTTTCTTCATGCATGGAGCAAGCGAGTATGGCGTTGTAACGGTCAGCGACCCAAGCGCCGGGAAAGTTACAGAAACATGGGGCGGCAATACCGACTATTCGGCTTTCCATTACTTTGAAGACAGTGCATATTCTGGGGAGGCCATGTGGGGTCTTGGTGCGGGTGACCTGGTGGGTGTTCCGAATACGTTGGACTTGAGCCATGGCTATGGTAGGGTCTATGCCGAAGGTCTCCCAGGTGGCCGTGTCTTTTTTACCCCAATTTCTGATCGTCGTGGCGTCTTTCTCACGGTTGATTCACCAGCCAACCACGACCTTGGCATCCCAGATGTCAACACATTTCGGCGGTCTGTTTGCAGCACTTGGATCGTAAAATCTGAACGCGTCTTGAAAATGTCATGTGGCCTGTTTGGGCTACTGGTCGGGTATTCCAACGGCGTTTTGGCCGCATTTTCTATCGGAGCCAACACTGCATACGACTACCGTTTTGAGAAAGGCCAGCCTACTGCCAAATGGGTTCTTAGTCCAGGTGTGCCAATAATTGCCATCCAAGTGGACGAAAATATCTCGTCGCGCAGGCAGGGTCAGCACAAGATTTGGGCCGTAGCGCTGAACGCCCTTGGAGAAGTATTCTTCCTTAGTGAATTTCCTGTTCGACCAGAAACGAAAGGCAAACCTAGTGAAGATGAAGTCCATCAGATTGCCTGGGAAACAGGACGAAGCGTGCAGTGGACGCTAATCGAAACGACTCGGCGAGTCTCAACGCCAGACCCTTTCAATGCAGCTGCTGTGGATGGGAGCTATTCGCCACGATCATCTTCTAAAGCAGCCGGTCTGAGCAAAGAGCAACTAAACGCAGAGACAAGGGAAATCGAGATGTTCTTGTCTTACAGACCCAACTATTTTCAAAAGATATGCGAAAATTGGGACATGCGCCGCCGGCTGGTTATCGATTTCGCTGGTGCTGATCACATCGGTGCAGGAGAATCAATTTTTGTCTTGACTTGTGGTTTTGATGAGAAGCGGCCTGCAGCAATACGTCGTCTTATGAGACACAAGATTAAGCTTTTAGAGAACCACGACCTCGAGAAGTATCCGGTCATTCAGCCTGGCCCTACTAGACAATCCATATTTGGCAATGATGCGGCTTACATGAGCTCGCCGTCTTACAGCATACCGATATCTCGTACGTCAAGTGATGACAGTGAGATCGACACAGCGTTTCGCACCGAGTGGCGGCTTTCAGAGTATACTCTGGGTGGGTTGAAAGGAGCACAGATCTCTGCAACAGCAACAGACGATTCACATTTCGCAGTTATCAGTGCACGCGAGGATCCTCTTCTCGGCATGTCGGGAGGCTCGAATACTTCTTCACCTTTAGCCTCCCCACTCGGGCAGATGGCACAGCCATCCAGTGTATCGGAGATACCTGGGCAATGTGCTCGCTTTATGGCTGCTGGTACGGCCTCAGGGGTTGTCCTTATTTGGAACATGCGAGCGGCCTCTTCGCCAGACGTTGGCATAATCAACTCAATTGCGCCGCTTCGCATGATCTATACTGAATCTCCTCAGATCTCTTGTCTTGCATTAACGTCTTTGTATGTCGTCCATGGTGGGAATGATGGCCTTGTCCAAGCTTGGGATCCTCTTGCTTCAACCACAGAACCAGTCAGGACCCTGAATTCTCGCTTCTCCAGCCGTGCACGGCGTCGACTCATCCAAGCCGAAGCCTCGCTCCAGGGCGTTGGGAACAATTACTATGCTGCAGGTGCCGTTGTTCTGGATCCAGACCCTACTGTACTCCGTGGCATAGTCTCCCTTGGAACACATTTACGGTACTGGTCATACAGTTCCAGCGGGGCAGACCAATATAAAAGCGGCAAGCGCAAACTCAGACGCAGGTCGGAGCGCGGCAGCAACGCTACCACCACTGAACAGCGGTTTTCTCACACGGGACGAGGAGTGCTGAAAGACTACATTGCGAATGAGAAGCAGGAGCTTGAGCGGGAGAAGATAGCAAGACGGAAAGAGCACGAGCGCATAAGTGGGCGATTCGGCACCGATCTGCTTGGCCCTGGAGCAAGCGAGGAAGAGATGCTGGCATATGCTACAATGCTAAGTGAAGAGTCTTACACTAGCGATGAAGTCAAAAGGAGAGATAGCGGCGGAAGCGATGCGGCCCTGTCATCCGCTAGCAATGATACTGTTCACGAAGGCAATGTTTCCATCTGTGGAGAGGCAGCCACTTCTCTGCTCTCAGCTTCTGCAAATGATCCCGAGAATTTAGAACCAGATGTCGCAGAAGCAATCCGACTGAGCCTTCTGGAGCAAGAGGGAGAGCAGACATCGCCACCGCCACACGCTAGGATTCAGATTCGCTATGGTAAGAAAGCATCATCGCCATCTCCTTCCTCACCGAATGCTGGTGGCAGTCATCGCAGGAGCCCGACTACCATCGTAGAAGAAGACGATCTTGACTTTGCTCTGCAGCTCAGTTTGGCGGAGGAACAGAGTCGTCAAGGCGACATAGCGGACCTAGAGGATGAATTCCCCGCTCTGGCATTGCCTGCTACTTCTCCGTCATCTGATCTTGCGGGGAAGAAGGGCAAAGGGAAGGGGAAGCTGTGAAGAGATGGTTTCGTGTCAGAATTTCTTTGAGTCTCGGTTCAATCATTTTATCTCCTTGCGTTGTTTGTGAGCTACGATGAGCGGTAATGTGAAGGATCTCATATTTTTCCAATTACCTAGGTAGCTTCTTTGGCGATTGACCCTGTGGGCAATTCCACTTCAGTAAGCTACATCTATCGGTTCAGCTCTCTCCATGCTGGTAATGTACAAACGAGTCCTCAATGAATGCTTTCGAAGAAGACCCCCCTGCTGCTTCATTGAATTCCAGCTCGCCTTCCTGCTCGAGCAACGTTCTTCTGAGGCTCTATTCATTTATGCCGTGCGCAGCTGACGTTTCTGTTTCAGCTCAATTTTCATATCTGTCGTGTCATGCAGGTTCTGGAGAACACACGTAGACCTCGCTTTCTCTATCTGCCAGCAATTCCATGGGCGCAAGGCGCATCATGCCTTCTGTCATAACTCCGGCACCTTTCCCCCGCCGCCAGAGCCACTATGTGCTTGAACCAGGCTATGTCGTCTTCAGCGCGATGATTACAGGAAATACTCATTCCTCCCTGGCCTGCTGGCTGGCACACACCTCAATTCATCCTTGACGGCACTAAACAGCTTGAAGTTCGGCTTCATATCCTCGCCCACCTCGCACACACTCGCCATATTGCCGCATCGATAACAGTAATTCGGCGCTGACCACACCGTCACCACGTCTTTGTTTTGGAAATGGTATTTGTACCCTTCGTTCACGAGCTGATGTGCCCTAGCGATCAGGGACAGGTTGTTGACATGGCAGAACTCGGTCGCAACTTTATCGCCAAACAGCCAGCCTGCACCCCTGGGGCTGACAGCCCATGTCTCGACATCTTCGGGGTCTGACCACACGAGATCGCAGAAGGCGCCTTCGTGAGGGATTTCTTGCGCGCGGGCCACAACGCGAACTTGGTCTAATGTTCTTATTTCCGGGCTTAATCCGCCATGGACGCAGAGAACTTTGCCGTCGACGATGGCGCCCAGGGTCATGAAGTCGAAGACTTGACAACAGGCTTTCCAAACCGAGGTGTTTCCGTATTTTTGAACACATTCCTCGTAGAAGCCGTAGACTTGGGTGATTTGGCGGGACTCATGGTTGCCGCGGACGAGAGTGACGCGGTCGGGGTATTTCGCTTTGAGGCAGAGGAGGAGGGTCAGGGTTTCGAGGGAGAAGTAGCCACGGTCGACGTAGTCGCCTAGGAAAATGAAATTGCCGTTTCGGGGATGGATCTCGGTGTCTTCGTTATTTGAGTCTTCGACTCGGTCGGGATCTGAGACTACGCTGGAGGGAACCTCAATAGCGTCGCTGACTTCGCTGTTCTCTGCGCTGTCTGGGTGGGAGGCGCCGCCGAGTTTCAGCTTCTTCATTAATTTTGGGTTTGTGATTGTGGAAGGAGGTTCTATGTCTGCGGAGGTGATGATTTTTCGAGGTGTGATGGGTGTTTGAGGAGCTGATTCATTGGGCATGCCGCCTGCGACGCGGAAGAGTTCGAGGAGATCGTAGAATTGGCCGTGAATGTCGCCGCATATTGTTACTGGTGTAGAGACTGGTTGTATATTTGATTCTGCGCTGCCATTAGCGAAGGTGTGCCGGCACACGTTTGGGGAGTCTGACTGACCTTCCATCATGAACTCCTTGACTATCTCGCAAAGCTGCTTCATATGATGCTCTGAAAGGTATTTGCAATTCTTTGCAGCATCAAGCCATTCATCTGGTCCTGCGGACCGCTTCAGCCTCGCGGGGCCCGGTTGAGGTACTGATGGAGCCATGATGAACGGAAGAGGAGGAGTGGAGGAGGGGAAGTTCTTGGGAGAAGCGGCCGAGTTGTGAAATGGGCGCCCGAAATGGCGGACAGCGCCGAGAGCGAACCAGGTCCACGTAAGTCTGGGGACAGCTGTATCTGTCCACTGGAGACGGACGAACACCAGGGCTGCGCAGCTGCTGCGCCAAGAAGAAGTCTCCCGAGTTGACTCCTCTGGAGCGAGCCCGGCGGGGAGCAGAGGCCGTGGTGATGAGGAATGGCGTTGTGGAGGCCGCCGAGGAACTTGGGCTGGATCTTGGGAAGTTGTCACCCGGATCGGTGAAATGATTTTCCGGTCGGCTAGCTGAGCTGGACATCTGTACACAGAAGGTTAGCCGAGATACCCGTGTTTAGCTTCAACCTTGAATAGCCGCGATCATGATTGTGCACAACAGTGAAAGGAAGTCAATGATTAAGACTCATGGCAACTAGCAAGTGTCCTGTAGCTTCAACTCTGGACGTTCTGGCCCCCCACTTACAGCCGGTCTAACGCAGCTACTTTGTCTTGTCCCGTACGAACCAGATCTGATGGCCTCAACCAGAAATGTCAACGGAATCCTTGCTATACCTGCTGCCGTGACAGGCAAGAAAGCGAGCACGAACTCTTCAGCAGCGCCCAAACTATCCCCAAGAACTGGATCTCAAAAGCTGAGGCTCATCGTACGACGCTTACCTCCAGGGCTCACTCAAGCAGAGTTCGAAGTGATACTAGGTGAGGAATGGCGAGTGGGAGCAGGAAGGGTTGACTGGTTTGCATACAAGGATGGCAAGATATCGAAAGAGTGAGTTATCTCTCGGACAGCGAACAGTATTCACTGATCAAAATTAAGCTCAGCAAAACCGTCAAGGCCTGCGCGCGCGTACCTTCGAATGAAAGACCAGGCTATGCTAGACACGCTGTCTGCAGTTGTCAAGCAGTGTGTTTTTCAGGATGCAAAGAACACCAGCAAAGACCCTTGTCTGTTAGGTCCACCTTCACTAGAATTCGCACCTTACGGAAGGGTTCCAGGCAGTCGAGTTCGCAAGGATGGCCGACAAGGAACCATCGATCAAGATCCCGAGTTCATAGACTTTCTGCAAAGCTTGACAGAGCCAGTGACAAGGTCTAATGCCAGTGGAGAAGTTGCTGAGGGAATAGATACAAGGCCTGCAAAGGTCACTACAACCCCTTTGGTGGAATATTTAAAAGAGAAAAAAGCGAATAAGGGCAAAGAGAGCGCTACCTCAAAAACCGCCAAACCTCAAGGCAAATCGGAAGCCAAGGACACAAAGGTCGAGAAGATCGACTCAAAGAAAGTGTCACTCGCTAAGAAGGAAGCGCAGCGATCCCCCGAGACGACAAAAACATTAGAGAAGGCTACACACGAAGCCGTCAAAGCTATCAACAAACCTATGGCTGCGGTGAAAGGCAAAAGTGACGCCTTAGAGCCCACCTCTCCCCCTTCCAAAGCCCCAGTTACCGCCCCTACAACTGCCAAACGTGAACGCGAGCGAGGGTCTGTCAGCGTGGCTGCCAAAATACTCCAACGAGATCTTGGTCTCACTCCTGTTAGGGGTGATAGAAGAAATATACGCAGTGCAGGTCTTGCGTCAAAATCAGCTGAAGAAGCTGAACCTGAACGTAAGCCGGTGTCAAAACCACCTACGACCCTATCGTCAGACACAGCTCCGGAAGCTACAACTACTACACCTACACAACCGAGTACACTCCCAGCTAATGCAGTATTGGCTGCTCCAACTGGCCCTCGAAGCACCAAATCCCCCATGCCAACATCACAGCCAGTCAACAGACCTGCATCTGCACCATCTGGACGACCCTCTCGACCTGCACCAGGCCCAACCCCAGGCGCTCGATCTGCCTTTCTCAAGCACGCCAATTTCTCTCAGGGTGTCACCGAAGAACTTTTGTATACCGCTTTCTGTACATTCGGCACAGTGACTCGTTGCGAGATCGACCGAAAGAAGGGTTTTGGTTATGTCGATTTTGAAGATACAGAAAGCCTTAAGAAAGCTATGCTTGCTAGCCCAGTTAAAGTTGGTGACAAAGGAGGGCAAGTGGTGGTTCTCGAGAACAAGAGTTTTAAGATGAAGCCCCAGACTCCTGTTCAGGTACCCACTCACACTGCAGGGAAAGTTGCCTCACAGCCACAAACTCCTCCTCCCATGTCGACCAAGGCAGAAATTGTGGCAAACAAGTCTACAACCCCCGCAGTGACAACGGCACCCACTGCCCCACGTGGGGCCCATATTCCTTTCCGAGGTGGAAGCCAGCACCACGGTACTCGAGGTGCTTACAATGGTCCATCGCGTGGTGGATTAAATCGTGCAGGCAGAGGTGGAAGGGCCAACTCCCGAGGAAGAGGTGCGATGGACAGTAATCGAGGTGGTGGTCATGCTAAAGAGAGAAATATGTACAACCACACAGTGACAGAACCCGCTGGGGCCGCTGGTTTAGGACCCCCATCTGCCTCGAAAATGGAGGCAAACGGACCTGCAGGATGAGACATACTGCACAGACGGTCTGCACGATTTCAACTTCATCCGAGGCATATCATTTGCAGCTACGCCAGACTCACTAGGCAGCTTGTGATGTGCACGGCTAATGGAGGATATTGCTAACTTTCGGCAAGATTCACATCATGAAAAACTCGTATTCCTAACCTCACTCGATCATTGCTTATCCAGCACACGGGTTGGCCATCACGAATATCGGGAAAAACTCCACGAGAATGTCCTCATTACGCTCACTCATGCTCCCATCCTTCTGCTTTGCTCCATCTACCTCCTTTATCCAGTTTACTCTCTGCCGCCCATACAGCTCTGCTTTTGGTGCTTGGCTCTCGATGTCCTGCTAGTTGTCCAATACTCCAGCTTTAACGATCTTCATGCCTACAAAGCTCTCTCTACCTCTCCACAGAGTTGTGCCGCAGTCACCATGGAAACAGGATGTGATAACCTTGCCACTATCAGCCGTCTTTGATATGTGTTCAGAGTGCCACGAACGAGCTTAAGGCTGGGTTTAGGACAATGTGGTTGTTGGAATAAATGCTCCCAGATGTTTTTCTGCAGTCTGCGGCAGAGGCAGAGGCACTGCAATATTGTTAGTCACACACACCGGTTGCTTCCGAAGTTCAAATTGGGGATGTGCGGAATACAACCCACCTTCATGGCTGCATCGCCTACATATTCGATCTTGACATTACCGCACGTGGAGCTTCCTGTAGGCATTTTTGCGTCTTGGTTGTACAGCTAATCAGGATCCACGATTGATGAGTCGTGCAATATAACTAGCTTTCATGCAGGGTCAGACTGCAGGGACTTGAGGACCGCATGATCGACATGCATTGGCGAGCTCCTGTTTCCATATAATCGCGAATAATTGCCTTTTAAGTCGAATTGCTAAGCACAAGGTCCCTCAACCTCATGCCTCTACTTGTACACAATCTGCTGACATCTTCTTCTCTCCCATATCACTTGAGATTTTGTTCACTGACAAACCAGCTCCAAGGACAGTACCCCACACGAAAACAAACACCTAGAAACAATGGCATATTCGGTGCTTCTTAGAGCATCTGCTTGTATCTCAAATGATGTGATAGAGGTGGGGGAAACCTTTCAACAGTATTCATTTTCTACTTGTCTCCAGCATCAAGGTCTTCTCACTCATACATACACTAGTATAGACACTTCTTATCATATTATTTGTATTATGGCTGGGACTCTTCAAGCTTACGAAGCGTATCTCTCCTATTATCTTCCTTGTCTACTTGCTACCTTACTCTGTACAGCATTCGTTATACCTCAACTCTTTATTTCCACTCTTGCTCTAGCGCCTGGGCCTCTGTCTACCCGTTATCCTGGTTATAGCTCGTCCGACAGTCCTGCAGCAGCAGTCCTCACCGCACTATGATATTGCTTCACAGGTGTCACAGAAGGCTTGTCCGCACGAGACCAGATGAGGTCAGCCTATCGGATCTTGCCTCTATCAAGGAGGTTTGTAGCCCTGGCACCAATTTTAGGAAGAGCAGGTGGTACAGTGTACGGGAGAGAAGGAGGAAGCTCGACCTTTGAATGAGCGAGATGAGGGCGTGCACGGCAAAGCAAAGGATGCTGGTTAGTAGCACTTACTCGCTGGGGAGTACAGGTGGAGTGAAGACAAGGTCGACGAAACCATCGAGGTGTTTGGAACAAAGATCCAGAGAGGGACAATACTGTGATGGGCATGGATAATTGGTTACAATTGTTCGCATTGGGTGGTTGGGATGTCAAGTGTGCGCAAGCACAGCTGCACAGATTGCCATCTGCGTAGAGGTTGTGGAAGCTTTGACATTTTCAACCAGAATTGGCTTTCTGGAAGCGGAAGAAGAAGCTGGATCATTCAAGAACATTTAGAAGGGCATTTTTCTCTGCGTCGTGGGTGGGCTAAATGCCTTGAATGAACTGGTTGAACGATTTTCTGACACCGACACTTGACAATCGACTGAGCATCACAGTCAGACATGATACGATCGCAGCAGACCAAGTCAAGAAACGAAACGGCTACAATGATGGATCCGATCTCCTTCCGATCTGTTTGAGGTACATCAATAGAAATCAGAGGAAACGAATTACATGGCAGTACTGTTGATGGCTACGTCAAATGTCCTTGCGGGCTCAAATGTGACAGTCATATCCATTTGCTCGATCATCTGTCACCTGCTCAAGAAGCAGGAAACCAAGAAGACGCTTTCTTGGGAAGATTGCTTACCGTGTGCAGCATGGCACACTTTCACATCCAGCCAAATTCGAAGAAGCAAACGACGTGCCGTATCTACAGGCCTGTATTTCTAAGGCTGCTCACTGCCATCCCGCCGGTGGCATGATTGTCCCTCCTGTGGCCCTCCATGCAGGCATAGAGATCGACAGCAACTTTCTTCGAGCAGGGACAATCATCTGACCAGACCCTTGTGTGGTCCATGGTGCTTAGTCCATATTTGGCGCACACGTCGAAGCCTTCCGGCCGGGTGACGACTGGAAAGAGAGGGATCTGGCTCGGACAAGTATTGCTTAGCTTTCAGGTGTTGCGCTAGGATCTCTCGGGGGAGAAATGGTAGCTAGGTGGAAGTGAGCAAGCTGACACTAACACTATTCCCGCAAGTTTGACCTTGACTTTGCTAATCCGGAGGCGATTTGGAAGGAGACTTTGTTGCAACACCCGGCATTCACAAAGTGAAACTATATAAACCATCAGAACACATCGGGACACCAATATGCTTTGGCACAGTGTTGTAGTGGTTTAACACCACATTACCTCGCCACAAAATCGACAGCCCCTCCCCAAGTGGCAAGCGTTCGAAGCCCCCTTTTCCCTCCTCCTTATCCAACGACTGTTACGCTGGGACACACCCCCGAAAACCAGGTACCAGTCCTCCTTCCTTTCTTCCTTCCTGCGTTCCTCCTTCTACGCGTACGAATAAAATCCTCTTCCGATAAGTGTTTCCCTCTGATCCTGACCATGCTAGTTCTACAGGCTACTCAGGATAATGATTTTGTCTTCTTTTCGGTTCACAACATCTTTTCTGGATGTGGCTGGGTTGAGGGTTACTGGGGCAGCTGTCATGGTCTGGTATGGACTTCCTCTATTGATCCTGATCTTAACAGTCTACCGTAACAGTCAGATACGAATCACACGCAATTCGGGTGGTGAGATCTTGGTCCGGAACCAAGCTTACTTTCACAGCATAGAAGAGGTTTTCGAGCTGCATGGTCTATGGCCAGACAGCAGGCCATTGGCTACTTCTGGAGCATACTGTCCAGCAAGCTGCAAATTATGGTTCAAAGTTCCAACCAGATTTGGCAGCGCTTATTTTGCGGTTTTATCGAGTTCCTAGCTTGGCCTTCAACAAGGTGTCCATTTGAATCAAATCGAGTTGAATAAACCAAATCTCCACTGAAATCAAATTAAATAGACGTCTGTGGATTTAACAACTGAGTCAAATTGTATTTATAAAAGACAATTAATTTACGTCTGAGTCAAATAAGCTAATAATTAATCCAAGAATTAGTAAAACAAATAACAATATAACATTAGTAAGCTTTATTTAAGTATTAACAGTTAGAATATTATTATATACATACATCGTCATCGTTGACGCCAACATAGTGTTTATTATACATACAGTTCGACTCATTTGACAAACGAGTCAAATCAAATCAAATGGAGGATTTTCATTATGTAATCAAACCAAAGTTTACCAAACGGAGGCCTCGATTTGTTGCCTCAGTTCTCAGCCATGCTATGTGGCTTAGACAACGACTAAGTCAATGTGTGGTGTGAGATAATGCACACTTAGTCATCGACTAGCCTATTTCCAACGTGCGTGTTTATCCACATCAAGCCGTCTGGGGCACGCTTGTGGTCGATCTGATCTATTATGTACTCTGATTTCTCTGGTCTTCAAGTCGATATCATTGGTGCTCGAGATCGTTCTCGTACCGTACGCTTTTTTCTTCTCTTCTCGTAAGTCACCAGCAAATTTCTCGTTGGTAGCAAGTTTCGCTGTTCTCTTCTCTTTCTCTTTGACCTCATCCAAATGGGCCTGCACTTTCGCAAGTGTTGGTTCCAGAATCTCGCTCTGCTCTTCATTATGGGAGATATCTTCCCTGCTAGCTGTAAAGCTTTGTACATCTTCATTATGGGAGATATCTTCCCTGCCAGCTGTAAAGCTTTGTACATCTTCATTTTGCTCTCGTATGACCGGAAAATTGGTACCACCTGATTCTGCAGTTGCTTTCTGATGTGTTCTATGTTCTCCACTGACTTCTTTGTCATAACAGTAAGCATGACGCTCGGCACGTATTCCTGGCAAGAAATCGAAGAGATTTTCCACTGCTCTCGCAAGCGCGATGTCGGTCTTCTCAGCATCATTTTGTGCATGCATTTTAGTTCTGGCTGTCTGACCCATCTCTGTGTTCTTCTGGCTCAGAGCAAGCTGACTGGACCAATCCTCTATTGCATATCCTACGAGTTCATCAGTGCTGAGCAAAGCTCCAATCTCGGATTTGACCTGCAGAAGACCTCTTTGAATTATGTCTGATTCATCGGCTGTAATGCTTCTGATCTCACGTTCTGCATCCACAAAGTTAAAAACATCCGCAAAAGTCGGCTCCGCCAAAGTGTGGTCTCACCTTCAAGAAGCAAAATCTCCGTAAACGTCCTGACCAAGATGTGGTAGAAGTGATTATTCTTCCTGGAGCGTGACACGAGGACATCGTCAAGCGCGGATCTGTCCTCAAACAACCCCACACCCCATAGCTTCAGCCTGCCAGCAGAGTTTTCAAGCCGCTTCTCCTTCCTTGCTATTGCGATTTTGGTCAACCCTAACACTGCCTGTTGCCAAATTATTCGAATAGAGATTGGAACCGGCTGCATGTCATCTGCAAGTGGCTGGGCAGCCAATTCCGCGGGCGCAGTAGTAGATGATAGGGATTGTATCCTCTCACTACCAAGTCCTGGGCGACCTGAGGGATATGATGGACGTAGGTTGGAAATTGGAGGATCACCATCGTATGTTGTCTGAACCGGCACCATCGCCCTCAGAGCCTCATTCATAGCTGCCATAGTGTCCGTCATCACCATCAAGTCGTTTAAATCCTCGGCAGGCAATCTCAATTTAACTTTCGTCGTTTCAGAAGGCTGGCCTCTATCGCTTATTGCTTTGATGTCCTCGTGTTTCCTACGAAATCGCTCGTGGTACCTTTCAAGTAGCCGGATCGACAAGGAAAAATCTTCCACGTCTGCCGGGTCGATCAAAGAGAAAAGGCTGTCCCCATGCTGATCTCGTAATTGATTGATCCTTCTTCTTAATTTTGCATTCTCTGCGAAAAGGCGGTAGTATATCGGGTGTACTTTCGCACCCTCACAAGGATGAATAATCTTAGCTAGATGGCCAATTCGCTCTGCAATCTCGGTAGCCGATGTAATGGCTAACACGCTGCTTGCTGGAGCAACCATTGTGGGCACTCCGGAGAGGGACGATGTAGACTATACCAAAAGGAAAATTGGGACAGACTCAGTGCCTGATTCGGGTAACGCTGCGGTCGGCGAAGATATACAGGTCCTTCCCATGATTACCTGGGCTGCATTTTATTGAGCTTAGATTCACACATCACGCCCAGTGCGTCGCAGTCTCCAGTACCTTCTCATGCTAGATAATCGGTGTGTCCAACAAGGAAACGGACCAACGGTTGGTGATTTGACCGGGTGCACGGGCCGGAGGGCCAACAAGCACCGAGTCCTCTTGGAGGGTTCCTTAGCCATGCTAGCAGCCTTGCTGGGTCCAAGGTGTTTTCGTCTCGAAGCTCACTTCTTACATCTGATGAGAGAGAGGAAGCCGCCAGAATGGTAGTCGACCCTTTTGGGACCACGCTGGCATCCATTGGCGTATTTATCCAGTTTTACAATGTTTGTGATACACTTGTTCACGGCTACAAATTGACAGTACACTTTGGTGAGGATTTTTGCGCAGTTCAGCGAGAGCTGGACATCCAATGGGCTCGTCTACATCTCTTGATGCAAAGTCGACGCGTCCTGAAGTCCGAGATCGACCTAGAGAACCGCAATAGCACGATAGGCAGAACCATCACAAGTTACCTTGCTCAGATGCAGAGGTACTTTCAAATATGTCATGACCTCATGAAGAAGTACAATACAGAAGGTATGACTCTGCATATTGACTTGCGTATAGTCAGTTGACACTGTTAGAGCAACGTGAAAATTACCTTAACAAGAACACATCAACTTCCATGACAGGGACTGGTGGTCTTACCCCATCTGGCTCTTCTAACACTACGCTTGTATCGTCTCCGGTGCCATCAAAACCGATCAAGTCGTCCAGGTGGCACAAGATCAACGTATTTCGTCGATCTGAGAAATCGCTGTCGCCAAAGCTGGGCACAAAGAAGATCTTCGGGAAAGAGACTGTAGATTTAGTGGTACCAGATCTCGACATTCAGGAGGTTCAAGATGCTGCGGCTGCCACTAAGCAGGAGGCACTGATGTACCAAGAGAAGGTCAAGTTCTGGAGACGATCTCGTTGGGCTAAGAGGGACCAAGAGGATCTCAAGGCCACGATCGCTAGATTACGCCAGGCAAATAATAACCTGGATAGCATTGTTCAGCTTCTAGCACTCAAAGACCCTTCATCGGTCCTACCGAGTAGTAGCCACGCCGATTCGCTGTGGCCACATGTCACCCGTGTTAGCCGGACACTTGGCGCCCTCCATCGAGAGCTTATGGTACTCAATGTGAAGAGGGACAATCACGCCCCCTATCTTCTAAGCTTACGCCTATCAGAAGATCATCGGAAAAGCCGCAGAGAGCTTGCAGACTATGTATGTTTGCAAGATGACTCACAAGTTTTCAATCTGCAGAGGCACCTAACAGAAGATCCGGGCGAAGCTTCGAGACTTCTACTAATCCAGAGCTTTCGACAGCAGCAGGAGCTGTCTGGAGACACTGTCCGGGATGCTGTATCGAAATTGGAGCACATCGACCGACCCAAAGATGTCCAGGCCGTCCCAGACGGAGAAGAGATTGAGGAGTGGGGATGGTGTGGTAATTCTCTCGAAAACGACTACTTACACATTATTTATCATGACGCCGGCAATGACTGGATATGCACAAATACTCTGCAAGATGTTTTGACAGGAAATGAGTTTAGGAAACGTATCACAACCGTCCAGGTGGTGCAGCTGGCCAAGATACTTCTTTGCTCTTACTTGTACCTGGATAGTATACACGACGGCACGAAAGTACCCAGACCACCCAACTACCGCTTCTACAAGACCTCTGATGAAGAGGACATTTGGGATCCGGACGATCCCAGAGTCCTCCGGCCTTGGCTATCGTTCGGCTTCGGCCGCCGACCACCAAAAGCCAAGTTGGGAGGTGGAAGCGGCGTTGCAGATACCGGAGGCTCAGCCATGGCTGAACTTGGCCTTCTGCTCTACCAAATTGGCACTGGCATGGCCATTGACTATGTAGCCGGGCCCACCGGCCTCAAGCAAGCCAAATCCGAAGCTCTTAGCAACATTCATGCTCTGGAGTTGAGAATGGGCTTGTTCTACACAGAGATAGTCCAAAAATTTCTGGAATTCGAAGCTCGGCCGCTATATCTCTTACCACCAAATGATGAGAATCAGGAGACAGAGTATGTCAAGAAGGTCATTTCTGCATTGATGAAGCTCGAGCATGACTTCGAAGATACTGCAATCGCACCAATGCTGGAAGAATCTGATTCAATACCAGAGATACGGGTCAGCGGCGTCGCTTCTGCCACTGCCAGTACGGAGGATTTGGCCGCTTCACTGCATCCTGAGACGGCAGGACCGCGCTCGATCACCGCCTCTGTGTAAGAATACCTTGTCGGAGTGACAGTCCCGTATATGCGACCTCTGTGTCTATCTTTTGGTCCGGCCTACACAGTCTCCCCCATCAAGCAAGCTCGCCTACCACAAGCTACCGCCGCTCTACTTTGAAAGAGTTACCGTCGTGAGAGGGTAAGCAACGGAACCATTGCTTCACGGCCCTGCGAGAACCATTACTGCAAGAGAAGACTGCTGACGGACCAGACTGAAAATCTGCCAACGTAGATGTACACGCAGCGGTGATTTCAACTCCAGTCAAATAGGCCGTACTATAGCCAGGTGGCCATCGGGATCTTTTGACATGCGCTGATCCGAAGTTCTAAGGTGTGGCTCTCGTAGAATCAGGGGCGGTGTGTCCCCGTCCTGCTGGAGGTGAAATTCGCCATAGCTATGCAAACATACGCGTGTGGGTGGTTCCTTTCCTGTACGACATAAGCGCAAGCAACAGAGCAAATACTTACTAGTTTCATAACCTACTATCCTTGCCGTTATCCACCGTACAGCAGCCCGGTTATATACTGATACACATCGGCTACCAGACTTTCATACGCAAACGACAATGTCTTCTACTATCATCAAGGTACCTATCCATCGAGAGCATCCAGATAGTGGACTATTGAATACGAAGGTCCAACAGATGATTTCAGGCCATGTCAGGTTTGGTACAGCTCGTTCAATACTTCTATCTCCTTCCATCCTATTTCCCGATTGTGGCCCAAACAAGGGCCAGGCATTATCGGCTTATATGGTCCGCATCAGAAAACGCCAGCCCAGATGCCTCATGCTCTCCACATGTCCCAGAGCCGTCCAAATCGCCTAATTTACAGAGGATTACCTGTCCTGAGTCCCGCCATTATCGCTCAATGGAAGCTCTTCTAATCGCTTCTGATCCTCTTCATACCCCTCCGTCTTCATATGATTCAAGCCCAAATCATCAATTTCCTCTTTCGACCTCTCATAATCCACCTTACTTATTTGCGGATCATCGCCTTCCTCCGCTAAACTCTCCACGTAGGAATTCGCCAGCGGGTCCTCCAGGACGATTGAGAACTTGATGTCAGCCTGGATAGCCTGATCCAGCTTCGTGAAGAATGCATCCCAACTGTGCTTTGCCGCCACTTCCGCCGTTGCGGCTCTCGATATCGAAGATCTGGCCGTGTAATTGATCACGGACTTGGGTGAGGAGACCTTCGACAGTCGTGAATCTGCCGCCTAGAGTGCCGGGCTGGACTTCGAGGCCGAGCTCGGGGCTCTTCAGAGCAGCAGTTTCGGATTTGAGGATGTCACGGGATAGATCTGCAGTGTTCTCTACGCGGAGGGTGATCTTCTGGCCTTTTTCAGGTATCTCGCCCCCAGTCTTGACTTCTCGGGTGGTGTAGCCGCAGTGCTCACAGACTGTGCTCATGATGATGACTTCTTTGAAATGGGGAATGTTTACTTTTTTTATGTTTATAGTACAATCTTTTGAACAGCCGGGACAGAGCGATGGGATTTCGTAGATCTGGCCGTCCACTATGTCAACGCCATCTAGCGCGTCTGACGCTTCGGCGGCACCATTGTCTTCCTCGTCAGTGGCTAGTCCAAGATGAACGTTCTGTGCGTGTGTACGAGGATAGTCGGTGCGGATGTATTTTGTGCCTCTGTCGGAAGTGGAGGGTTCGACCAAGGAGTTGCCGGACGGGTCATCTAAGGAGATAGAGAATGGAAATGCGCTTCCATGCATCATTTTCTTCAGTTTTGAAATGACTGCATCAAGTGCTTCGTATAGCGGAATATTATTCTTCTTTCGCTGCGGCTGATCTGCTTCGAGTTCCACAAGGATCTTGCTCATTATCCCTTCAATATTTGTCAACTGACCATGACCAGATGGCATCTCAAGGTCCAAATCTTCAATCCTGAATATTGCAGAGTCGTTCTTGACCACTTGTCTTTGGAAGTCTGCTTCAGACTCTACTCTGAACGTGAACTTGGAACCCTGCTCTTGGATTTCGCCAGCAGACTTGATGGTGCTATTTTTAAAACCACAGCCTTCGCAGAAGAATGACTCGAGCAGGACTTCGCGGAAGAAGGGAATTCGAAGGATTTTGAGTTTGGTTATTCCCTAGATCTCTCTCAGCCTTGGATTGCTATCATGCCTTAGCCCCGCACCTACGTCGTCATGACAATTCATACACAAACTCTCGATCTCTGTGACACCGTTGTTGTCATCTTCCTCAGCTCCATCCACGGTCTGGGCAGCACTATTCACTTCTGGTTCTCCTTTGGGGCTTTCGTGAGGCTTTTGCTCCGCCATAGCGCCCGTCATTGCACCTTTGGAACGATGTCCCGAAGAGGAGGCCAACGGCTTGCCTAGCCTCGCTGGCGGAGGTTGAGTGACTTGTGAGGACGGGCTTGCAGCTGGGGACGAGACTGGTGACCGAGGTTACAAATAAGTTGTGGACGCAAGTGCGTCACTCGGCCAGGGCGGGTAGTACCACGCTAAGCCCTGCCAAGACTCATAATGCGGCAGCAAGTCTTGTAATGATGAATGAGTGGGAGGAGAGTCTGCATACTGCCTCTTGCTGCTGTAAGGCGAGACCGAGATGTTCAAGCCATCATGAAGTCCAGCAGACTGAGCTGTGGCGAAGTCTTCGTGTCATCCCTGCTCTTTTTCAGCATCGATTTTAGACCTTCTTTCTCCTTACGTGCTCTCGCTCTTTTCTTGCTGCTTGGTTTTTGAGGCACAGCATTTGTGTTGGAAGACACTTCATGATTCGATTGGAAGTTCAAGTTTCTGCTGCGGGTACAATCTTTCTCTTCCGTGCTACTATGAGACGCTTTCGGTAAAGGAAGGCAGAACGTGGTGTGATGAAAACAGGCCTGACATTGGTACACAACTGTCCGGCGTTGAACATTTCTGGACTTATGCTCTACACCATTACGATCTCCTCTCACGATCGAGCAGTTCAATCCGGGAATGAAGATATTTCCACAAGCTGTACAGAAGCTCTGGCGCTGGTGGGACGGCAATGCCTCGTTTCGTGGTCCAGAAGCCAGCTGGAGCTGCACCGATTCACTCACAAGGTAGGAAGCTGTCGAAGGGCAATCCATCGCAATTGACCTTGCTGCATTCTGTAGAAAATGAGATTTGAGGTTAGCTGCTCGATTTGAGGCGCTCATTGTCCCATTGCTCTGTGGTCTGTAGTTGTAAGACCCAAATCCATGGTATGGAACTCTTAACCTTGCAGGATCTAGCGCTGTCCATTATCCGAGCACTGCTACGGGGCCACTGTAGTACTATGTACTCTGGGTAGTTAGTTGGTGTAACTAGTACTGTGCATTGCGAAAGTGTTGCAATTAATTGCAACACTTTCGCAATGCACAGTAGTACATAGTAGTTAGCTACTACTAGCAGCAGGAGTAGTACATCACTCACTGTACGAAGACCATGTTCTTATTTCCGATGTGGCAGATATGAGATCAAGAGCTCTTCCATTGTTATACCTGCGAAAAACCCCTAACTCAAATTCCCTGCAGCGGAATCACAATATTATTGTTTGAGCAAGTTGTGTGTGTTTCTACCAACTATGTTCAAATTGCTCCCCTGATGCGTGACCACTTGCACTTCAAGCACGTCAACTGTTTTTCATATCCCAATCCACACCCTTGACAATCGTATGTCCCTTCCAAACTTTTCTTTAATCTACCTTATATGAAACGTGCCGCAACACTCTGGCATGCCACCCTACGCATTACACAGCGTGCCTTAAAAAGTCGTTACTGTACCCTCACCACCATGTCAGAACTGAAAAACGGACAACCCAAGCTCAGGGTTGCTGTTGAAGGATGTGTAAGTCATTTCAATCTGCCGGCGATATCATTTTGGCCCATGGTCATTCTTCCTATCTAATGCTAACCTGGGGTATCAGGGTCACGGGACCCTACATGCCATCTATGCATCTGTGGAGGAGTCATGTCGGATCAAAGGATGGGACGGGATAGATGTTCTCATTATTGGAGGCGACTTTCAGGTGAGTCTTCAAGCAAATGCTCTCCATATCACTAGTGCTGACTATTGCCAGGCCGTTCGGAACAAGTATGACCTCAATGTTACTGCAATGCCAGCAAAATACCGTAAAATGGGGGATTTTCACGAATACTACAGTGGGGCACGAAGAGCCCCCTTTCTTACAATCTTCATTGGCGGCAATCATGAAGCCAGTAACCACTTGTTCGAGCTGTATTACGGCGGTTGGGTTGCTCCCAACATCTATTACATGGGCGCAGCTAACATCCTCCGGCTTGGCCCTCTTCGGATTGCGGCACTTTCAGGCATCTGGAAAGGTTACGACTACCGTAAACCCCATTTCGAGCGGGTGCCCTACAATGAACCCGAGTCAGTGTCAATCTTCCATGTTCGCGAGTTGGACGTGAGAAAATTGCTCTCTGTCCGAACTCAGGTAGATGTTGGTCTTTCGCACGACTGGCCGCAAGGAATCGAGTGGGAAGGTAACTTCCGTTGGCTCTTCAACAAGAAGGATAGGTTTGAGGCGGATGCGAGTGAGGGCAGACTTGGATCAGTTGCGGCTAGACAATGCTTGGACCGGCTGCGTCCGAATTATTGGTTTTCTGCTCACCTCCATGTCAAGTATACAGCCACGAAGCAGCATGGTGATTACGACAGTGTCGGTCCATCACAAGAAAAACGTCCACGTCATGGGACCCCTCTATTCGAGCCAGCAGCATCCCGAGTCGATACACAACACAACCCTGAAACCACTAGCAATCTGTCAGAATCACACACCACCTCTTCACAACAAGACAACTACCAAAGGGGACCTCCGGACCAGATTGAAAGACCGGCAGATGGCATCTCAACTCTATCAAGTCCGTTAGCTCGGGGGAAATCCAGTCCCCAGATTAATAGTACGTCAAAGACACCAGAACAAGTTCAAGTGTCTGCTTGGCAGAATTTTCAAGTCGAAGGCGTCAGAGCCGAGGCTCAAGACACCGAGCTCCGCCTCCAAGAGCAGAGAGAACGAACAGCAGAAGAAGAGCGCACTGGGGTTCGGAACCGTCCTCATTACACATTCGATGAGACCTGGAAACAGGTCCAGATTGATGATCGTATTGAACGTGGCATCACATCAGTGTCCAAAACAGTTAGATTGCCTGGTGAAGACACTAACATGGCAAACCTCGATGGTTGCATTGAATCAAAGTTGAAGCGGCGGAGATCAACATCCTCAGAGGACAGGGTTAAGAAAGGCCATAAAGTCCCCCCATCAAAGCCAAGATCTGTTCAGGCTGGTCAGCTTGATGGACAAGTACCCGCTCCAGCCATTAATGGAAATAACATGACCAGCAATGTCGATGAAATCGAGATAAATATAAGTGATAGTTCCTCTGATGAGATCGGATCTGGAAAGGAGCTCCCACGTACAAATTCAATCAGAATTGTTCCAGCTGATGTTGAGGATGGTGTCCCTTTTCAGCCAACTCGCCAAATTCCTAACAAGAGGGCGAAACCCGAAGTCGTGATGTCAGATGATAGCGACGAGGGAGGAGTGAAGCTCGATCCTACCTCACCGCCTTTCGTGCCAAAGGCAAGAAGTTCTTCTCAATCAGCTCTTGTCGAGGAGGAATTAAGAGACGGCACGACCTCTAAAGCGGATACCGAGGAAAGGGAGGAGGAAAAGGTATCTGAAACCATGCGAGCACAGCTAGCGGAACTTTCTAGCACGTTTGGACCTCCACCTAGTCAGCAACCAGTCTCTGCGTCATTACCGCTTCCAAAGAGTATTGCAAACACCACAACTCGATTCCTTGCACTAGACAAATGCGAACGTGGACGAGACTTTCTGCAGCTTCTTGAAGTCGAATCAATAACTGAGCAGCCATGTCTGCCTAATGCCCAACCGTACAGACTTCAATACGACAAAGAATGGTTGGCCATTCTTCGAGTTTTTGCACCAGAACTCGAGCTTGGTGGTGATCCAAACAGCAAAGTACCGCCAGACAGGGGTGATACATACTATCGCGACAGAATCATCGAAGAAGAAAAATGGATCGAGGAGCATGTGGTACTCCCTAACAGGCTCACAGTGCCTGACAACTTCACCATCACAGCACCAGTATACGATCCAGACGAAAGTGTTTCTCCTTCAGACAAGCCTCATGAATATACCAATCCCCAGACGAGCACATTCTGTGAGCTAATTGGCATTGACAATAAATTTGAAATTAGTGAAGAGGAGCGGGAAAAGCGCATGGACCAAGGTCCTCGCCCGGTGGACAGAAATTTCTCGCGTGGTGGTCGTGGTGGTGGGAGAAGCAGCAAGGATGGTGGCTCTACTGGTCGAGGCCGAGGAGGTTACAATGTAGGCAGGGGCAGAGGAAGAGGTCGTGGAGGACGCGGCCGCGGGCGAGGCGGGTGGTGAAAGCACGAATGAGCAAGTGCATGACTTTTCCAGAAAGATTGAGAGACGCAGCGACCATGCAGCGACCATGCAGCTAGGGGACCGGGTGAAAGGTGTCAGATCACTTCTGAAACAGGTAGTCCTCCAAACGCTTCATGCATACGACAGATACCCTGTACAAATGGCATATGGAGCTCTCTGCCCCTCTCGATTGTCCGAAATGTCTTCGCTCCATCCTTTGACCAATTGAGTCACTACTACCAAACGACATGGACTGAGGCAAGGCCGGATTTGTCGAAGCGTGGCGAGCTTGCAGATTCATTCCCATGCCAGCCGCACTACATGGACTTTAACTTCTTCAAGTAATCAAGTAATCAGGCTGATCCAGGACGACAACGTATACCCTTGACCGTCTGCTTCTTGGTAAGCCATGTCGTATGCCTAATCCTTGCACCTTCCTGTTTCAGCTTCCCATACGTAGTAAGTACAACTTTGACGATGAAAACGGATGAGTGTGGGGACGGATTGACACTTAACTATTACTTGGAAGCTTTCTTTGTGTGCACAGGCCAAATTTAAAGGCCGGAGCGGCCAAGTTAGTTAACAAGTAACAGCCCGGAGGCCCTCTGGCCCAGAGCCCAGAGCGCCCCAAAAAGCGTTCCTGGGTCCCCTGGCCCCGGGTTGCGCCGAACCCTTGGAAAGCGCTCAAGTTAGGCTCCGCCCACCCATTCTTTCGCCTTTCAGATGTCTCTTTGATCGACCAGCTTCCGGACCATCAACCGCACCATTCACTCGTCACTGACCCCAAACACGGATACAAGCTACACTTACTTACTGCATCTGAAACTCGGTGTCGCTGTTGCTGTCTGCTATTGCACCTCTAACAAGCTTTCACTCTCCAGGCATCAACACACTGTTTCAATACTGACGACCCGCTCGCTGTCCGGCCCTGTTTTGAGTAGGTCAACCGGCTTCAGCTGAACGGTGCATGCGCGGGATCAAAGGAATTGCAAACCTTGCGCTTCCTGCTGGGCGCATTGATTGTACAAGAGTCTTCATGGGCGTTCAATATCCTGGTAACACTGCCAGCCATTCAGAGCCATCGCACAGACCCAAGGCATCCTCTCTGGTGGTGGCAACCGAGCTCGATGGTGGCTGGATAGGCATAAGCTTGTCGAGAAGATGAGCGCATTCGTGCGAGTTTCTGGTCGACCAAACACCAACTTCTTGGTCGGATACCCAGGCATCTCAGCTACTCTAGTATGTTCTTGATAATTGAGTTTACTCATGTTGTTGCGACTGACGGGATACGCTCTCTAGCCACGCATCGAAGGCACCGTCGAGATCCGACCCAATGCAGGGATTACGGCTCCTGCCCATGTATCACTCGTCACGGTGTCTCTCCAACGACGGGAGACGATTCACCCCTCTGCAGAATCAATAACAAAAAAACACCTGGCTGCGCCAAGGAAGGAGATCACAGATATCGTGGGGAAGGAAATGCTGCTCTTTCGATGTCCTGCGGGCAAAGAATACGAGGAGATAATGTCAATGGACCTGCCATTCGTCATCTTCATCCCTTTCGGTAGAGGCGCACAGGAGACGGCTCGAAGAGTACCACCTGCCAGTCTACAATTGCCCAAAAGGTCAGCTGAAACATATTACGAAATGGTCGTGCTGCTGCAACAGGGACATTCGGAACAGAAGAAATACGCTTTTCCTGTACCTATAGCAAGATACGACACTCTGTCCACTTTCGGGATGTACAATAAACCAGAGGTGGGCGAGGCCAGGTCAGACTCACTGCTCACACTGAGCATTACTTTACCACGATGGTCGTATGGCCCCCTCGATCCTGTCAGCGTTCGTGTCAAATTGTCGCCAAACCTGGATTGGATGAGCAGGGCGAGAAAGGTCACGATACAAAAGCTTACATATGGTATCAACGAAGAAGTTATCTACAATCATGAAGGAGATGAGCCACAACGCAAAGTGAAGAGTATGAAACGCAAGACAGAAGTTATAGGCATCAAGGTGCCCGAATCAGGCCATTCGGTCAACCTGGGTCTGCTGTTTCCTTCGAAGGAAATGAGGGATGGAGATGGCATAATACCGAGAGGGAAGGCTGCTTTTCCGAATTTTGCTGTGCAAAGCTTCACCACCACAGCAGGTCTGTACAAGGTTGAATACTACTTGTATGTGAAGGTGAGGTTGTCCTCGCTCTTAATAGTGAACGCGCTGATTGTCCACATAGGCCCATCTATCAGGGGCCAAAGATATTGAACTTAAACAGCCCATTGTGGTCTGTCCGCTTGACCATGCTAGCTGCAAGGCGGAGATGGACGCTATCGAACAAGCAGCCAAAGACGCAGCACACGTCAATGCCGAAAATCCAATGCTGCCACTTGCGACGATTATACGGGCCGGTGATGCGAACGCTTTACATTGTCTTGGCGTGACAATGGTCGGCAGGCAGAGGAAGCCACTAATTGAATAGAGCAAAGCAGAAGCTTTTATCGACGAAAATTCTTGCGGGTGCAGAGGCAGCCCAGCGCTGTGCTCCTTGATTGCCCATACATTCTATCATGGATCAACCTGTGCCATGAAACCCCACACCTTGTGATCACGAGGGGCTAGACAGCCGGACGGCGCTCAGCGAATGATCAAGTCCAGAGTATCAAAGTATTGCAATAGCATGCGTCTCTAACATGGCCAGCGAGTTCCAGGCGTCAAATGGGAATACTAGTTACAGTGGGCTAGCGTGACCATGTATGCATAATCGGGGTTACTGGAAGGATCTTGAGCGACTTTTTGTTCGGGATATTATGGACACAACCTTCGTGGTCCTGGGATTGACTTTCTGGTTTCAGATCCTTCACCATGGTAGTGCATCAACTGATCTTGAGCCTAACTGGATCAGCCATAATTGCTTGGATGGTGGATAGACTTAACAGACTCAAAGTAGGCTTGGTGAAATTAGATAGTTAGGTCGTTTCTATACCATCCCTGCGTCACACCTGGCTGGTATTATTATTATTCGAATCACTCAGCTCCATCCTTCCCATCAGCTCTTCCAGTTCGGCATCCTCGAATTTCAGCCGTCTTGCATTCTCCACGAGGGCCCCTTCCATCATCTTAACCGCTGACGCATACTGACGACTTCTTTCCCCCCATGTGCTCAGGATGTTCTTCAGGTTCGACCGGATGTAGTCGAGCACCTGATTCATCTGCTCGAGCCGCTCGTCGCCTCCACCGGCCATCCTAGGATCGGTATCTGGCCACCCTCAGGAAAAGGTCCGCCTCAAGTTGTCTGTGGGGGAGAAAAGGCTTGACCCGGGTAAGTACTAAAGCGCAATATCCAGTATATAGACTTGCCCGTGTGGGAGATCTGGGGCGAGTTGGACCGAGATGAGCTGGCTTTTCTCGCCTCTGAACCTGAGATAGATAGGTCTTGTACGGGTCTACATGGTCATTCTGAAACAAAGAAGAAGAGTTGAGATGGAGTGTTCCTTCATGAGGAAGTAGTTGATCTAGATTAGCTAAGCGGCAGCACCACTACTGGTGCTACCACCTGTCAGCATGACTCGAAGCTGGACCTTCACCATAGCTATCACTGACTCGGCGAAGTCATGAAGATCTGTCTATCGTGCGCCTGTTCTACACTGCGACACTGCGCGCAGCATGGTGTTGTGCTTCGGATCCTCTACTGATGGACTTGTTCTTCTCACCCAATTTATCGCCTAATAGAACATCTAAGAATGGGCGACGTGTAAGGCTTTCTTTGGTCTAAGCCTTGAATCATGTTATCTCTTTCATTCTCAAGACTCTTACTCGTTGAGACGATTCTTTATTCGGTGTTCATTCGGACCATAAGGGCTTGTCTACTCGCTCCCATACCGCGCTACACAGAGTAGGTGTGGCCTGTGTTGGACACTATCAGGATTTGCGCTGCTCTACCAGGACCTCACCTCCCTCTACCACAACCTCCAGCTCCAGCTCCGCCTCTACCCCGACCTCCTGTCCCAAGCCCGCCTCTACCTAGAGCTTCACGACCTCGACCTCGACCTCGACCCCGACCTGCGCCTCCTTGAGCTCCTTGGCCTCCACCCACTTCCAACTCTGGCCCTAGCTGCAAATCACCCTCGGCTGGAAGCGAATCCAGAAGTTCCCACCTCTGAAACCGTCTAGGTTCGCTAGGTTCGCACAAAAGCTGGTACATGTGGCCACACCCGTCACATACACGATTGGAAAATGCATGCGGCAATGTGCAAGTTCATACATAACCGCGGTTCCGGTGGCCTTCCATATCTACGCCAATATGACGTATACATGTTCCAATCTTTGAATAGCGAAATAATGGTGCAGCAAAATCTTCTTGTAAGAACGGCGTATTCCTCTAAATAGCTTGATTCGTCTGTGAGTGATTCAGGAAGAATGATGCCTGCAGCTTCTCGCCTGGACCCATGTCTCCCGGCAACAAGGGGGGGACGCAGAGGGGTTGAGTCGCGGTAAGCCGTACAGTGGTCCCAAGACGATGGTGATCCAATCCACCTCCTTTGAACCGCGACAGCAGCAGTTCTAGCATCAACCCTCGCCAACGAAAAGCTTGGGACAGCAAGGTTGGGTTAGTGACGTCTCCCGCTTGAAATTAAGCATCTCCATCTTGGTTGCAACACCCCAGATTATCCGGTTGATCAGTGAGCTATGGTCCAGGTACTGCAAGGCTGCGACTGCTCGCGCCCCACCTGCACCAGTGACTTAACATGTAATCTCGACTTAGATCTGAGTTTCGAACCGTGGCCTAGTAATGGTGGAGAACTGCACATGCGTTCAACATTGTCCCAAGAAGGCAGTTGGGACGAGGAGTATGTACGGTCGAGGATTCCTTTGGATTTTCTTTTCTTGGAAAAATTTCAGAGCACCGACTAGCGGAAAAGAGAATGTCAAAGGAGAAGAAAGGTAAAGACAATTGTTCGACGCACTCTCATACCTAAGTACGCATTATTCTTACAGAAAACTCGTCTCTGCTGTCGCTGGCTTCTTCGTCTACACGTGCCGCAAACGGTGTTTCTGAGAGGTTAGATACCATCAATCAAAGTGGAAAAGCAAGCGTTTCACATTCCAAGCGAATCACGATCAAGAATCCGCATCGACTACTCGGAACCCAGAATGAAAGTTCGTCGTGCAGACCAGTCGTGATAGGATGTAGATGCATATTCAGCAGATCTAGTTCCGAGAGAGAAACAGACGTATAGAAAGTCTCCAAAAGGGGTGCCACCGATGAGTTATCCTCTTTCCCAGAAAAGGCAACGCGACGAATTTAGCAGTTACCCGGATACACCATAGACTATGTATCTATCACGTCCGGCGTAAGCATTGAACCCGCCTCAGCATCATCACACACGCTTTGAAGCCTGCATTCTGATTAACATTTTTCTGGTGTTTTTGGCCATAATAACGCCCATAATTTCCGACTTCTTTTCTATGACACGTGGCTCCCGTCGTGGAGACTGAGGTATGATTTGAAATATTGTTGCAGCTGATGCTTTGGCTTCGTCTTGTAGCGAAGGCAGGCATTACCTTGATCTTACATTGCTAGGCGAACTCGACTGCGATTCTGTCGCCTTCAGCTCTTGCTCCTTAGCACGTACGGCTCCAGCCTTGGAAGGCTCTTGTCTCTGACGCGGCATAGATGCTCGGGATGAGCCAGCTCGGGGTGGACTTTCTGATCGTCCTCCGGCCGGAGCCATACACCCTCTTGCTGTAATAGCTGAGGCGGCTTTGACCGTGGCGCCGCTTCGAGCTGTACTACCGACCGCTCTCTGCCCTGTTGCCGCATCTGTTTGAGCTGCGATTCCCACCGCTCCTGCTGTGGCCAGAGAAGGGACGGTTTTAGGATTTTCGGTGGATTTTGGGGTGGTTGGAGGTGTATATCGATGGGTCATTCGAATCGTGGTTCTTTGCATTGCTGAGGCAAGAGCCGTACTCGTTCGAACCTTATTCCTTAGTGCTTCTGCAGTTGAAGAAGCAACTGCTCCAGCCGAGACACCTGGTGCTGCTGTAGCAAGAGGCATGCTTGATGCCAATATGCTCCCTGCCGCTGTGGCTGGAGATTTGTCTAACCCAGCTCCCTTCACTGGCGCTGCTGTAGCTGGGTAACCCACTGCCCGAGCTGCACCACGTGATGCTGTGACAGCCTGCGAGGCACCTACTCGAGCTGGACTGCTTGAAGCTGGAGCAGTCCAAACGCCACCCACTTGAGCTGCGCGCCTAGATGTTGCTCTGGTAGGTACAACACCAGCTTCAACTCTAGCGCTTGATGCCGCTGTAGCCAGAGCAGCACCCGCTCGAGCTATCGCTTCACACGCTACAGTAGCCGGAGCTGTATCAACTTTTTCTACTCCCCAAGGTACGGCAGTAGGCGGAAGTACTCCTAATTCAGCTGCATCTGAGGGGAATGCTTCTTCGGAATGAATTCTAGGATCCCAGGGTGTAGCTATGGCTACTTTGATATATAACTTAGGATCCTTGTCATGGATAATTGTCCATGGAAGCGGAAAGGTCCATTCCTTTACCTGTTCGATAGGACGGTCCCTAGATAATAGAGGTGGCCCCCAAGGTGGTAGGTGTTTATCTCCCTTCGTAACGCGGCTGAGCGCGAGCTGCAGCCTCTGCGCCGCATTCTGGGTCTCCTGTAGAAGCTCTGCCCTGTCATGAGCTTGTAACAGGCTCGTGCACAGATTTTCTTCCATCTGTGAGACGTAAAGGTTTTCACACTGTCGCTCTAGTTGCTTTAAATGTTTGTGGGCTAAATTGTTAAACGCCCTGTTATGTGCTGCAGCAAAGTAAAATGCACACATTGCATCAATCTTGGCTCTGTTGTGGGCTATATCGTCAATGTCCCTGACGAAAAATCTCTCGTGACCTATAGTCATGATCATATTAGCCTATATTCGACCATGGGCTAGGTAGACATACAAGCACCTAGCTCCATATCTTCTCGTATTTCTCGTGAAAAGAAACCATAGCACCATTGGTAGGAAAGCACGCAAGAGAGATGGAGCTGGGGAAGTCTTGCTTCATATGATCTGAGCATGAGAAACTCCATTTCTGCGTGGCTTCCCGAGTTGACAAAGTTCTTGTAATGCATCAGAGCCCTACAAAGGCCCGAGGTACAAAGATGGAGGCTGCTGGCAACTCAAGCTCTTCAAAAGGGGGCTACCTCTATTGGTGGCGACTACTAAAAAGCCTTAAGCTGAGCTATGTCTGTCGTCTCGAGACAGCTTCCAACAGCCTTGATGAGGTCTGTTGGCTGAAGCTTGATGCGGTTGAAGGATCTGAATTGATAAGAAGGATGGATTTCAAACCATACGCTACCAGGCCGTGAAGATGTGAGATAGTTAGCAAGTTCAAGAAAACTCACGAGAATGATGATGACGATGGAACTTTAGAAAGACCTCTGCTTTCTAGCCGTGTCTCAGGTATGTCCCGAACTAAATGATTCGAGTTTCATCATTGATAGCGGAGTAACAAACTCATCGCCAGAACGAACCACAAGCTCGTTTGACTCATCATGTTGAATGTAGTTATGGCATCTTTCGGCCTTTCCAGCATTACATGCTCCTCTGAAAACCTCTGTCGCACATGCGCAACAGGGGCGGCGCATGGTTTTGGAGCTGGAGCAGTGTTCTCGAGTAAATTTGAGGTGTCCTCTGTACTACGTAGTTAGTATGATTAAGTGGCAGGGGAGCGACGAGAACAAGCTTCTGCCAAGATAAGCTTAGCGCGTCATATAAGCTTTTATAATATCCCACCGCATGGCACTGCACAAAATACGAGGTACTACGTAGTACCAGTACCAGTACTTTAACCCTGTTCCCCCTCTAAAGGACTTGCAACCACTTCTCTACCCTACCTCTACCCGTACAACGGTCAGTTACTCAGCATGGCCGAGTTCGACGAAGACGATCCCTCTCTCGTGCACTCAGGTCCATACCCAAACACCCACTCCACCCCCTCCAACCCCATGGACGTCGACCTCTCCGAAGAAACCCAAGACTTCCGCTTCCTCTCGGTCCTCACCTCGAACACAACCTTGGCCAACACTACCACTACTCCTTCTGTCGCTTCCACCGAGACCTTGATTCCGAAGCGTGGCATCAAGGATTTCGAGCCCAATCCGACAAGGTCACAGCAAAATGCTTTGCGGGCGAGTAGACAGGCGATGCATGATGTGCTGAGTGGGGAGAGGGTGCATGGAAGTAAGAACTGGGTTATCGGGTATTTTGTTGGGAGTATTGGTGGGGAAGGGGAGAGTGCGCCGTTGGAAGGCAGAGATAGCGGAGAAGATGGTATCGGATTAGAGGACAGGGATAAGAGGTTGCGGGGATGTGTGGTCAGAATCGACCAGCCCCGGGGCTCGACTTTCAGGACCATGGGAGTCAGTGATAGGGAGAACCGGATCTGGTTGTTACCGGAGGAGGCTCTTTACTGCATTGAGAGGGGGAGCTTGGACATTAGGTGGGGTCTGCCTGAAGCCGAGAAGGATGATGTTAAGGGTGGGCCTGTCACTGGCGGTAATGATGAGGGTTCGGCGAAGAGAGAGGGCAAGAAGGATGATGATGATGATGATTATGACGATGCTCCAGCCTTCAGCGATTTACCAATGTCGTTACAGGGTGCATATGCGACATTCATATCCGACAAGGATCTCACTTTGGCGAGATACACGGTCTTCGCTGGATTGAGGAGACTCGGATACACTGTTATTCGCGCTCCAACATGGGATGACTCTGCTCCACCATCTTCGCAAACACGACAAGAGGACAAAACTGAGGATAAAATTGAGGATCTTCCCATAACCTCGCACGCGCGAACTGTGTCTCCTCCTTCTGCGCTGACAAGTCAACAGCCCTTCTTCAAATGGCCCAGCCTTCGGACGTTTATCACAAGAGTCTTCCAATTACTATTCAGATGGGAGTCTCCTTCGAAGCCATATCACCGACATCCCAACTCTTATCCCAGCTTCGGTCCCCTCGTCGCACCCGGTCTGTACAGATCCTACATAGATATCTACCGTGCTCTTGCCCTAATCCCATTCCATAATCCAACATCAAAACCACAACCTGCGCACACAGCTCCCGCAACAACTTCATCCCCTGAAACGCCTTCAATACAGCCACAACCCCCAAACCCCTCAATGACTTCCACCACGCCCCCTTTCCGCATATCATATCATGTCTACAAGCCCACAACTCCCTATCGCAAAACCTCCCCGCCAGCCCCGGACTTTCGCCTCGCCGTCATCGACGCCCACGCCCACGCCACCATACCCAACCTGACCGAGCTCGGCACCCTCCTAGAAGAGATGCCTCTCCACGATCCAAGGAAGGATGAGAAGCTGAAGAAGGGCAGACCAGAGATGCGCCTGAAGGCGGGGACGAGGAGTGTGGTACTAGCGGTGGTGGATAATGGAGTTGTAAGTTTTCTGAGATTAGCGGAGATGGGAAGTGGGAGGGAGAAAATTTATGAGGGCAAGGTGGGCAGGGGCGGCGGAAAGAGGAGCGGGAGAGGACGTGGTGCTGGAAGAGGACGTGGGAGAGGACGATGAAAGGACACCAGGATGGTGGTTTCTATATGTGATGGAGCAGAGGCTAAAGCGGATGCGAGCTTGTCTCCACAACCAGAAGGAAGTCCATGTTTTCATTGCTCAGCTCTGAACTGGAGGCAAATGGGGGAGGCGTGGTTGATGTGCCATCGTCTGTAGACTATCGACCTATGGGGAGGCAGGTTCGATGCATATGCTTCAGATGGGGAGACGGTGGGAGATGCGGAATGGCCCACGGGTGAGCGTTTGGCACCGGGCTGCAAGATTAGAAACATGATACCCCAGTTGCGATAGACTGTAGATGTGCGAAGAAAGCATGAGACGGATTGTGTATCTCATTGACGTCCTGTTCCCGTGGCCTGAACATCTGATTGCCTCGTTAGGCTGTTAGCTGAGCTCCCCTCATTGCACGCCGATCTTTGTCCTCTGCCGAATGCTGATCAACCCGCCATATTCCACCTCCCTGTTTAAGCTCCTTGAAGCTGTAATGCCTGGTAGGGTCCAATGTTGAGCGATATATCTTATGTCATTGCGCTTGCGTGACGGTGAGTAGTTCTGGCGTTTGGCTTACAAGGTTCGTTGCCTTACAAAGGTTATTGGCAAGTTGCTGTGTCAAAGTCGTTCGCACTGGTATCGTGTTTGCTGTGTTTGTTTATTTGTCCATCAAATCACTGAACATCCGAATGTTCTTACCATCTTCGTGTATTCATTCTGCCACTTCCTCTCAAGTATCCAGATATTCGGCCGCCATCAGCAATTCCAAACAGAGCTCGCTTGGGATTTCCATATCAGGCACATCCCTACTCTCTTTATGTTTCTCGTTGTAGTAGAGGTACTCAACCACCTTTTCCAAGACCATGGCGTTCAGGTTCTCGAGATGGCAGACGCCGGTCACTGACTCGGAGAAATTACCTGGGACGGACGCAGATATCAGTGTTTGATGGGCCTATCTTGGTGGGGAAGGACGGGGTAAGTACTAACTCCTGGTGTTGAGCATTCGGCGAATGGTGCCGGAGACGCAGGCAGCGGATCGGCGGACGTGGAACTCGAAGCCGTCTGAGGAGATGAGCGTTACGAAAGGGGATGGGGTAGTCATGGGGGAGGTGGAGGAGGAGGCAGAGTCAATGCCGGCCGCGGGCGTGCTGTCTGTGGTGGACCGAACAGTCATTGCGATGTTGAGAGGTGAGTTTGCAAGAGCGCTTTGGTTTGTACACCGTGCCGAGACGCGTGTAGATTACATTGGAAGCGTGCTGAAGGATAGTATGAACAAATAATATTATTGTTGTATGTAAGACAATAAGACAATAAGACAATATTGACAAGCTGTGTTGTAGCTGTGTGCTCCGTAATTTGGCCGCGGAGGTGGCACGGACCACTTCGAATCTCTTCTCACATCGACGTCGAGATGCTTACTAGAAATAATTTACAGCTCGTCCTCCGGTCGTTACAGTGGCACACAAACTCTGTTGCATGGCTCGTACCATCAGGGCCGTTGCAAGATCTGCGCCCTCGAAACTCAAGCTATCTCAAGTAGCCTCTAGTCGACTTCGAAGGCTGTTCGGGAATGTCAAACCTGGAGCAAGACTCGGCCAGAAGCCAAGCGAGGGTATTGGTGCTCATAGGACCGAGGCGGATTCAGAAGATATAAACCTTTTCTCGGAGAATACGCAAGGCGTTACTGAGGAGAGGCAGCAACCGGGCCTGGAATCTGCTGTTTCTCCTGTTGCAGAAGAATTTCATCTACAACCAGGTCTTTCTCCTTCGCATTTACAAGAAACATCCCCCAAAGAGATACCACCTCGGTTAGAAGAGGTCGAATCACCTTCGCAGTCAGGCAGTCTTCTTCCGAATAAGCCCCTCTCTGTGGAGAACGGCCCTAGTGCTGGGGCAATTGGTCTGGATTCGCCGGTGCCCTCACCTTTCTTCTCATTTCCGTCCGCTGGCTTGGACGAGGGCGTTAAGAAGGTTGCGATAACGCCTCCAGCTGTAGGGGTTGATGAAACTGGGAACACAGCCATACCGCCGACAGTTTCCAAAAAAACCCGTCTTGCTGGGCGGAAATGCCTCATAACAGGGGCCACTTCTGGAATAGGTAACTACCTATCACTTTAAATCTATCAGCCTTCTCCCTTTGGCTTATCATATTCTACAGGCTATGCGATCGCCAAACGGTTCCTCACGGAAGGCGTGGCCAGCGTGACAACTGTCTCACGGAGCCAGGAAAACATCGACGCAGCCTATAACAAAATGAAGAAACAGACAAAAAGAAAAGGTCTTCCCTTCAAGCTCCTCCTGGGAGACATCACCGATCCGGCCTTTCGCCTGAAGCATTTCAACATGACTTCTGAACTGGTATGTGTGTTTACTTCCTTTGCCAACTGCACGCTAGGCAGCACCTTTTTTATGGCAGCGAGTATTGAGACTTCATCAGGCAGATATAGACATCCTCATCAACGCAGCTGGCATCTCGCAACTTTTTCCAATAGGTATCACGAAGGCGGAGACGGCTCAACAGATCATCAATACAAACCTCAATGCCACCATCGATCTTTGCAGGTTTTTCAGCCGTATCGTCTATCGCCGAACCAAGAAGTCTGTACGTGAAACCCAGCTCAAGAGCACGGACCCGTCGGAATCGGACCTCGACGACTCCGTGGACGAAGACGCGGCCGACCAGAGCTCTGAAATCGTGAGACCATCGAGGTTGATTGGTCACGTTTCGCCTTGTATAATCAATATATCGTCGCTGTTAGGCGTCAGAGGAGGTGCTGGAGCGACTGCCTATGCAGCGAGTAAAGCAGGGGTCCTCGGTTTCACCAGGGCACTGGTTTGCGAGAGCGCTAGCTTCGCGATAGATATGCGTGTAAACACCATCGTGCCTGGATACATCCACACGCCTATGACTAAATGTAAGTCTGTGCAAGAAGTCACCTATTTCAGTGCCTTGTCTGTCTTGTACTCCCAGTCTCCTTTCATGCTACTTCTCTGCTCCCAATCATTTATCTTCCCTATCTTCCCCTTCGGTCCTCCCAGTTTTGCCTTCGTATCGAACAGCCTTTTCCATGCTCCTGTCCTCAATACTCCGCACAATATGCATCTCCGCGCGGACATGCTACATATTCATGTTCATGCCAGATGGCTGTCATTTCTACCCCTCCCCAGATAACGCCATGCTGATTTCACTGCCGTGCCTTTAGCCTTCGCACCTGCTAGGAGAAAAATGCTCTGCAAGCAGATCCCTGCCGGTCGCTTCGGCACTCCTGAAGAGGTCGCCGACGCCGCCTTTTTCCTGGCAACGAACGAGTACGCCAATAATTGCGTGCTCAACCTGGACGGCGGACTGAGCGCTGTATGAGATGTGTTATTAGCAGTAATGAAGGCTCTGTCCTTCTCGGCAGAGCATATGCTTCAAGAACGAGGCGATCTGACCTCCGAGACTTCGCAGGCCGCGTAACAGCAAGAGGGTGGAAAATCGATAAATATGTATACCAGACAAACATGGCCGGGTCTCGCTAGACAATTCAAAACTGCATGAGGCCATTTGAGCGCGACTCCGTGGCCAGTATCCAGCCAGCCGGCCATGAAACCCACCTTGACCTCTGTCTAACCTCCCGGCTTGCGCCTAGAAACCGTTCTCCTGCAGATTAAACTTCATGTATCAAAAGAGGGAGAGAGAGTTGAGGCCGCTGACCCCGTCATACTTGGGCACATGTAACCACAACAAACCGGGGCTGCCTCGAGGTAGATAGATAATGAAGCCAAAAGTCATGAGAGGCAAGCCAGAGAAGCCAACGGCCTCAAGAAACAGCGCGAAAGAAGATCCAAGCGTCATGCCTCCAAGAAAAGCAGTTTCGTACCCTCACGAACTACTACTCATCCGGCTACGAAGAACCGCGATCCCACAAAGCCACAGAGCACATTATTCTATCACCGTCAAATCTTTTTTTTGTGTATTCGAACCATCATGTCATGTTACCTCGTGGGGGCGAAAACGCAAGTGGTATCTCGAAGCAGCCAAACCCACCTCCCCTCCCACAACATATGAAGCACTAGCTAATCTAGCTATCCCCTCTATCCGAGCCAATTTCGCTGGCCCTTGCCATGCATGGGAGTTTGCCTAACCAGCCATCCAGCCATTGATTAATCCCACGTAAGGGGAAATTTTCCATGAATTCTCAAAACGCCCCCCCCAAAAATATGCCTGTCCAAGCCAAGCCTGAAAGCTCGGAGCCCTTTGCTGCGGGAGTCAAGAAGGAAAATTTTGAGAGGGGAAGATAGCGGGGAGGTCAATCATCGTCGATGACGATCGAGCCATCTCCTGCCGCTGCATCATCGAGCATGATAGCCTGAGCTCGGTCGAAGCCCAATGCGTCGCCGTCGACATCACCATTCGATTTAGTACTGTCGTTGGTGACGACAGAGGCATCTCCTGCAGCTCCAGACCCCGTGCCGTCGTCGTCTGCCGCCAGTTTCCGCTTCAGCGTATCCGCCCCGTCGAGTCCCGCCTCGTCCGCACTTCTCTTGACCTTCCCCTTCCCCTTGCCCGTGCCCGTGCCATTCGCTGCCCCATTCGCTATCACAACAGTCACGCCGTTCCCCTCCACCATCTCCTCCGGCCTATCGCTCGTAGCTTTCTTCGGTTTCCTCGCAATCTCCAATGTTCCTCGCTGCTGTCCAGCCTCCTCAGGCCTTCCGTCTTCCATCGCCGCTGTCGTGGGAGCCAAAACCACCGGCCTCGATCCCGCGGGCAGTTTCCTCTTACTCGACACTGCAAGTTGAAGATTCACCCTCGGATTCTCCTCGTCGTCATCGATGACGGTCAAGAAAGTCTCGTCTCGCAACCCCAGCTCGCGGAAAGTCTTGGGTAGCATATCCTCCATGTCCGGATCATAGATCGGGCCGACCTCGTTCATGATCGTCATTTCCTCTCCGTAGCCCAGCTCGCTCTTCAGCACACCATCAACCAGATCATTCAGCGTCGCTCGTTCCGGGTCCACATCCACCTGTCCCGTCGCGATACCACAGACCGCGCACTCGGGGTTGGGAGGTCTCGGGGGCTCTGAGTTCAGGGCCCTCGCGCCGCTGTTCTCGAGAAAGAGCATCTTGGCCCGGAAGTAGTCACCTCGTAGCACTTTGAAGGCTTGCATCACGCACAACCCGGCGGTCATGGCGTTGGTGGTGGCGATGGCGGGGATGATGTTGCCGGCCATCTGCTTGACGGTGAATTTGGATTGCAGGGGGATGGAGAAGATGTGTGAGCGGAGGTTGGAGGCCGATGTCACGAAGTCGAGCGTGTCAGGGTCGTCTTTGTCGAATGTGATTACGGGTCGTACTGCTGCTGGGTTTGTGGCTTCGGTTGCCGCGATGGCGATGCCGGCGTTTTGTTTCAGGCGCATGCTGAGAGCGTGGAGGCTGGATTTGAAGATGGCGAAGTTTTCGAGGAGGGTCCAGGTATTCTGGTCGGAGGGGGAGATGGTGGCGTCGGTTGACGAGGAGGCTTCCGATTGTAGCGCTTCGTAATTGAGGGAGGTGGGTCGAGTGCGGCTTTTCCACATATCTTCCATGCCTCGGAGACGGTCGATGTCATCTCTGAAGACTTTGTTGAAGACTTGTTTTGCGAAATCATCGTTGCCCATGCTCTCTCGTATCTTTTTCAGAGCTTGTGCCTCGGCCTTCAGGTTCCGGATCTCCTCTGCATTATCGGCGTCTTCGCTTGTGTCGAGCTGATCGGATGTCTCCTCGTCTTCGCCCACACCAAAGAGCTCGGGTAGAAGATAACTTTTGGCCCAGACGATGCAGTGAATTGGCTGCGAGGGAGTGGATCGAATGGTGCAGACTGGGTATGTCTTTGGGACTTCCTTCTCCGTGCAATCGTAGCATGCTGTCTTGCCTTTCTTGATCACCTGAACCTGACCATTGAAACCAGTGGTGCCAGATTCGATAAGAGGCACATCCGCTGCGAGACACATCTTGTTGACGTGACGGCGCGCATCGAGATTGTCGAGCGCGTTGAAGACGAGAGTAAAGGATCGGAAGAATGACAGAGGAAAGAGCTGCGTGTCCTTGATATTGGCATGGTGCGCGGTCAGGGTACACGATGGGTTGAATTTCGAGGCAACTTCTTTTGCGACCTGGCAGTTGGTAGCATAAATTAGCTTGCGGCGAACCAGTCAAGATCGCTACGGGACATTGACGCACCAGAGCCTTCGGCTTCTTGATGTGCTCCTGTCTGAATAGGAATTGACGGTTCAGGTTGCTCAGATCGATGGTATCAAGATCGATGATGTGAATTTCGCCAAAGCCGGTCAAGACCAGATTCTTGAGCAGTTCGCATCCGATACCGCCCGCGCCTATGAGAAGCACTCGTGCCTGAATATTTAGGTGAGTTCGCTCTGAAAAGTTGCGAGCTGGGAGGCGAGCCATACCTGCTTTATCTGAGAGTGTAGAGCTCCTAACGACTGGCGGGGATACTTGTCGCGGCCCATTGCGCCTAGTGGAAATGGTTATGCGCAAGTGAGCGGTGGGGAAGGAAAGTCAGAGAGGCGGTAGGATAGACATTGGACATCCAAAGGATGATGGGAAGAGTGAATCTGTGTAAAGGAGTGTGGTCGCCAGAGAGGCTGTAGAGGTCAACTAAAAGTCGGTACAAAGTCGGGAGATGCGATGGACTATGGCCGATGGATAGTTATGGATGAGGGTTGATGCAGGGGTCCGGATGAACTCCGGCTACCGGCACAAGCTGCTACAAGATACTGCTGAGTTAGTGGTGATACTTGCTGTTCTGACACTGCTCTTCTTTGTACGCTACCCATGCAGCAAATTGGTATGCTGCAGCGTCATGAATCATAGAACACGGAACCTCAGATACACGAGTGTGGTAAAACCATTGGCTGCTCATATGCACGTTGGGGCGATGGAGAGTAACCTCTCCATGAACTGCAGCATAACCTAGAAGGGAACTACAAGCAGACGACTCGAGGAGTTTGGAGAGTCGATCATCTTCGTCTCCTGTTCTGTTTCTCTAAAAAACCTCCGTGAGCATGTCCGACGATGAAGATACCGATGCATCCCTCCTCGCTCTCCTGCGCCAGTCCCTAAGCTTGACGGAAAATACAGCCACGCCAGCAATCCCAGAGACTGGCGTCCTCTCTTCTGCCAAATTCATCTACAACAACTCCATTGACGTCGCCATTGACTCATCCAGCACCAAGCTTGCCGCCACAAACATCTACAACCTTATGCAATCCAAACAGTATTCTACTCACTCGTGGTCCGCTCATGATCTTCACCCCAAAGCCAAGGATAAGGCAACGCTGGACTTTATCTTCACAATGGATCTGCTGAATTTCTCGTTTTGGTCAGAGAGCTCTGAGGAGCAGCGGTTTGCGGTTGAGTACAGGGGGAAGCGGTGGACAGGGTATTGGAGCTTGGTTGCTTGTTTGCAGAGAGCGATTGACCAAGGTACGTGTCAGGCTACGAATGCACTATAGCTGCGTCGAGCCGAGACTATCAACAAAACGTGACTTGCTTATGAGGATGCTGTATCAGACGTACCGATCACGGATTCTCATTTTTGGCAGGATGAAGGGGAATGCACTCTAGAGCTGCTGCAGCACCTTTTCCGCTCTACAACCTCAGAGCAGATACCCATGCTGCGGGAAAGGCTAGACTGCCTGCGCGAAGCCGGGACGGTGCTGTACAAGACGTATAGCTGCAGCTTCGCAAACTGCATAGCCGCAGCCAAGCAGTCGGCAGCCGCTCTGGTGAGCCTCCTCGTCCAAGATTTTCCCTGCCTGCGCGATGAACATCAATTCGAAGGGAGAAGGGTCCGTATCTATAAGCGTGCTCAGATTCTGGTTGCAGACATCTGGGCTTGCTTCAACGGCGAGAGCTATGGCACCTTCCACGATATTGACAGCATCACAATGTTTGCGGATTACCGCATACCACAGATGCTGCACTCGCTGGGTTGTCTGATGTTTAGTCCGCCGCTGGAAGGGCGGATTCGCCGGCAGGAGGAGATCAAGAGCGGGGAGAGGTACGAGGTTGAGCTTCGAGGGTGTAGCATCTGGGTTGTAGAATTGATCAGGAGGCAGATTATGAATGATCACCCTGACGCCAAGGTAAACTCGATCCTCATAGATAACTTTCTGTATGATACTTTGAAGGAAAAGGAGGCGGCTGGAGAGATGACAGACATGATACCTCATCATAGAACGAGATCAATTTGGTATTGACTATGGATGTGCTTCACGTAGCTTGCCTTGAAGAAAACAATGGCAGTTGCTCGGAGTGCATGACTTGTTTTCATCCCATATTGTTTCAAAGGAAGCGTACAAATAGCCAGTGAGAGCAACCTTCGACCCGAGGTTGATTCACCTATTACAGAAGTGGCTTGGTCAGGAGACGAGAAGCCTGGATGTGTCATCAGGTCTGGAAGTCAACTTGAGAGGCCATTAAGATACAAACGTGCTTCGCTCACGAAGTAGACGTCTTACTAGTCAACTGGGTTGATCTATGCGAGATCGTGTAACGGGCTACCAAAGCACGCTCAGGGTGCTGGTTTGTGTTGGGAAGTTCTGTGTCCGAGTTAGAGACCCTTAATGACTTGACACAGCAGATGCTTGCAGTTGGTGCGATCCCGGCTAACGATTGGAAAGACAACATGGCAGGATCCAACGGAAGCGTGCACTACTTATGGCAAAAGCTCCTCGTTCCGCCATTCCCGCGCCAGTTAGGAGTGGCCAAAGGAGGAGGGAACTGGCAGGGCAAAGTAGAAAGGGTGTGGAAACACTCTGCTTAGCCAAGGGGTCATCGTGGACCTTGCACATGTCCTTACCTTCACCCCACAGGGACTTTCCCCAACAGATAATTCAAGCGTAATGAATGGGATCAGGTGTCTCCGTTAAGAAGGGTGGGCTAACATGAAATGTAAGAGTCGCATTGGCGCCTTCAGAAGACAAGGATCAGCCGTTCGAATCCTGTGGTGGACAACAATGCCCACAGATCACAAGCAGCAGGATGGTATCCAATAACCCTTATTTGTCTAATGTGACGATCGACAAGGTCACCTTGTAATGAGGTGTTGGTTTGCACAGTTCCGAGTTGAGACAACAAGGTTTGAGCGCTTGTAAACTTGACGCCGCCTAAGCTGTGCGCATAAGGGATGATGGATGATGGTGCATCCACGAGGAAAATGAGTACCCAGTGCAATAAGACCGTTCTTGATGCGCTTACCACGATCATTGATCCAATAGATCGCTGCAGAAACAGTTCACAGTCCCAGCCCCCTGGGCAGAAGAGTCTAGTCCGCTAGCAAAAGGCATGTCGCTCGACCTTGCCTGGGGAGTCTATGTAGCTGGGGTAGACCATCTGACCAATGGCCGACTGAGGAACGGAGAGACATGATTGAATAGCGGCGCAGTTCATGGTACCCTGCTTCGCAACGGTCCAACGGGTCAGTAACAACAGGACGGACATATCGACCTAGAATTGGGCTCATTCTTTTGTATCCGTAGATTTAAGAGTAGTAAGACATGATCTAGATCAGCTTCTTTGAGGAGCCGATACAGCGGTTGTAGCTCGTTATTGGCTGGACAACTCCCACTACAACCCCTGCGAACATCCCTTCGCGTTTGCTAGTCACCTCATACAGAAACAGCGGAATATTGAGGAAAGACATACTCATTGGTTGCTGCAACCCCCCATGCGGTGAAGAAGGGGATAGAGTCAGGAAGCTACTTGTCTTTCTGCAAGACCGGCCGGTGCGTATAAATACTTCAACAAGACGAGGAAACATGTAGCCGACCAGAGAAGTGCAGCTAGTGAAAGCCAGTGAAAGGTGTACTAGTAGGTAGCATACCCACAAGCATCAGGTGACGTGTCCAGTCTAGTCATTCTCGGCTTCATTGACATAGTAAGAACATCGAGGCAGAAACAAGGAGCTAGTACTCCTGTTGCTGTTGGAGTTCGAGTAAAATATTTACTGGGGTGGTCCACTTAGACAGCAGAGCGGATGCAGATGAGTCTTGAGTTTGGCCAAACTAAGACCCGAAGTGCTGCGGTGTGGGACGGTGGTTCTGAACCGACATTGCTTAACATGGAAGCAGTCTTAAAGATGACGTTGGGCATTGATCGCTTGCAACATCAAGAGATTTAGCCTGTCTGGTAGTTCTTTGTTGTTGTTGTTGCTGTTGCTGTTGCTCCTCGAAGGACAGGTCGGTAGGAGAATGAACCAGGTAGGGCAAACAAGCACAATGCCTGGCCTCATTATCGGTGGCCTCCTCCACCATGCTGGATAGTCGTCCTTACATAGTTTGGGGGCTTGTTTGCATGCATGAGACGTTCGGTGTCGGAGGTGAGGTGAGCTTTCTTTGTCTAACTTTGTGCAACTAGCACTTGGGAGTACTGCGCCTAATGGAGCGGCCGGGGGCCCAGGAATTCCCTTTGAAGCAACTTGGCAACTCCACCAGCCCAAAACAGCTCGAAGCATACTTGTCAACGAGGCTGAGCAACCGCCAGAGCTTAAGAATCACGGCCGAGGTAGATAAGTATGATGTGACCAGGGGCAAGATGCGGTGTATCCTCTGTATGCAAGGTGCGGCAAGCTACGACTGCGCCTCAGGCTAATAGACGACGAGCATGTGCATTTGCAGCATGTAAGCACGCGCCTCAAGCGCCTGAAAACAACTTCATCATATCCGCTCCACTCAGAAAGATGCTACGAACGGAGCGGCGTCCTCCTAAAATGTACGCCCGTCCACCCTGAGGCTCTCACATTAGCACTGTGTAGGGCCTCTAACATTTTTTTAGCGCGCCAAGTGGGAAATTCACTGCAATACTAGTAGAGGCGCTGTGGTTCTGAGGGAAACCATCGCTTCAATGGAGCATTCCGGCGCGGTATTTGAAATGTAGAACCTGAATACCATTCGTAGAGGAAGGTCCGTGTTACTACACATGAGATCTTCCTGCTTCAGAGGCGATCTAACAGCCGGAAACGATCACTAGTCAACGGCAAAGATCGTAGAAGATAGTATACACGTTGATGTATCTAGTTTCATAACAGATCCTGGCGTATGGCATTCGACCAGTGCCTAATACATAAGATTGGAATAGATCCTGTTTCGGAAGTAAAGTAGCCCAGCTTGCTCAGGGCACGAGTCATTTCATCGCTGAGGCTATGTTGCGCTTGAAAACCGCACTCTTTATAGATGGTCACACATTCAGCGAGAACGTCCCGGTCTTCGCATCCAATGCCAGACAATGCAACAATAAAGCCTGCCCTTGTAGCCTCCATTGTAACGCCGAAGTTCTCAACCTGCTCCCTTCATGAGAGCGACGGGTCAATATGGCGGAAATGCCGGGGATGATGCGAGGTAATTCGCAGGAGGCGGCGCACTGAAGGCGGATGGCTGGGCATCTTGCGTAAAATGGTTTAACGAGGATCCAGACGGTGCGAGGCGAGGGCGCTCTGTGATCTGCATTTCGCCATACTGTTTCGAATATGGACAGGCTCCATCACGGTCGCAATGTCTGCAAGGTCCATAAGCACAGTGTGTTCCACAAATTGGGCATTCGCTTACCTGGCAAGTGTGTCCTTCCTGTCAAACCGTTTGAAGCACTTCGTGCAGACAAACCTCTTCGCCTTCTCATGCACGCTCTGAAAATGCCGATTCACGTCTGTCCTTCTTCCCAGCCGTTTGCCACAGCCTGGCTCGGGGCATACATGCGGAGATACACGGGACGGGTCGTGCTTCTTCTCGTGTTCCCTCAGATTGTACTTTTTGTCAAATGCTCGATTACACACTGAACAGACATATCGCTTCTCAGCGCTAGTGCTATGCCTTCGGCTGTTGACCGCATTGCGACTGCTAGGCAAGCGGTCAAGTGTCGTAAAAGACTCGACACTATCACTTCGAGCTGTGAGCGATGCTCCGAAATGCCGGCTCTGCCCACACGAGGCCGGGGACATAGCGCCAAAATTAGCGGCCGGCGACGATAACAGGCCACTGCCGGTGACATGGGATGCCCTCATATTGGGGCTCTTCATGTTTCCATACGATGAGAGATTCATACTGCTATGTGGCCGTTCCATATCGACGTGCTCATTGAACCAGGATTCTGCATCTTCTTGCTTGACATGAGGGCACCCTTGCTCTTGGAAGTTGCTCTGGAGCATGACTGGGTTGTGGTCTTGGCCTAGTGAAAATCCAACATCCGCATCCGGTGTGGGCATCGACCCGCACGATGATAGAGCGGGCGACGTGTAAAAGGCAATGGCGTTTAGGGAACGGCTGGACATTGCATGTGTCGACGTAGGAAGTAGATTGAGTCGTGGACCCTCCCCATAAGGATTCCCACACGTTGATACTGGCATTGACCAGTCAACAGTAGTATTGACAGGGTGAAAGGAAGAAGCCGTACTGTAAGACTCAACACCGTTATTGGGAAACGGACAATTGAGAAGACCAAGTCCTTGAGGAGTCGTAGGCGCAGATGAACTGGAGATAGATGTGGCCGGAGATTGTGTTCTTGGGGGAGTAGGATAATCGATCATCCTCGTAGAACCAAGTAGAGAATTTGACGGGCCCAAACGATATGTGAATGTTCGCTTTTGCTGACCGTCCTCATGGACATTCGAGCGTACTGGTACAGGATGATTTCTACTCATTGAATGAATGTTAGGTCAGTGTGTTCGGGTTTTCTGAAGAGATTCGCGACATGGACTGGGCAAAATCAGACAAGACAAAGCAGACGGCTCGATTTATGTGCGCAGAGATATGAGCGAGTGACTAACGGAGCGAGCGAGGCTGTGGACCGTGCAGCATTACTGGAAGCAGTACTCGTTCAGGTCAAAGAAGCAGCATTTGGGGAGAGATTTGCTGCGGAGAGGGAGGTCTCCTCGAAGATGACCGTAGTGAGGCAGACTCAGAGAGCTCATATCTTTCTGCCGCCGCCAGGTCGCTTGAGCGGCTGAACTGAGAGCAAAACGTGACTTGCTTTGTTGGTCGCCCTGTAGAAGTATGTCTCCCCTGGCGCAGAAGCCAATAAGGCTAAGTCGATCTTATGTGGAAGCATCTGCCCATGACCTCTGCTTGGTGGCTGCAAGCGTCTAGCTCGGCTGGGGAACTTTCGGCGGGCACGTTGTATGGATAATGCTGAGCGAGACTTCAGCCCGATCTTCTCCACCGACAGGCATGCACTCAAGGACTATTCCGGTAGAACCGTTCTTCCATAAAGGTACTTGCAGTAGTGCTCTCAGAGTGCTCTAGCTTCTAGAATTACCGCGATGATCGTCTGGGGGCCAAAAACCCCGTGAAGCAATCATTATTGTTGCTCAATTTCGCTACCCTTCCAATGAACCCAGGATCCTGTTCAGCAGTCCAATGTCTACCAGTCTTTTGACTGTCCCGCAACTTTCATGCTCAACTCGTCGACCTGAGAACTAAGCTTCTGCAAAATGGTCAGCATTTCGGCCACGTCGGCAGTGCTCAAGGCAGACGAAGAGCTGCCTGGGAGATGCTGCTGGTGCTGGGATGGCTGCTGTGGGGTGGATGGTGCTAAAGCAGGCTTAAGCGCCGTGAATCGAGCGCCAAGGTTGCTGGAAAGCGGCCGGCCCGGTCTACTGTAATTTATGTGCATGGACGAACTCGCTGCTGGTGGGAAATGAGATCGATGTGACGAGAACAGCCGACTGGATTCATAAGCGAAAATGATTGCAACGAATGGTGCATGGGTTGCTTTCAGGATCAGGATTCTGAACTGCCGCAAGGTTTGAGCAGGGACCACAAGACGTAGAGGCCGAAACAACAGTGCAATCAAATTCTAATGGGATCCGAGTCCGTGGTCAATGCTTGGCCTTTGCAGTGGAGACGAGGAAAGACTCACTAATGGCGGGAAGAAGTAGGTGAGTCTAGATGAAGTGCTACTTGACTCAAGGACATAGATCGAGTATTGGAACAGATATTCTTCCCGTGCATGCGCCATAACCTGGAATTGATTGTCAGCCCGAACTTTTCAGCTGCCAAACCCTGAACCACGCCAAAAGCGGTTGCAGGAGAGGTCTTCCAAGGGTAAATTACGAGAGGCCTACCTCGGTCAAGGAATTACTTAGTAGACTGATCAATGACGTGATAAGAAGGATGTTTGTAAGGGTCACAAAGATGAGCCTGTCACAGTATGGTTAGCGTATTGATACTCGAAGGATTGGTTCGATGTATTGACTGCCGCGTGTGCAGCGTGCATTCCATGGCTGCACCAAGATTGGGAGTTCGGGGGTGGATTTGAACTGGAGGTGTGAATGGGGGCCAAACATTAAAGTAGGGCCAAAAAGAGGGCTGATCTATGCCGGTTCCCCACGCCAGATTAGCGACGGCTCCAATGAGAAGAAAGGAATTATGCACCTCTGCCGCGACGTCCTGCCACAATGTCAGCCAAGACCAATCAAAACCACCGTCCCCCCGACGGTGGCTGAAACCAAGAGAGGACTTACGAAACCAAGGTAGCTCGACTACAAGTCACACCGCAAGAGTCAGTCTAACAATTCACTTGTTGTTCCCCCCGGGGCTAGGAGCCTAGGGGCAAAGGGCCGGGCAGTAGTAACTACTAACCCCAAAGAATCTGCGTTTAATTAGCCCACCGTCCAGACTCGTTCGCAACATGTGGATAGGTGGCATTGAGCACTTACACTTTGATGAGTAGCCAGGACATTTCGTTCAGTGAAAGTCGGTCTCGTGCCAGCATCGAAAAAGTGGATAAGAAGCCTCCATGGAGATAACGCATTAGTGTTTGGACGAGGCGTCATGTTTGGAAGTGCTCCGCCTCACCCAGATAGAGTATGACCTGGATGATACCGCTCAGCAACCGAGATAATAAGCAACCGAAGTACAACAACTTACCACCACAGGCAGAAATTTGATGACATCTTTGGTCTATTCATGGTCAATCAGTTACTATGGATGATGTCCTCGCTGCATGCTGGAACGACTCACCATTTCCTTAAGAACAGGTATCTGCAACACACGTCAGCAAAGCTTGGTAGGTTGATGGGCCGAAAGTTGACTTGCCAGGCTACCAAAGTATGGATTAAGCGAAGCTAGTGAGAACAGCCTAACAAAATAAAATTTAGGATCTGGTGCACGAGAGCTTCTGGAAACGGATCTTGAGGTCCTACCTTGGGACCAAGAACAGAGCAAGCAACGCGAGTGTGTCGAAGGAGAGGTCGGTCAGGTAATCACTTTGTCCCAGCAATCCAATTGCACCTACGCCAGAGCTGTCACCATTGAGTGCGACCACATAAAAGGCCACAGCGCAGTAAATACCCAGGAGGTATGGACGACTTACGAACAATGAGAAAGGCAATGCCTGTGATAATGATTCCTAGATCCCACAGAGACCAGAAATCTGTTTGGTAAAAGGCGACGCCAGCGTCCTTGAATTCGCCAAACTCATCATATGCGAATGCAGCAATCCAGATATAAAGAAATACTTCGGTCACCGTGATGGCGTGAGGATGTCTCTGGATCAGAACCGCGTAATAGAGGGCAAAAAGCGCGGCGAAGAAGCAAATCTGGATTGCCTTGGCATATTTGGGAACTCTTAGACGTGCATATGGATCCGCAATTCTGTCGTTATAGTCAGTACTCCTCAATCATGTGGCAAGATGAGCTTCTTGTATACCTCTTGTTGTACACCCGAGCTCTCTTGACGGCGTTGACCGAGAGACTCTCCCAGAAGATGATGTTGCCATCCCAGATATCTCGCACCACTTTCTGGACAAGACGCTGGGCCAGAAACTTTTTCGCATTCGCAACGGCTGCAATCTCTAGAGCATTAAGGCCTGCAAGGGGCTTAGTGGGATCGTCAACCTGCTCGACCTCTGACAAATCAGACTCTGCTCTGTAGGTAGTTGATGAAGAAGGCGCTTCTTGGTTCGGAGGCTTGTAGAATTCACCGAATTCCCGTTGGTGGCGTTGTAGCAGCGGTGTTTGATCGTTGGCCGCTTCGTGCTCCCCACTGTGAGCAGAACCTGAGGATGGAGACGGCCTCGATTCCATATCCACTTGTGGATCTTCTCGGTTTGTGTCCTCAGGGAGCTCGTGAAGAAGATGATCCATCAATTCTCTCTCAGAAAGGCACGTCAAGAACTCCCAAGCGACTAGCTCGCATGCTAGCCCTCGACTCTCGTTGACCCCTGTGTCATCAAGGTCTGTAGAGATGAATAACCATCTTGATGCTCTAGATGAACGTTAGTTGGTGTTCTGCTAAACTTAGTTGGAACTGGCCATGCCCTCACAAGATTGCAGCGACGATGGCAGAGTGATGGCAATCATCAGTCAGAGAAGTTACAAGTGGCCTCAAACGTTGACCGGCTCCAGATGTACGTATCTGCTCGTAACTATAGCTCGAGTCGATAGCTTTTGTAATGTAGCTGAGGTAATGTTAGATGTGAGTAGGCGGGGAGAAGGCTATTTGCCTACCTTGTAATCTTCTGCACGACATCTGGAAATAACTCATTCTTATCAATAATTGGAGCTTCAAGTTCCGGTTGGTGGAGCGAGATATAAGACTGAGCTGCTGGAGTCTGGGGCAGTGGTCCCGGAATGGCCATAGCAATGGTCCTGCTCTCCATGTTCTTCCCGGCAGGATTGGGGAGTTCGAGCAGAGTTATTCAGTCAGTGAACACGTCTTCGAACAAGAACTCATTAGAAGCAAAATATGAAGTAGAAATTTCCCAATCTCGGTGGGAAATGTCTCCAGGCCCTTTCAGACCCCACAACAACATTCGTTTTCTGAGACGCCTTTGTTGCCTTCACGTCCTTTGCGCCAAGAGGTGATGATCACATTCTGAAGGCTTGTTTTTCAAGCAACCAACTTAGTCTCAGGCACGACCTATAATCTGAGACTTCCAATACTTGCACCACGATTATTAAGACCCGCAGGTCAAATGCGATAAGGTTGCTTACGGGCAAGCATCCAGTCCCTACTTGCGATCTCGGAAGCCCATGAAAAGCTAGATTTCTGAGTGGCTATGCTAAGCAACCAGTCCACGGTCTCGTGCACAAGCGAAAGTCCTACTCCAATATGCTATCCATGCCTCTGCTGCTTTTAGCCATCGGTGCTAGAACTTTACTGGCGAATTCTGGGTAGTCCAGGCGGCTTTCATGAACTTCATGGGTTTGAGTCCTCCAGTCATATGGATGACATGCCAGTTGTCCTGCTCCTACCTGTCTATCTAGGACCGTTGGTCACAACTATAGCCTTGCCTGAGTCTCTGCCTTGCGGAATCAAGACGACGATCCCAGGACTGGACTGCAGCGTCTTCTGTTAGTTATCATGGGTCAAGCATATTCACTTACCACCCTCTCTGCAGGCTCAGCCAGCATTGACGTACCCGAATTGGCTGATCTTGTTCACGAAAAGTCACTTGGCACAGCCCGTCTCATGAAGAGTATCCGGGCCCGGAACCAACATGGTCTGGTTTTTGTCAAAGCTTTTGTCAAACCTTACGCTTCTTTTGGCCTTCGCAGGTACCTGGACATCATCACTGAAGAACGGGACGCGCTCAGAGACATCTCGAACGCCTTGCCTTACCAGCGGATCCTCGAAACCGTTAACGGAGGCTTTCTTGTACGTCAGTACATTCACAGCTCCGTCTACGATCGAATGAGTACACGACCATTCCTCGAAGATATCGAGAAAAAGTGGATGACCTTTCAGCTGCTCTGCGCCCTCCGTGACTGCCACGCTCGAGATGTTTTTCACGGCGATATTAAAAGCGAAAATCTCCTCGTCACGTCCTGGAACTGGCTCTATCTCACTGACTTCTCCTCGTCCTTCAAACCAACCTATCTACCAGAGGACAACCCGGCTGACTTCTCTTTCTACTTCGACACCTCTGGCCGCCGTACGTGCTATCTGGCCCCTGAACGCTTCATCAGCAAGAGCCAGAGCCAGATGGACGGCGACATCAATTGGGCGATGGACATATTTAGTGCTGGATGTGTAATAGCGGAGCTTTTTCTTGAAGGACCGATCTTTACATTGAGCCAGCTGTTTCGATATCGAAAAGGTAACTTTAGCTTAGAGCACACACATTTGAACAAAATTGAGGATAAAGATGTGCGAGAGCTCATTCTACACATGATTCGACTTGACCCAGAATCAAGGTATGCTGCAGAGGAAATCTTGACGTTCTGGAGGGGAAAGGTCTTTCCTGAGTACTTCTATGGGTTCCTTCACCAGTATATGTCGTCTTTGACGGATTCATCCTCCGGAAGCAAACCGATTTCTCTGGACGTCAATGCTATAGAGCCCGACGAGAGGATCGAGCGGATATACGCTGATTTCGACAAGATCTCTTACTTTCTCGGCTACATCAAACAAAATGAGCGGCAAGATAGCACTCCTCCAAGTGTTTTAGTGGATCGAGGCATGCCTATACATATTGATATAAGCCAGAAGCCTTCTCTGACACCCGAGATGCAAACAGAAACAGACAAAGGCACTCTGATATTCCTTGCGGTTGTTGTCTCTAGCTTACGCAACACCTCGAAGGCCGCAGCTCGAATAAAAGCTTGTGATCTACTTCTCGCATTTGGTCAGAGATTACCGGATGAAGTCAAATTAGACCGGATATTGCCATATATCGTGGTTCTACTGTCAGATAACGCCGACATGGTCAAGATAGCTGCTCTGAAAACCATGACGCAACTGCTTGCTACGGTGCGTGTCGTGTCGCCAGTGAACGCCTACATCTTTCCAGAATACATATTCCCGAAGCTTAAAACCTTCATGCTGAGTGCTTCGCATCAACCGAGCTCTGTGATCAGATCGACTTATGCAGCTTGTTTGGCTTCACTAGCCCAATCTTCAGCGCGGATCCTTGACTTGGTACAAGCTATTAAGGCGGATGGTAATCTTCCCGAGCTGGCTGAGAAGGACTGGGCGTCAGGGGCAACCTTTCACGGCTTGTTTGATGTTGCCCGGATCGACCTTGTGACCCATTTCGAGGAGGCCACAAAAGCTTTGATTACTGATAGTGACCCATTAGTCAGACGAGCATTTCTGGGATCTGTTTCGAGCCTCTGTGTGTTCTTTGGAAGCTCAAAAGCTAGTGATGTGATACTCAGCCACCTGAACACTTATCTGAACGACCAGGACTGGTTATTGAAATGCTCATTCATCGAGGTACTTGTTGGTATTGCCACATTTGTCGGAGTTGTCAACCTTGAGAAGTTTATACTGCCGTTGATGGTTCAATCACTCACTGATCCAGAAAGTTCTGTTATAGAGAGAGTCATGCGATCATTGACAAGCATGGCTGACATCGGAATTCTTCAGAAAGCAACGTTGTGGGACCTGCTGACAATAGTGGTACGCTTTCTTGTACATCCAAGTCTGTGGATCCGTGAAGCTTCGGCCCAGTTTATTGCTGCTTGTGGCAAGCACCTGTCGGCAGCCGATCGATACTGCATCGCATTGCCACTGATGCAACCCTTCTTACGTACGTCAATATTAGAGCTGTCAGAACTTGAAATTCTGGACTCTTTGAAGAAGCCACTTCCAAGGCCGATATTGGAGATGGCTGTGTTGTGGGCTACCAAAGTCGATAGAGGCTTGTTCTGGAGGAATGCGATCCGTGATGCAGTTTTTGTTTCACCAGAAGCAGATTCAGCCACCCGAGTCATTCCTTCTGTACGTCAGTTTCCATCTCGTATATCGTCGTCACAACGAAACGAGGAGGATGAGCAATGGCTGACGAAATTGCGCGGCCTCGGTATGCAGAACGAGGATGAAACAAAGCTTCTTGCTCTCCGGGAATTCATCTGGCGAGTTGCTCACCGAAAGACGAATGCGGTGGACGTCAACTTGCAGAGCACATTGAACAGCGTGGTATCTTTGAACCAGATCAACGTTACACCTCAAAACGTTTTCTTCGACAATAAAGTACCTTTGCGAGAGAAGAGAGATACCGGCCAGCACCGTCTAGATCATGTTGGGGATGGCAGAAGACCACATACCATTGCAGACGCGTTGCTTGATGCTTCCACCACCATATACGAGTCAGCTGGGGGACAGAAATCATATACAGGTAATCCAGCACAGCAGGATGCCTCTGAACAGACGAAGGCGAGGCAGATCCCCAAGCCAAAAATCCTTCCAGGCCCGTCGTCGAGTCCATCTCCTTATTCGTCTTCTCGAACAAACTCTTACAATTCTTCCACACCACAGCCTGAGCACGACAAAAATAAATCATCGAAAACAAGAATTGGCACAGAGGGTGACGAGCAAGGACTAAGTGAACCCGAAACGCATTACCGCTTGTCGGTAGGAAAGAGCTCGGACAACTCCCTGCGTCACAGGTCGAGTGCGATCAACCTTCTCAATCGAAAGGAGACCTCCAAAGCGAATGCAGCGACCTCTACTACATCTGAAAATGCATTCGGCAAACTAGATGGGCCCCTGCAGCCGCGTCGTACCACGGAGCTCTCAGCACTTTCTTTTGCTGCTGCACCGTTGAAATCCCAATCCAACTCCCCTGAGGGTGAAAGTGAAGAACAAAGCTATGAACCCAATCACTCATACAGCGGCAACGATCGGAACATTCTCCGCTTACTCGAACATCACTTCCTTGAGAACTACCCCTTAGACGTACATGACTTAGGCCCAGAGAGACAAGCAATCGACCCAAAATCTCCCATACCACGAGTTTCCGACTCATCTCAGCAGACAAATGGAGCCGGCGTACCGGAAAGCCCCATCACTCATTCAGAGCCCTGGCATCCAAGCGGCCGCTTGTTGACCGTATTCAGCGAGCACACCGCAGCGGTGAACTGCGTCGTGCCCTCACCCGACCACACTTTCTTTGCGACAGCTTCTGACGACGGCACCTGTCGAATCTGGGACACGACTCGCCTCGAGAAGAACGTAAGCCCAAGATCGAGGCAGACTTACAAGCACGCGACTGACGTGAAAGTCAAAGCTCTGTGTTTCGTGGAAAGAACGCATACTTTCATCAGCGGCGCTGATGACGGAAGCATACACGTGGTCAGGGTCGACTATAAGAAAGTGGACGGCGGCGAGAGCACGCGCTATGGGAAGCTAAGACTTATGAGGGAGTACCAGATACCACAGAGTGACAAGCCAGGAGCCGCTGAAGATACAATGGACCGGGCGACAGAGCATGCGGTTCGTGTTCACCATTATCGCACCTCCAATTCACAATCCGTGCTACTGCTTCTGACCAGCAGATCGCGAGTGCTTGCCATTGACCTTAAAACCATGAACCTACTCTATACCTTCAATAATCCTCCTGCTCACGGCTCGGTCACCACCTTCCTCGTCGAGAAAAGACAGACCTGGCTTCTCATAGGAACTTCGCATGGAATCTTCGATCTGTGGGACCTCAGATTCCGGCTGCGTATCCGAAGCTGGGGTCTCAAAAGCGGCCGCCGGATCCAGAGCATCTACATGCATCCATCCAAGGGGAAAGGCAAATGGGTGGTCGTGGCAGCTGGGCCCGAGATCGGCGTCTGGGACATCGAAAAAGCCACCTGCAAAGAAGTGTATCGACCTGAATCGCCGTCTACTAACCCATCGTCATCCGCCACCGAAGCTGTAGCAACCCGCGCCGCCACAATCGCGAGCACGAAACCCTACGAGCCATGGTTCCCCGACGACGAACCCGCAGACAAACTGCTCAGCCGCTTCGCAGACCGTCTCGTGGCCGACGGCGCCCTTGTAGATCCAGCCCAGCTCTCCCCATCCTCTGATACACAAGGCAGACGGGAAGCCAGCAGTAGGACTCCGTCAGAAAACGCCATCACGGCCCTCTGCATCGGCTACGACAACATCCACAACCCGTCTAATCCGCAATATCCCGTCAAAGCCCCCTTCATCATCTCCGGCGGCTCGGACCGCAAACTCCGGTTCTGGGACCTCACACGTCCGGACTACTCATCCACCATATCTGGTATCCGACCATCGCCCGATGACGGCTTCACCATCCCAAAGCTGCGCTACGATATCTCCCATCCCGGCGGGCAGATCACGCTTGTCTCGGAATATTTGCCATCGTCATCGTCATCTACGGGTGCCGCTGGTCACCAAACGACCACGCCTAGGAAAGGAGGTGCGAAGGCGAATACCAGTGGTGGCACTTCTGCGTCGGTGGGTAGTAACAAGCCGCCACGATCGACGATCATCTCGAAACAGCAGCAGATGCTGTTGAAGAATCATCTGGATGGGATCACGGATTGTTGTGTTTTACGGAGGCCGTATGGGGTTGTGGTCAGTGTGGATCGAGGGGGTGGCGTTTATGTGTTTCAATAAGGATGCTATGTCTTATCAACAGACTTGAGCAAATCGGAGATTTGCACGGAGGCCTGAATTCATCAGGTCGATGGAATGAAATTATAAGACGGAAGAAATGTCAAGGTGGTCGCTCGGGTTCGTCGAGCTGAGCACTTCTGCTGCTTTGGAGACGTAGCGACCCATCCGAGGGTACGTAGTGGCGAACTGCAAACCATAGGAGTAGGATGATAGTCATCTAGCAGACCGAGATTAGCTTGAAAGCATGCCCGGTGTGTAAGAAGCAGGAGGCCACTCACAAGCGGAATGGCAGTAATAAAGTAATACTTGACCGAAGGATAATGCTCGAAGACGCCCACGTTCATGCCAAAGAATCCCACCAGGAACGTCAGTGGCAGGAAGATGAAGGTGATCCAGCTGAGTCTCCAGAGACTGGCGTTGAGTTCGAGGGACTGGCGCGAGTCGCGGATGCTGACGGATTTGTACATCTGGTTTGCGGTCAGCCTGGTACGCCGATGTGCAAGTGGGAGAAAAGGATAAAGACGGGAATTGGATCTGTTTCGAGAGAGTTGGTGTCTCGGACTTACTAAATCGATCATGTGCTCTGTCGGTCTGATAAAATCATCCTGGATAGTGACGCTGGCTTGTCTGAAATCTCTTAATATATCATCAAGCCAGTCGTAATCATTGCTTCGCTCGGCAAATTGATTGAAATGCTCCTGCACATCCTCAATCAGGTTGGAGTGCCGATTGACTAGTTTAGCCATGCTCCATAGATATTTGGACATTGCCCATAGTTCTGTAGCGTGACTGTCGTCGGAAGGCTGGCCGTAGACACGATCCTCGAGCTGTGCGTGTTGGATCGAGAGGAGAGCGAGCTGCTTGCGCCAGGCTCGGAGGACTTTGGTGAAGATGTGCAGAAGTATATGCTCCATCGTCCTGACAAGGGCGACATCCGAGTCTTTGTCTGCAGTACTGGCCTTCCAATCCAGGTCCAGCAGACCTTGACCCTGGATGATTTCTTCGCAGTCGTCGTGGGAATTCTCGTAAATTAGAATCGTGTTCTGGTGTGCACACTGCCATTTCTCCCTAGCGCTAGTGTTGAAGACGCCCATTTTTCCAATTTCAGGGAAACCATCAAGCTTACGCTGAATGTAGACGGAAAGTCTTTGCGGGCGCGAGGCGCTCAGGCCCGTGGTAAGAACACGTCGATCAAAATTCTTCTTTCCTGGCAAAGCAATATCAGGAGCTGCCTGTACACCCACTAATCCTGATCCGAGGTCGAGGCCGAAGACTGTACAGGTAATATCTCGCGTGACGTCGTACATGGGTTTCCATGATATGGTCTTATTCAAAGAGTCACGATGACTCTTTTGCTCATGGATCCAGTCCTTAAAGGACCCTTCGAAGTTTTCAAATGAGGCGTGGTCAAGACGAAAAATATTGGTGAGGAAGTCCATGGCCTCTGCATTGTTCTGTATGTATATGACCCTCAACAATGGAGCTGTGAATCTAGAGGTGGACGCCTCCATGAGGTAATGCTGGATGCCAGAGATACTGTTTAAAGTCATGGGAACTCTCTTGGGTTTGAGAGAGTCTCCTACTTCATATTCGGTGATGTAAATATGTTGCCGCTGATTGTGCAGATAGCTCTGGTGGTGCAAGATAGCCTTCGCATGAGCTGTAGCTGCCGTTGACGCTACCTGCAATCCAGTGAATGCGCCAGGTTTTAAGGTGGCTGAACTAGGAAACAGGTTGAGAAGACCCCATAAGAAACCGGACCATAAATGGCTCGATCTAGCTGTAACTATAGATTGGTCATGTTGTGCCTCCACAGCATTCTCATCCAGCGCATGTATAGGAGCAACCTGAGCGGACTCTGGCGCAACAGAAGTCTTCTTCAAATGTGTTGGGCTCGGTATCGGAAAGATGTCTGAGAGCTCCTGATGTCCGTTTGAGCTGTCTGGACCCCAACCACTGTCACCCGGAGGCTCCGCCAAGCGCTTGCCCGGATGGACTTCAGTCGGAGATACATCCGTCGCAGCAGTACCGCTGCGGCCTAGACCTTGAGTTTTGAAGAGTGGAAGCGACGAAAACAGATCATCCCTGAAAACAGGAGACTTGCGTTCTTCGAACAGTATCGACTGTCTCGCCTGCCGATGGAGACGGTCTGAGGGGCTGGAGAACTTTCGCTCTCTAAAGGCCGCTGTTGAAGCTCCACGCAACCTCGGATCCATTGACCCTACTCCAACACCAGTCTTCGTAGCATCATCCTAGGAGTACACAGAGAAGAGGAGAGCTTGACCAAGTAGTATTCTGCTATCATATACTTATGTTCCAACACATGTTGTTTTGAGGCTTGCCGCGAGATCGTACCCAGTTTCGCACAGTTAAGAAAGACGTATTAATAATAGAACAGAAACACCCAACATGCATCCCGAAGCTGACCCACCATCCCAAAAGCCGAAGCTCCATAATCAAGTTTGTGTATCACAGCCGCAGCCACAATATGCATCATCGCCTTGGCTGCAGGAGCCAATAAGATTCTACAAGCAGTCCTCGATCGAATTTGTGGTTGGGGGCTAGAAGGAATTGCGGATAAGAGATCATTTGTCATCTCACAGGTGACAACGCATGTCTCTTCTCTGGTGTAAGTTGTAATTTGAAGGGTCAAGCCTGAGGTGATGGCAAGTCGCCAGGCATAACTCACGTGACACATCATATGCGCTAACTTAGTTAAGTTAGTTCGTGTCGCGCCTTGACGCGTCTTCTGTCTTCATCTAACATCTGACCTGCAACAAATTGAAGCCACAGCCTGTGAGGAGACAATATCCTGCAACCGCAGCACCGACTCGCTCTCGATCTCAGCATCCAATTCCATCTTGCCATTAACCACCAGACCTCTTCAACTCTCGACAAATCCAGCAGAATCCACCTTCCACCTTGCACCTCACTCTCATCCTCCACTACTTTCTCGCCCATCAAGGGCAACCCATGCAGTTCAACTTCCACATAGTTTCCTAGCATGCACCTTACCTCCGGGTCCTCCTTTGGTCGTCTTGCATCACCGCTCGAGCCTCATAGCATGGTCTCATCGCAGCAACAGACATGACATCAACCGAAGAAGGAGGGTACATAGCTGGAACTTAACCCTAAGCTATCTGTCGGTTCTAGTTTCGCGGTCCAGTTGTCGGCTCCCGAATACACTCTCTCGCGTTCCCTCTTCGGCTCTCGGCTTCACGGCTGAGAAATGGGGAGAAGGATTGGGAGGGCGAAAAGGAGATTTTGACGTCCAGAGTCTCCCTTTGAGGAAACAGTGAAAGACGATATTGCCATGCGTCAGATCGGATAAATGCCCAAAGGGGATGCGCGTCGGTATATCTAAGCTGGACAGTATACGTGATCATGATGGGATGTTTCTGCTGGTGCGCGGCGTGGGAGATGGTTTTGGGAGAGAGGAGATCAGGACTTTGACTAGTCATTCACAAGGATGATTATCGAGTGCTATGTCGATCCAGGAGAAGCTTAGAGTGCAACATGGAACAGCCTACAAGCGGTGCTCGGAATGGTACTGTCGAGTGCTGATCGGCGTCGAGCTCAATGTTGCTCGTAGCCAGGCTTCAGCTTGCAAGACCTACCATTCAATTGGCATCATCACCCGGCTTGTTGTCTGCTCCGGCCAGTTTACTCCTTGACATTGTTGTCTTGCTCACTGTCTGACTTCAGACTTTCTTGTCTGCCTCTCCTCTCCAACCCAAACTCTCAACCACCCCATCATTAGATGGCAGCTCACCCACAGAACGCACACCGCGGCACCAGCCACCAGGAGTGTACTTCCTCTGCGAAGATCCCGATCAGCCGCGTCAATCACCACCCTTGTGTCCAGCATAGGGGGCGGAGTGAACGCCGACTCAGTGGATGCTTGATCACTTGTGGTCTCTGTGTCCATGTTGACCCTCTTTTCGGAGAGAAGGAAGCGATTTTTGAGGATGTTCTTTGTGCGCTTCGCCTGAAATATGGTAAATCTGCCCTTCGGTCTGCCACCGGCTCCGGCTGGCCAGGCTGGGGAGGAAATCAAAAACTAGTCTCTGAGGTTACTGCATTACGAACGAGAAAGGCCTTTCCTCCCACTTGTGGGATCTGGAAGTCGAGAGTCAGGGCAAAGTCTGCTGGTGGAGTAAGGAGAAGAAGAGGCTGTTGGGAGGTATTGATGAAGTATCTGAGAGAGGAAGGACTGAGATTGGTTTGGTGTCATGATCGTATTCACCACAAGCATACGTGCACGAAAGAGGCTCATCCAACCGACCGCTGACAAAATACTCACCAGACCAGCGCGATGCCGGTCCTTACTTCTCCCTCCTTGTCCGCGCTCCAGGGTCATCAGTTGTCACTATCAGCAGGGACATGCTAGCCACAACCAGATCAGCATCTTCCATATGCACAAGACCAGACAGAAAGCAAAACCAACCACGCTCTCATCTTGTTCCAGCTCACTGGACCAGATCCCTACCAAAGCCGCTCGGAGGGAGCCATCGAGTACTCGAGACAGGACCTCTCTAGAGTGAGGATCAAAGCTTTGTGCTTGTCTGTTCTCAGTGCTCGCCTTCTGCTCGCCTTCTGCAACGCTGCGGTGGCCGACTCAGGTCAGCTGATTCTGGACTTGATGCTCGAGATTGTGTTAGCCTGTGTCCATGCTGGAAGCATCGCACTGGTTGTGATAATGATGGATGTTTCTTCACACGCTGTACAGTGACGGAGCGGTCTGGCTGGGGAGACGAGGAGTGTTGGGATCTGCTTGCTGACTGCCGGAACGGTGTTGTCTTGGCCGCGGCTAATCGAAGAACTGGGCCGACAACCCTTTCCCTTGGGCTTTCATGCCTGAAGGGAGAGGGCTGTGCATTTTTTATAAGTCTTCCCAAATACCACTATCTCGGCTTCATGGTCGGCTAACTATTGCAGCAGATCAGATCAACTGGGTACCTTTCTTGTCGTGGGAAAGCCGGAATCAAGGACCTTGGAGAATGATTCCAAGGATGTCCTATGATAGCGAAATCGAAAAAGCGAACCTGGTTCAAACTCCAGTATCAAGAGGACCTTGTGCACTGTGTACCTTTGCCTTTCTTTTTCGGGTGGGTCCTCCTGTTATAAGACACAATTATGGGAACAAAGCCCTCTGAGACCACACTTCCCAGGTCCTCCTTGTCCTCGAACCAGTATCGACGTTGTGTATATATACATATATACCACAAAGGATGGCACCATGTCATTCTTCTCGCTTCAACAACCTCTTCATTTCCCAACTTCATTCCATCCCGATCCAATCCAATACTGATCAATCAAACCCCTCCTCACCCACCCAATACTTCTTCTATTCCCCATTCTATAAACCTTTATCCAACCTCTCTCACACAAAATCACCTTCCCCTCAACATGAAAACCAACCGCACTCCTGCACCCGCCAACCTCCCCAGCAGCCCATCAACCTCAACCCCTCGCGTACCCGCCCTCCCCACACCACCAAGCACCCCACAAACCAAGAAACCCAGCCAGAGGAGTAAATCCTACGACCAAGATGAGATGGTCAGGAGGGAGCTCGCTTCCCTACCGGGGAAGAGGATCCCCAAACGGAGACGGCTGTTCGGAGAGAAGGGAGACGCTGCCGCACCGCCATTGAAACGATCAAAAACGCAAGAATACGGGAAGGAGGAAAGGAAAAAGAACAAGAGCATTGCTAGATCAAGCAATACTGTACCAGCACAACGAAGCCCACCCGCCAAGAGGAAGCGCAACGATAATGCCACAGAACAGACTGGTAAGAGCGTTGTGGAGAGTCGACAGCCTCGCAAACGGGCTAAGGGTGCCAGCGGTCTCCAGGGCCTTCAGGAGGCGCTGGAGAAGGCGGGGCTGGACGATCGAGCGATAGCCGAAAGGACCGAGCAGGGGTCGGAGGTGGAGTATGATCGCACTTTGATATCGGAGCTGATGGAGCAGAGGGGGCAACTCATCGCCAGATGGCGCGGAAGCCGATTCGCTGCTGGAGGTGATGGAGCGGAGCATGCAGGAGCCGCCGTGCGCGTTCCGGAGCTTGATTGCCTTCGAGCTCCTCCTTTTCTCGCTGACGCAAGTCACCACCTCGGTCGTTGCGCAGTCTCACCTTATAGAGGGAGTCCGGAGACTCGTTGAGAGTTACTCACACCTTAGGTTGCGTGTAGACGTGGCGAGCACCTAGGCTTGCGCAGATTGGAAGCCTGGAGTCTTCAAGTAAAAATAAAAAAAAGATGCAAAAGACCTTGACTGTTCTTGATTTATACATGTTCTCACCTACCGCACGATCAGCACGTCCACACGCCCACCACTCCATCTTTCCTCCCCTCAACCATATACCCATCCTTTATCCGGACCTGTTCGACGATAGCAGGTGTCGAGCCGTCTTCCTCTGCTGTCACACCGGCACCACAGTCCCAATGGCGACCGTCGGTCTTGTCGTAGATTTTGGCATTGTTTTCGCTGGCGGCAGCGACAATGCGTCGCGAATCAAACATCATGCTGGTCACGGGATGGTCATAGGCATATGCGTCGAACAGGCTTCCTGTTCGGAGGTCCCAGATCTGGTTGAGAGTTAGCGGAAAATTTTGACGTCAGCTTCGCGAGCAAACCCACTCTGATGCTTCGATCTGCACTGCCGGTGACAAGATGTGTGTCGTCAAATTGTAGAGACGTCACTGGGCCGGTGTGTCCGACTAGGCTTCTGTGGACTTGTCCGCTCCTCAGATCCCATAGCCTCACCATCCCATCCGCCGTGCCGCATGCCAAAGCAGCATCAAAGCATTGCAACGCACCAACAAAATCAGCATTCGCGTCGTGAGTCCGACCCGTCGGCTTCCATGAGGCATCGACTGGGTTCAAGGTGGCAGACGCTTGTGCTGCCGCCCACAACACGTCCAGGGTCTGTACGCAGCGGCCTTTAACAAGATCCCATTGACGCAGCGTTTTGTCCGCAGAGCCTGAGACAAGCGTTTCGCCTTTCAGATGTAGGGCTGTGACTTCATCAACATGAGCTTCGAGGACGAAAAGAGGACATTCTTCCATCGAACTAGCTGGAGGTGGAGGTGGCGCATCCTCGTCTGCATTTCCAAATCCGAGACCATCGTCGTCATCCTCTCCATTTTCTCCCACGCGGTTCTCGTAAGGTTCATACTTGGCCCTCGAAAGATCCCACAGGCGAATCGAGGCGTCCATACTTCCTGTGGCAACGATGTTATCCTCCACTTGAAGACACCGTACCGATGCAGTATGGCCTTCAAGGAGACCCATGCATCGTCCCAGGTTAAGATCCCATACTCTTACTGTGTCGTCTAGCGCCGCTGTTACCATGGTGCCAAATGGCATGTCGAAGTCTAGTGATGTGATGCAATCGTTGTGTGCAGGGAGTGTTCTGATATTTGACCCCGGTTCCAAGTGCTCATGTAGCACAGGCATTGATTTCCTTCTGCTGGGTTTCGGTCGTCTCCTTTTCGGTGATGTGGGTGGTAGTTTTTCATAGATCGACTCTGACATGAAGGATGCATCCATAGCCTGGTGCTCGGGCGTATCGTCGTTGCTCGGAGGTAGTGTAGCATTGGCTGACTGATGAAGTGCTTGCGCATCTTCGAGCTCTTCTTGGATGATCTCAATCTTGTTGTCCAGCTCCAACACTATGATAAAATAAGCACCATTCTCAATGCTCTTCTGAAGTAAGGGGACCCACACTCATGCTCAAGCTGAGCCTCATCATTCTCCAAATCTGCTAGCCTATCCAGGACTATCTTCCTCATAGAATTCAGGTTCGAGATCTTCTTATCTATCTCGTGTATCTCGCTACTACACAGATTTTTTCTAACACCCATCATTTCTAGTCTGTGGTTCATTGTATTTCGGTCCTTCTTCAGGTTCTCTAACGAGGGTGGACCATCTGGATCAGAGGTTGCTTCTCCCAGCAACTTCTGCGATTTAGAGGTACGCCTTCTATGTGACTTGCGATGTTCGCTCTCGCCCTCAGGTAGCGTCGCTTGGAACCCTTGGAACAAAGAATAGGTATTTGCGTCCTCGGGGATATTTTCGAGGAGGTCGTCCGAGAGGTAGGTTATGGCTCGATGCGAGATCTCGGATGTAGATAGTCTTGAGCGGACAAGGTCTCTAGGAGAAGTCTGTGCGAGGGAGAAGACACCACGCTGGATACCGGGTCTTCGTATCTGCCTCGAGAGGCTGCCCATGGCATTCGGATAGTGGGCGTTAGACGTGGTATCCCCCATGAGATGGCTTGCCGTAGCTGTGACTTTCCTCCCAAACGCTTCTATCTGCCGGGTCTGCAGCTTTCATCAATACAAAAAGAAAGAGCAGGGCATGCACCTACCGTCAGAGCAGTTCCCAAAACACCCTCATCGCCGTCGCTCCCCATCAATGATCTTCTTGACTCTGAGGCATTGCGACTGTGGGAACCAGCCATGCGGTCCCAAAACCGCGCGACGAGTCACAGTGATGATTGTCCAGAAGGACTTAGGCGAGAAGTGAATGTGTATTATGAGTACAATTGAAGTGGGCGCTTTGGGCTTTGAACGCAGCAAGAAGTTAATCGTGTGATGCTTTCTTCCAGGAAACAAAGCACGAGAACTCATCCCTGCCGTCGATCGTTCTACCGACCCCAACTCGTGATCCACCAAAGCATTCAACTTGTATGTTTGTCTTAGTGTAGCTATATCCCTTGCAGCGTAAATAACTTTTACCAGCTCTACCTCACGACCAATCACTTTCCTTTACATACGACGTTGACAGGATAGCCCAAGTTGGTTCATGTCAATCTCACGTTTACGATGGACACGGCAATAGATCTATCAGACCCGTCGAAAGCTCTAGATCTCGCAAACATAAGGTTTCAGCTCATGTTAGTTAGTTGTCATTTGGTAGAGCCAACCTCAATCCATTGACGTCTAACTCTTTGCGTCAGCCGTCTTGAAGACACCATCATCTTCCACATAATCGAAAGGGTCCAGTTTCCACTCAATCCTACCATATACGTACCTGGAGGAGTGGAGATTCCCGGCAGCGATTTGAGTTTGGCTGATTGGCTCCTTGCGGAGCAGGAACGTCTACAATCCCGTGTTCGACGCTATGAGGCACCAGACGAGTATCCGTTCTTCCCTCGAGTTCTTGAGAAACCTATTCTCCAGCCATTGTCATATCCCAGAATTCTTCACCCAAACGATGTCAACGTAAACGCAACCATCAGGCAGAAATATCTTCAAGAGGTCCTACCAGAGGCCTGTCGGAAGTTTGATAGAGAGGACCGAGGCGAGACAAAGGAGAACTATGGCTCTACTGCAACATGTGACGTGATGTGCCTTCAAGCCCTATCCCGACGAATCCACTTTGGGAAGTTTGTGGCGGAGGCTAAATTCCAGAAGGAGACCAAAAGATTTGTAGACCTGATCAAGAAAGAAGACCGAAAAGGGATCGATGCTGCCATTACTAACTCGGAAGTTGAGAAGCAGGTCTTGGAACGGCTCAGACTAAAGGCAAAGGCTTATGGCTCTGACCCCTCGGTTGGTGAAGGAGGGAATGAGAAGATAAACACCGAAGCGGTTGTGGCTATGTATTCTCAGGTTGTGATACCACTGACCAAGTTGGTGGAGGTGGAATATCTCATGCAGAGGTTGACAGCCACTGAGTGGGAGTAATGCTATATCGTGAGCCCATCACTTCCTGATGCTGACTGCGGCCCCTGGCTTGATGACCCGAGAGCAAAATTCGTTCTGCACACTCAACCTTGCGATTTTAGGTATTCTGCGATATCCTTCACCGCCTCCTCCAACTTTTCGGCTTCAACTAGAATCATATGCCCCAGCGGTTTGATCCCCATTTCTTGAAATGCCCTTTTCGAATCCGAATGCCCTTCATCTTGCTTCGTGCTATAATTGTAGGGGCCGTGACAGATAGCATGTCTTTCGAACACTTCGTCCTCGGGGTGAAAATACAGAACTGTAGGTGAACTTCCTCCACTTTTCTTCTTCTTCTTTGGTCGGTCATCCTCTTCGTCCAGTTTTGATACAACCTCGGTGTATGTCTTGGAAAGGATCAAGTAGTGGGAAAAGTGGTAAGGTTCTTTCTCCTCAAGTGCCCACTGGATCTCTTCTAACAGCATCGAGTACATTGGCGGTGTAACCTCTGAAGGAACGTTGATCAGTCTCTCTGTCAATACGAGAGCAATTGGTGGTGTATCTGGGCCGGAGAGAAGTTCTGCGATTGGCGAATGGACCGAGCTTGAAGCAGCTTTCTGTCGCAAATAATCAATTATCTTCGAGACAAATGATTTGTCTTTGTGCTCCTGTAGATTGATAAGGGAGAGAAATGCATAGGCATCAGTCTCGTTGCCGTCGACTTTGACGGTCGAGCCGAGCAGTGGTTGGGCGAGAATAAGGTCTGTCAGAGCAGAGAGATCGAAGAGTTGTGCGTCCACATCGAACAGTTGTTGTAGGAGGGTCTTGATTCCATGAAAGTCGTATGCAGGCTGAGGGTCGAACCATTCAAACTCGACATCTAGCATATCGAAGTCCTGCTCCAGTCAACCTTCGCTCACATCTGGGCTAGTTGCTGGGATCGTCGCTCACTTCATCGCTCCCACTTTCACCTGACTGGCTAGTCTCAGCTTTCGCACCATTCAAGGACTTCCGCTTTCCCATTCTTATGCACAACGGCTCTGAGGGACCTCTTGCTGTAATCACGCGGGAAGTTCATACAGGTGACCATACGTGGGCCCACGGTAGCGAGCAGTCAAAGCATCTCTTCACCTCCCAATGGAGACCAAAATATCTTCTGAGCTCCCCGCATTCTGTCCGCAACAACCCCGCGACACTTTCTGGGATAATTTTTGAACAACCACCAATTATTTGTTCCAATTGAAGACCCTCGAAGTCGAGTAAGCATGGCAACAAATGGCGATGTAGTCAATGAGCCTCGTCAGAGCTTTGATACAATTCTTGTCCTTGACTTTGGGTGAGTGATCATCTCTCCCCTCAGTCACAGACTACTCATTGGAATCAAGCTCCCAATATTCACACCTAATTACTCGCCGACTACGAGAACTCAATGTATACTCTGAGATGTTACCATGTACCCAAAAGATCGCCGAACTGCCTTTCAAACCCAAAGGTGTAATCCTCTCGGGCGGGCCTTATTCGGTTTACGAAGCCAATGCGCCTCACGTTGACCCAGCTCTCTTTGAGCTTGGTGTACCGATACTGGGCATATGTTATGGTCTGCAAGAGCTGGCATGGCACCATGGAAAGAATGTGCTGGCTGGCGAGAAACACGAATATGGTCACGCATATCTCACAATTGAGAGACATTCTGAATCAGAAGAGCACATTGACCGACTGTTCAAGGGAATGGAAAAGGAGATGGAGGTGTGGATGTCTCATGGTGACAAGCTGTCGAAACTGCCAGACAACTTTCATCCTATCGCTTCAACTTCGAACGCCCCATTCGCCGGTATTGCAAGCACATCCAAGCCTTATTTTGGCATTCAATTCCACCCAGAAGTCACTCATACACCTAAAGGCAAACAGGTAATCTCCAATTTTGCTATCGAGATCTGCAAGGCTCGTCCAGATTGGACAATGGAGAAGTTTGTTGACAAGGAAATCGAGCGTATTCGGGTGATGGTTGGCAAGAAGGGCCAGGTAATTGGCGCTGTGAGCGGCGGCGTCGATTCTACTGTTGCCGCGAAATTGATGCAAGAAGCTATTGGCGATCGTTTCCATGCTGTCCTCGTTGACAATGGCGTCATGCGTCTAGATGAAGCCAGAACCGTCAAAGAAACCCTGACACAGCATCTTGGTATCAACTTGACAGTAATTGATGCCAGCGATCTGTTCCTGGGAAGGCTAAAGGGGATTTCAGACCCGGAGAAGAAGCGCAAAATCATTGGCAATACCTTCATTGAGGTCTTTCAGAATCAAGCAAAGGAGATCGCCAAGGCGGCAGCCAATACACCTCAAGCAGGAGATATAGAATGGTTACTACAAGGCACCCTTTATCCAGATGTGATCGAAAGTGTATCCTTCAAAGGTCCAAGTGCCACTATCAAGACACATCACAACGTCGGTGGTCTGCTTGAGGGGATGCATCTGAAACTCATCGAACCATTACGAGAGTTATTCAAAGACGAAGTTCGTGCTCTAGGTACCAATCTGGGCATACCTGAAGATCTGGTGTGGCGTCATCCATTTCCTGGCCCTGGAATCGCAATCCGCATCCTCGGTGAAGTTACTCCTGAACAGGTCCGTATTGCACGTGAAGCGGACAAGATATTCATCGACGAGATTCAAGCTGCGGGCTTGTATCGGAAGATCAGCCAAGCATTCGCAGCATTGTTGCCTGTCAAAGCGGTTGGAGTAATGGGTGACAAGCGAGTACATGATCAAGTCATTGCTCTGCGGGCTGTTGAAACTATTGATTTCATGACGGCGGATTGGTATCCATTCGATGGTCAATTTCTAAAGAGAGTGAGCAGGAGGATCGTCAACGAGGTAAATGGTGTGGTGCGGGTCCTTTACGACGTGACCAGCAAACCTCCAGGGACCATAGAAATGGAGTGAGATATTCAGATTGGGCTCATTATTGATACTAGCGTGGAGTTTAGGTGTACCCGGGAACAGTATCTTAAACATAGAAGTAGTCAGCAATGACAAGTGATGTCACCTGTTCTTCTGTAAGAGGTCGCTGGCACCTTGAAGGAGAAGGATGCCGTAAGTCGAGATCGTCAAGGGGTAAAGTGATGCCAAGAGAGCAAGCTGCCAAGCATTTGTTCCTGAAGAATTGACGTCATCGTCTAAAGTCGTTAAGTACTGCGGGATATTTCTGTGATTTACTCCTAGACATTCCTTGCTCCGTTGCAATCCTCCCAAAACTTCATCATAATTTACAATCATTCATACATCACATCTTCAACATGTCGGGCACGTCCAACGTCGGCAATCGAGGTGTGTATGAAGACGGGGACCAACGTAACCCTCCTGATTCTGAGGAACAAAAGCGAGATCGATATCATGAGGGAAAGCCGCACAGCCACAACCCCAACGATTCAAGTACGCGATTCAAGTCCTTCTTGGTGAATCTCATTTATACTGAAATATGATTCTGTCAGAGGATGAACGAAGTATAGCGAACAGACTCGCTCGCGAAGAGAAAAGAGAGCATGAGGAAGAAGAGAAAGACCTTCAGAAGAAGCAGGTTGAAAAGGACCCTACTTTACCTGTGCGTATCTTCATTGAGTGCTGCCGATAACATTTCCTCCCTTGTTCTCTCGTTTGCCCAACACTGACTCGGGGCTTCGTTCTAGGCCAAGTCTCATGGCAATGAGCCGAGCAAGGGTGCCAAGATAGATGCAGAGATTCAGCAAGAGGAGGAGGAGATGCTGAAGAAGAAAGACGCAAAGAAGTCATCCTCGTAAAACATGTGGGTCGACAGCCGCTGTCAATTGTTTTGAGGGCAACCCAGATTATTTTGGAACCTGCGTCTGCATCCACGGTGGCTGTTATGACGAATTCGTTACTCTGACTGCCCATATCAAACCAAACCGGTGCACTGAATGATCTTCGCGCAACGCCTGCTAGGTTCACTGGCTGTTAGATGCCAGTCAATCACAGCTGTGAAAAAGCCATAGCTAGATATGATCAACGCTCTAAGTCCCATGGCCCATAATTGTCTCTCCAAAAGCTCCTGATGTATTGCTGCTAATTTTTTTCCCTGCCTTGGATTCGCATCTCTTCTGTGCCAAGTTCTGTCAGAGCTGCCGCAATTCAGGCTCGTCCTCTGCTAATTACTAGGATCAGCAAATAAGAGTCAAGCTGCAAAAGCTGCGACAATTCCAAGGCAATCTTGAAGATTAATCGTTGACTAAATGATGAGATTACTGCAGACGGGTGACTGTCTAAAGTATCCTACTAAGTAGTAGTCGTTCTGACGCCGAGAATATATCCAGGCGGCCAAGGAAATCTGTCATAGGGCCCTTCGGCCCTGGGCTGCGGGCCCATCGGGCCGAAGCACTCAGGTTGCAAGGGCAATAACAAGGCAGTCCCAGAGCTCAACTTTACCCAAAGTGTGGAACGATGAGCTAAGCCCCTTGCTTCAAGCCACAATTAACCAATCCGTCATGACAAAGTACTAGTACATACAGAGAGCGAGTGGCTTCAACCAAGCCTCACATTGAGAAAGCAAGGCCGCATTGCACCTCCCGTCTCGCAGCGCCAGTTTCTGCCAAACCAGATGCCCCCCCTCCTTCTCTCTATTTTCTTCTGCTGTTACTCACGCCACTTTCGATAGTTATGCCAGGCAGGCCCCCCTCCAGGGTCCTTAATGCTGGGATACAGACGGGTGATAATTTCGCATAGCTCCGTCAATCATCCTTTACCCTCTTCTAGTGGGTAGGCTGCGCGGACACGAGCTTGCTAGAGTAGTGATGGCTTCCGGATTCTGCCTTGTCGTCACACTAGGCAAGATTGGTGAACATATGCTCGCATCGGTGATCCTGGCGTGCTTTTATACACAGGAAAATCTCTGTCATCCAGGCTGTGTCTTCAGCAACTGTTTTACTGCTTTTCATGAAGAGTGTCTGCAGTGATAAAGATGTGGCTCCATTCATTACCTCTCATGTCTTGACACGCCAGAACATGTCTCAATAGTCAACCAATGCCGGTTTGCATGCCTGCTTGCAACTCAGCGCTACCACCAGCAACGCTAGCTATGGCATAGGCGCTGTATGGCACCAAGTCCCTATGCACCCGAACACCCTACTCCCGGGAGCTTCAATAGAAGACATATCCATGGTGGATCACAACTCAGGTCACGCTCTTGAGGTTTTGCAAGATTCACAAAACCCTAAGCCCACAAATGCTACAGTAAACTCTCCAGAAACTACAGAGCAATCAGGAAAATGCGAGGAACGGTTTTTGTATCAGTCGTATCGCGCTTTCCTCGACACCAATGTCAAAACCTGGCCGGAGCTCCGATGGATGCAAGTTTTCCTCGAACATCAGGGCAGCAACCCTAGCGACACCCAGGTGGATGTCATTGATTCCAAAGATGGCTGTCTGCATTCGAGCCAGGTTCCCTATACTGGGGCTCAAAACCTTTTGAAGGCTCTTGGACAACGTTCACCTGATGTCAACACGAGGATAATCATTGTCAGCTACAGGGAAAGCCTTTCCATCGACCGTGGCGTAGTGGAAGTGTTAGGAAGACTGCTTAGCATTGATCCGCTCGCTTTCCTGCAACATTTCCACCATGAGAGTCTACAGCAAGAGGACAGCTATAATGATAAGTACAAATCGCGACTGGCTTACGAACCTCATGCGTTCTTACCATCAGAGCAACCGACCCAAGGACGCTGCCTTCATTTTGGTCTCGAAAGTCGGAAGTATGCCTCTGCGATGTTCTTTGGAGATGGGTTTGGTTACAATAATATTTCACAAGCTACAGGTGAGGTGGTGTGGTTCTTCGCAGTCCAGGTCTCTGATCCGTGAAACAGTGGTCATCTGGATTCGGTCGCCCAGGCGATATTATGCTACATCTTTCGGGATGCATCCTTCGTTCTCAGAACCTCCTAGACAGCGGATAGTGAAGGCTCACTATATCACTGGGACATATATCGATTGCCTGCTTGCCTTGGATCCAGGGGTCGTGAGAATGGCAGACAGGGATCTTCGGCAATATATCGCACCTCTGATACGAGTCTTTTTAAAGGAACACTATGTCGAATTTCGGAAGGAGATTGATCCCTTCTCGTTGTTTCGTCCTACTTTCATACACAATACTCCCGAGGACTTACTTCCTCGAATCCGCCATCGTCTTCGATTTCTGGATAACATGCGTCTCACAATCAGGAATGTGCTTAAGGAGGGGGAGGACAGAGAAGTCCGACCAGCTGAAGCTCCGATCCACAAAACTATCGGAGACCTATATGTGCTCATAGATGAGCTGAAAGAGGCAGAGGGTTTTTACGAACGACTTCAAAGAGAGCAGCTGCTGAACGCACAGCTGCAGGAGGCACGGAAGTCAACCGAAACAGCCGTAAGCGTGGCAAGACTAACCAAGCTGGCTTTCATCTTCATCCCTCTTAGCTTTGTAACGTCTTTTTTCGGTATGAACGTGAAGCAATTCGGCAACGGCAATATCAACATATGGATATTTTTTGCAACGGCTGCGGCCATGATTTGCTTGACGCTTCCCGCCTTCATGATAACGACGGAATCCGGAGAGATCGCTGTGTGCACTGTCAAGCTCTTGATGAAATCTCCATACGTTGGATTCTGGTTCCTCGCGTTTACGCTGTTCAACACCCACAAGGTCAACATGATGCTCTGCGAGCGGGGCGTCCTTCACTATTTCAGTAAAGGGGAGCAAGGGTGCCGCGAATATGCCCTATCGGGCGCTCGCGGCTGGAGATACACATTTGGATGGAGGGAAGAGAGCCTGTACAGACAGTTCTGGAGCTGGAGAGCACAGTACATAATGGCTATCTTCTACAAGTGGCTGGATTCTCCAGATTGGAAGAAACTGGACTGGACTGACAGGCTTTTGTGGCAGTTTGAGTGGTGGCGATTGGATTATGAGCGACAGGGATGGACCAACATCGATTGAACGCTGGCTAGTGGATTCTGTGGTATTACAGAATTTCAAAAATCTGAGCTGTCAAAGGAAAAGGCGAATTGGAAGGAAAATTATGATGGAGATATATATGTATATATACATAGCGAATCTACTGTTCCCTTCGGATTTCGAGAAAGCGACTAAGAAATCCAGCATGGAAAAGTTGTGGATCAAACCGTCTTCTCCAAAGCCATAGTACAACACATCTAGTCCGCTTCAGTGCCTGACTCACAGTACACGACTACTCCAATCCGTGCCCAAGCTGCGGCCCTTTTCTGTGCGAGTGAAACACCCACCCTCTGACCTACAAGGAGATCCTGACGCCACTTACCAAGGAACCCACAAACCACTCATCAGCTGGATCTATGTCTACAGCCCTCACACTTCTTCTTCTTCGACGAATACCGGACATGTGGATAGTCCGCAACAGCAAGCTGCAATCCAAGACTCGCTCTATTCCTGGTTTATGAGGGCTTTGTTCGGCGATATTCTGCTACAGCGGAATATTGCCAAATTAGGCTTCAGCTGACGTTCTCTACAGCACCATCGTAGCCATCGCGCGGATAACAAGAAGCCATTATGTGCGTGATAGTGAGATCGCGCGATCGTCTGGTCAGGATTCTGAAGGAGGACGTCGTAGAGACGGTTGGCCTGCTGGCCTGGGCCAGATTAGAGTTGTGCTGTTTCGAAGATGGGATCACGGACCCGGACGACGTTGAACTGTGGGGTACGTAGCAACAATGGTCATCCGGTCCGAAGCGTTGGGATGCTTTGCGTCTGAGAACATACGTTCGAGGCTTGAGTTAATTTTGGGCTCCGGGGGCTGGCCATCCGGTCTTCGTTCCCCACCAATCCAAACAGATAGACTGTCGGAGAACTAGCTCAAGATGATTTTAAAGGGGGAGCGTTATGCGTGATTTCAACCATAATTTGATACTGATATGCTTCCATGGGTTGAGCTGGACAGCCAATGAACGTGTACCGGGAACATGTTCCGCTTAGAGTAAGTGATTAGCTAGCATACGGGAGCGGTTTCGGTGATTGCCTCCCCGCAAAGCGTTACAAACGGTTGCGCCTGTCAGAAAAGTTGGAGAGTTGCGGGGGCCCCTCTATCTCTGTCGCGTCAGCGGTTTTGTAGTGAGAATGGTGAGGTTTGACACTTCTGCTCCACTGTTTGAGGTCAGTAAAGTCAGTAAGGTTGCAGTCTTCCTCTTGCGGCAATCCTGAGACGCGCCGTGATAGCAGTTCGGATCAGTTTCAAATGTCAATTACTTGCATGGAGATCCGAAGGTATGAAGAAGTAGGAAGGTATATTGGATATCTGGGATCTCTCCCTTGCCCGTTTGATTTTGCTTCGAATAAACTCTCTTGCTACCATCACCCCCACAAACTTGGCCTTCCTGAACTAGAAATCCATTCAAACCATGAATACGCATGTGGACCTAAACGGGGACTTTTCGGAATATATAATACCTGGTAGGTCCATCCATGTCGCTAGGATCAGATACTATGTTTGACACACAGAGCCAGGCCACTATGGGTACTACTCAGTGCAACGTATCCCTGCCGACAAATATGAAACTCCGCTTAGAATAGCCACAAACATAGCCTCAGACCATGACCTGAAGTTATTTGAGCATGGCCTCAGGTACGATAAGGATTTCCGAGCGTTCGTCGAGGAGCAACGAAAACAATGGGAAAGGTTAGGTGTTGAAACGCTAAAAGAAGAAATGCGGTTGAAAACCGCTTGGAGCCGCGTTCTCGAAGGACAAGGGGCCTGCCTACCACCCAAGGGACCTCTGTTGCTAGAAACAGATAAACCTCCACACCAGGCAGTTGTGCCTTACGATCCGGAGGGTGTGCAGATTGAAGAGGTTCGGCTCAGGAGAAGTGAAGCGCATAGACAGGAATGTTATTATCGTAAACGTTTTCCGCGGGGACCATGGCACCATTCCAGTTCCCCAAAGGATGATGCAGCTGAGAATGCTGCTCATTGGCGAATGGGAGTTCTCATAAGCGCTGCAAGCCCTGGACAGCCCGCTCCTGGACAGCCCGGTCGTGGACAGCCCGCTCCTGGACAGCCCGGTCGTGGACAGCCAGTTCCTGGACAGCCAGCTCGTGGACAGTCAGCTCGTGGACAGCTAGGCCGTAGACATTCAGGCCGTAGAGGCGCCACACGTGTTGCATAAATGTCCAATTCAAGGTTAGATCTCTGCTTATTGGCTGGAACAAAAGACTGTATCAGTGGCGATTTGCCAACCCCAGGCTTTTAGGACGAGCTTGAAGGCCACTTCTTAAACATTGAAAGCTAGTTTCTAGGTTGGCTATCAGGCTCCGATCCGACAAAACACTTCTGTACTTCTGAGCGCGGTGCAGGCAAGAATGATGTTGTGTAGGTTTAATATCAGCCTGGCCTATGCGTACAGAAATGGGGGTTGCCCTCCGAATTTGCGCTGCACGGGGTAGTGTCTGTCTCTTCTTGGTAAGAACGAGAAAGAAAGGAGAAAGCAGGCGATTAACATGACGGTAGGGAAGCTTGAGAGCTCACGATATGGAGGACCTTAAGAGGGAAGAAGAATAGAAGGAGAAGAAAAAGGGGAGAAGGATAGGGAGGGCAAAGGTCGAGATCCTGTTGCGTCACTCTCGATTGCAGGGTCAGCAAACCTTCGACTGGAATTTATCTTCGATTGATCTGATGAGCCTGTCTGTTCTTCGGGCACCGTTGCACACTAACACTCACCCTTGCGCTGCCACAGGAGAATGAGAAGAAAGTGTGAAGAGCGAGTAGTAAAAGCAAGTTTGTGCACGTTAAGACTGACACCTAAATAATACGCCACAACTCTGGATTCGGTGACATTGAATGCTCTTTCCGGCGGCCGTTGCCGCTGCTTTTGACACCCATTGCACTTTTAACCATTTGGTTTTTAGCTGCCATTTTTATCGCCCGGCCTGAATGGGTGCGTGAACTTAAAGGCCGCAAGAGATTTAATGTGGCCCCTACGGCGGACTGTCACGCTCAAGAGCTCAAATTGAATTTTGACCTCATATATAGAATTCTTAGTGACAAGGAAGTGATTGTGATGAGTTCTGAATTCTGAATTTCTGTGCGGAGCTTTTCAAAATATGATTTAAGCTCTTGAGCGTAACGGTCCGCCGTAAGTTATAGCCAAACAGACGGACGTGCTGTATATCAATGGGGGAGGAAGAGGGTTTTTTGGAAAGTTCTTTTTCAAAATATATACTACGGTACCTGGCATAAGTATTCGTAGCACGGCGCTAGTATATTTGCACTAAAACAGACTCCAAACGAGACAGCTAAGCTTCGAACGGTTAAGCAGTATTACTGTAGCCAATTGATACCAATAATTGTCTAACAAGCTTCTAGACACTGAGGTGGCGCTGTATCCGAACTAGCTGCTACTAGCGCCGTGCTACGATCAATTATGCCTCCTACCGTAGTAGGCAAAGCGCTTATTATTATCAAACCACAATCTCTAAATCGAGTTCTAATGTCAGGCCTGCTATAGGACTGAGGAGGATTAAGGACGCAATGCCTAGCAACTGATCGTATTGGTCATCTATCTGAGGGTAGTACTTGGTTGAGGATAGGCCTCGAAGAAGGAGAGAGAAGTAGAAATAGCAAGGTAACAGCGCTATGCCCAATCAGGACTAGCCCTAGTGGCCAGATCCCTCCTGCCTATGACATCTAAAACCCAAACAGTTTGGCTGAGAACCTCTTCCTCGATAACTTTTGCACTCACCTGGAATTGAAGACCCTTGATTCTTGGAATAGGTGTTCGAAACAGGTCATAATCATGCAAGTCACGTAATGCTTTGATAGAATCCCTACACTGTTCAAAGAATTGTTCCAGCATCACTTCTGCTGGCTTGACCAAAATCTTGACCAAGGGGCGTCTCTTATCATTCCACGGGCTATCACGTCGAAATGCGATGATTATAATGAAGTTTCTCAGATGCCCTTCAGGGTTGTCGAATTCGAAGGCTGCCCCAATTACCTGATCGTCATGCTCGTGGAATACCATCTGCAGTGTTCTAGTGTCTTTGTTCCACAAGAACTTTCTTGGGGCCACCTAGGCAATGTGGTATCCATGATCCTGGATTGGATCTGACCGAACTATGCAACACAATACTTCTGGTCGATGTGGACTTAAATTTTTGCCAATGTAGATTGTGCGAACTGGAGCATTCCTTGTGTGCATTAGCAAGTATTTTCCTACTCCGTAGTTTGCATGCCTCGTAAACTCAGAGGAGTTGGATGTTTTTCGCAAAGTAATTCCAAGAGAGCCAGAGAAGTCATTCTCGAATTGGCAGTCAAGCACTGCAACTGGGTAGGCTGGAAGGCTTGTATTCAATAGCGGGAGTTCGATGCGTAGACCTTTGTTCGTCATTGAATACGGCTGTCGTCCTGCTATATATCGGATGGGAACAATATTTTCAGACCCCTTAAATGCTGCTGGGCTTTCTGTGAGGACTCTGTCTGAATACTCTAAATACCGGTTAGGTCTGTCCGTGACGCCCTAAGCGAAGAGAGATTGATTATCCGTCTCCTGTATGATCTCTTCCTGTAGCCAGAAAAAGGCCTTTCCCCCTTCACTATAGAGTAATAGCATATTTACTTCGAATATACCGAGGAGGGAATATGCTGTGTCTTTTACCTGACTTGTCTGTCTACTCGCAGCCCAGGATATTTTTCTTGCCACACTAGCTAAGCTTCGTCTGGAAGGATCTATTAAGATATCTTCGGGAATAGATGTGATGCTTGATAGGGCGCTGGATAGCCCTAATTTGTCTCTTAAGAACATCTATGACTTGCTATAGAAATTAATTTTCGCAGGAGTAATCAGTTCTTGTAACGTCTATCCTCTAGTAAATCATCTGCTGTGCCTAAGTCCTATGATAGAGCTTTAGATAGAAGGAACGTCCTTGAGGTAGGCAAAGCAGATCTCGGATTTTTCGTACTAGCTGTACATAGATTTTATGGCTTTAGAAAGTTCGGCACTGCTGCTTTTATTAATGCAGCATGTGTCGATCCAGACATAATTAAGGCCATAACGGCTACTCTCAGCAGTAGCGTAGCGTATTTTTGTTGCTCTAGGCATGAGTTGCCACTAGGACCTATTAATATCCTGAATGTCCTGAAAATTAACCTCTCCTATTCCCTAGCAGTGCGACAGAATAGCATACTTGGGGACTTGATGGCCCGAAAATTCCTCCAGCTTCATCGTTTCCACGTTCAGAAGACGCATTTTAAATCGAAAATGATCTTCTTGATGTAGACGGTGTGCTGTGCTTGTCAGAAAGCCCGGCTACATGCGGCGAGATGTAATTGAGAGATATAGTGTAGTTAATTCAAGGCATGGCTGACATATTTCAAGAAATGTTCTTGTGAAGCAGGTTGACACTGCAGCGCCTCTTTTCCTAACGCTTCTCTTGGCAACGCCCCTCATAAAGCGGCAGGACTGCAAGACCCCTCCCTGATCAGGCGGAACTAAATCCAAATAGGTAGCACACCGGCACCTGAACTACTACTACGGTAGGAGGCATAAATAATGTTAGTTCGCCCTAGTAATTTTGTCATTTAACACGTCTCTTACAGATACCCCTGCTGCACTTGTACGAATTCAACACGTTCAACACGATCAACACATTCAACGCGTTCAGCCTCTTTTACTATTATTCTATCTCTTTCTACATGATTCGCCAAATTTTGATATATTTTTATGGATTCTATAGAGTTTATCATGCTATCTCCTTCTAGAGCTACTCGAATCAATGCTAGCAAGGTGCCAGGCAGTCATTGATGTGCTAATAGAATGCACACTTGATTCTGAGCGGAATACACTAGTCCTAATCAGGCGAATGTGTGGCGTTCTATCTTGGCATTTACAAGTTGCTACTAGGGCGAACTAACGTTATTTATGCCTCCTACCGTAGTACATCAGTAGTACCTCGACCCATACTACGTAATTTCAATGTCGCGGTAGAGATCTCTATCATGGGCTCGAATCGATTCCCTTTCCCATCAATTGTAAGATCTTCTTCTCCATTCTGGCTCCGCCGGCTTTCAGTCGCTGGCGACTACCACGGTCCACCGGAAATACCTTCTCCTTCCTGCGATATCTATTTCCGCACACACACCAGCGAGCACGTTCTCGACTGCTTGATTTTCGCCACGATACGATACCCTACTATAAAGTCCGAGCTCAGTCACGGATCTGGCGTCTTCTCGTCCAACGACAACGTAGGAAGAAAGAGCGAAGAGCCGCTGGGAGGGGCTTGATACCTTTTCTGCAGAAAAGACGGAAGCGGCTATTTAGCGGGCTGCGTACGGAAAATGTGGGTAGCACAACTATGGCACAAGTAGACTCCACTGCATCGGTGGCAACGTCCGGCTTGGGGGAGAGTAGGGAACGTGGAGCAAGGCGGAAGAAGGTTTATGGATACCTCAAAGCTGCCAACGAGCTGCGACAATCATATCAATCACAATGGGCACAGTCACGAGAACAAAGCGATCTCGAGGATGAGCAGGGGCTTTCCGGTGCATTTTCGGATGTCGAGATCGTGCGTAGCGGGAATGAAGAAATGGTCCTCTTCCCTAGCTATGCTCGAAAGCACACAAAAAGACCCCAAACAGCTCACTACGACAAGCCTGGCGCCCATGAAGATATTGCTCAGTCGGCAAGTTCGGGTGATGCAGAATATTGGAAGCGACAGTGGGAACAATATGAAGATGATAATGCCATTGTTGACATCGATGTGCGAGGCTGGATCTACACCCCACACCAAGGGGCTATCACTCGCAAGAATCGCTTAGTTATTGCAGTAGCAAGGAGACTGAGTGGCATTCCAGCACCAACGCCAAGCCCAGATAGTAGCCGAGATTCAAGTCGGCACTCTCTTCATCGTGAGAGGTTAGAGGAGCGAGCAGCCAGGCACGAAGAAGAAGCAGCCGCAAAAGCAGCTCAATCCATCGTACAAAGAGGAGAAGGAGAGGCTGATGCTGCATGGCGTGGAGGCTACAGCCAGGATCCATCCAAGAATGTTCAGGGTGGAAGCCCGTACAGCACAAGGTCAAGTTCGCCTGTCAGCCAGCATGAAGCTTCAGATGAGCCACACCCCGGTCACCTCAGGCATGCACAAACAGATTCCTCTCTCGCCTCTGAGTACGATGACCCTGCCATTAAATCACTGGCGAAACGGAACTCTTGGAATCGACCAGCAAACATGTCCAAAGAAGAACTAGCTAGGGCCAATACTCTTTTGATGGCCCGACTAAGGCCCTTCATGCATCTTCCTCTGGCTGGTGCGCCCATCACAGTCTTCTTTTTCAACGACCAGACATCTCAGTCCCGTTCAGTAAACACCAACGAGTCGGGTCACTTCACCCTGCGTGCCTCGCTGGACTTTGTGCCGACCTCAATACGTGTGTTGGCGTCGGAGAATCTCTCTGTGACGGAGAAGATCACCATTGTGGAGTCCCGAGGCGTGAGCTTGATCAGTGATATTGACGACACTATAAAGCATTCCGCTATCGCTGGTGGAGCCAAGGAGATCTTTTATAATACTTTTATTCGGGAGCTCGGTGATCTGACTATCAAGGGCGTTAAAGAATGGTACTCTAGGCTTGCTGCTTTGGGTGTACAGCTGCATTATGTGTCAAATTCACCTTGGCAGCTATACCCGCTGTTGCGCAGCTACTTTGCCCTCGCTGGACTGCCTCCCGGCTCATTCCATTTGAAGCAGTATTCTGGCATGCTGCAAGGGATATTCGAGCCAGCTGCAGAACGAAAGAAAAGCTCCCTAGACAAGATCCTGCGAGACTTTCCGGATCGTAAATTTATATTAGTCGGTGACAGCGGCGAAGCAGATCTCGAAGTGTACTCCGATGTGGTCATGGCGAACCCTGGACGGATATTGGCGGTCTTCATACGAGATGTAACCACGGCCGAGAAGAGGGAGTTTTTCGACCAATCCCCCAGTCGTCCTCAAGGCGGACGACATCAGATGGCGGAGAATGATGCTCGACGAGGAGCTGTTTTGGCACAATCAGATGCGCCTGAAGCTCGTCCATCGCTTCTGTCACGGACACGCGAGACAGGCGCCAGAGCTGAGCCAAGGCCAAATTCGGGGGGAGACTTGATTGATTTCAACCAAGACGATCAAGTTCACAGTCCAAGAGAATCCTCAAATTATGCAGACTTGCAGGAATTGGGGCAAAACGATGGGACATCTCCTCGATCGCCACCCGCTCGACCCTCCAAACCCTCATCTCTTCGTAGTACCTCCAATACACAAATCCGGTCTACTAACCATGAAAGATCTACTGTTACAACATCTTCTCCAACCTCACCTCCACCCGCAAAAACATCTCCTAAGAACCCTGGCCCGCCGCCCAAACCTCGGCGTTCGTCCACCTCCATCAACCTATCTTCAAATCAGCATGCGTCTTTCTCCTCCAATCGTCAAGATCGAAGACGGGCTCAACCACTCAACCCTCCAACGTTGCACAACTCGGCCCCAAATCCCCAGGAAGAAGGCTACGCCACCTCCGCCCGCCTCCCTTCTCCTCGCACCCTCTGGAGCAGCAGCCCGCACGCCACAACCTACTCTTCGAACACGACTCCTACCCAAGAAAATCCAAACCCGATCTCCCCTAGCACTCAGACCCAAGCACCCTCCCTCGCACCTCCACCACCATCATCCCGCCCCTCCGCCCGCCGCAATATCTCCTCCGCAGCCCACAATTTCGCCTCCAACCGTCTC